GACAAGATTCAATAGATCACTAAAGTTCCTCAACCAATTTAAGTTTTCTTCGACATGAGTTTCAGTTGAAAATTGTTGAAAGCCATTAGTTGCGCCATGAGAAAACGGAGATGAACCAGAAGAAATGGTTAATGAACTACGACAAAACACGCTAATTATACCTGATTTTCTATAATCTCTTCTTTTATTGTTAAGACAATCTAATAATTTTCCTTTTTCTGCTCTTTTCAAACCCGGACCATATGATATAATATATATAATTATAGAGTATTAAGTATACTGCTATACTTTCTTTATAAAAAAATAGTTGTAATTTGATATACTAGTTCTTGTAGCCTAGATGATGGAACACGTTTATTGACATTATCTCCAAGTTCTTTATTAATGATCAAATTATACAAGCGTCTACGACTTATGCTATCCAATAACCCTATTTCTTAATATGCAGATAATAATGCACTTTCTTTATTAGCACTTAGAAGTAAATCTAAGAGATCTTATAAATAAGACAACATTTATTAGTAAGTTATTACTAAAATAAATAAAATTTATATTGTAAAATTTAACATCAAAGCAAAATTAACAATCACCTAGAGTATTACAAAATTTAAAGCAAATAAATTTAATAAAATATAAAATAAATAGATAAAAATAAACACAAAAATGCAAGATAAATAAGAATGAAAATATAGAAGATTCAAGGTATAAAAATAATGTCATTTGAAATTTGAAATTTTGTGATCACCTTTTATTTATTTGTTCTATGTTTTATTTGTTTCATTAAATTTAACTGTACTATTTATACTTAGGAATACATACATATATATATATATATATATATATATAAAGTATATATGTTATACCTATATTATGATACCATTTATGAATAGAATATACAGAATGTGAAAATTTTACATTAATTTATTTTGATCGACATTTAATACTTAAAAAGTAAATAATACTCAATTCTACTTGGAGATGGTCTTTGTGAACTACTTAGAATAGATGATTCACATTTTGGAAATTCATCAAGATCTAAACACACAACAAACGGATTAAGATTAAGATGATTGTTTTTAGAGGAATCACTAGTTAGGGATAATTCCATAAGGATACTTCCAATATATGATTGGGGTTTAGTATGTTCTGTATTAAATGAGTTATGCTTAAATATAAATTAAATTCATTTAACAAGATTCCAACCAGAACTTAAAAAAACCTAGTATTAAAAGTTATTATTACACATAATTAAATGGACTTTATGTAATTTAAAACTATATGTACATTTAAACAGTTCGCATTAATTGTGTTAAAAAATCATCCTCACTGAAACAACAGTCGTTCCCTGTAATATATTTCTCCATTCATCTGAGTTTGAACATAATCTTGCTCTGTGTCCAGTTATTGGGACTAACTCTTTTATCATGTCTTCTGATAAAATTTGCAATGTCTTCATATCAACTTCATTTTTTAATAAGTAAAAATGTTTTTGTTTTTTATTTATAATAAAGTTTTAAATGTAGTCATTATAAGAGCAAAAATTTAACTACTCATGCAGGGGATACTATCTATTAGTTGCAAAAAGTTATCTAGCCAACTTAGTCCATGAGTACAATACACCTACAAAGAATGTGTAAAAAGTTTTTTGTTTAATTAAAATATGTATACATTTTTCATTAGTTATATTGTATATACACTATTACATTCTAAAAGTACTAAAATCGAAACAACTTTAGATTTTTTATTTTTTTGATTACTTTTTCCATAAAATATTTGTACTAGGTATTATGTAAAAATTAAATGGATTGAATTTAGTGTTCACATATTAAATAACTGTAGTAAATAGCTGAATAACGTCGATTTTAGTATAATACGGGGTTTAAAACAATAGTAAGCAATTTTTTAATTCTCAAGCAATACAATAATGTCATATAGAAGGGAAATGCAGGGTAAGCAAATTAATAATGGGGGGAAAAAAAAATAAATGGGAAACATGAAAAGGATAGGGGACTGGACGTTTTGTTGAAGAAACGCCGAGTTACGTGGACGCGAGTGTCTTTGTACGATTTAATTTTGTTTTGTGTTACATTTTGATATTACCTTTTTGACTTTGTGTTTAATTCGTTTCTTAAATAAAATAACTATTTAAAAACTGGACTAAGCGTAAATAATTTATATTCACCGTGTTCTTAGAATTTGCGTGTGTGTGTGCAGCTAGAGTCAAGGTTGGACTGCTGGTCTTTTAGTCAATCTTAATAATTAGTGTACAAGCTGGCTAGTTTTTGGGCTTAACCGCCCTTTAGTGGGTATAGTAAAAAGGTAGTTGTGCTGGTGGCTGACAAGGAGCCACCCTTCAGTCTGCTACTTTTGAGCTAGACTGTGCTGACGGGTCTAAACTCTACCCCTTTAGTGGTTCACTAATTTGAGGGATTGGGGCTGATCAGTTTATCCAACGGGAGGACTCGAGAAGAGCTCGAACGACGAACTCGTCGTCAATATTTAAATATAAAAACATTAATTAATTTGTGTAAAACTTTTGTGTCTACGTTGGGGCACTACCGACGTACGACATAACATAATATAATACTAAGATACTATTATGAAGAAAAAATGTTCTGTATCTGCATTCAATATTATATCAATCAGTTTAAATTTTCTCCAAGATGATTAATTTTATAGTAGATACCTATATGAATTTAATTATACTTGTAATAACTATTATACTACATTACATTTTAATAATTAGAAATATAATTGCACCTAATTTATAATAAGTTGTTGATATTCATGATATTTAACCTATTAGTTTTTCTTCTTTTAAATTGTATACCCGCCACCTACATAAAATTTTAACTAATAATATTTAACACCTATTTTTTTAAACAAAATAGTGATTACGTATAATATATTTACATAGGAATTTAATATTAGAAAAATTGTAGTTGTGTACTTACCACGAAAAATGTCAATATATTGGGCAAGATCCCAAGTCTTCGAAAAATCAACGATATCGCTGTGGGCCATGACGTATTTGTAACGTAATGCTTAACGTTTATTAATTAATTTTCAGGAGTGCCGAATGGTCCAACGTCGTGATATTGAAAATAAACACATTACTCGACCACGGGTATAGATTACACACACACACACAATAACTGTATAGTGTCATCGCGCCCCACAGGGCCGGATTTAGGGGAGGGCTGAATGGGCTGCAGCTCAGGGGCCCCCACAAATTTAGTATACATTGGTATCACAAATATGATAGTAATTGTTATTTAATAAGTAAAAAAATATATCTCCTTGTTTATGTATAAGGGGCCCCCACAATGCATTCCGCCCAGGGGCCACCACATACCTAAGTCCGCCCCTGGCGCGCCCGTATTGCATATACTTTGGTTTCCCAATGGTTTTGTGGTTATTGGTATTCTATTTTTTTATAACGCATAATTTATCGCGCCTTTTCCCAGAAAACTGAAATTTCTAGAGATTACAGCAGTACTATCATTTCTATTTGTCCTAACTAGACATTTAGTAAATACTACAAAAATTCATTGTATCAATCAGTCCGGTTAGGAGTATAACATAATTATTGTATCAACAACTATCACTATTGAGTATCTAGTATACATTTACAACAGTTGCACTTCAACTTCTATGTTTGTCATAACAAGAAGTTTAGTTTAATTGCAGTAGATACAAGATATATACTTAGCAGTGCTCGAATTGGCCAAAAATAAGTAGGGGAGCTCAACTTAACAATTTGAAAACTGCGTCCCTAGCATTTTGAAGACCTTTTTTTTTTTTTTACTCATTACTTTATTTAGTATTTATTAATAAATCATATTTCATTATCATACTAATATTTAAAAAAAAAAAAAAAGGTGGTATTTTCCACCGTCCTCCCGTCCCAATAAAAAAAAGTAGTTGGGGTGCGCAAAAAAATTTTAAAAAAAGTAGAGGAGCTACGTCCCCCTGCGCACCCCCCCAATTCGAGCACTGATACTTAGTATAACATAAAAATTGATAAACACTACAAGAAACAGTTTAACTGAAATTAATCAATAATTTTAACAAATGATAATTTGAACGTACCAAATAATTTTGTTCGTATTACAATTTTATGGTAATATCAACTAATTAAGATTTAACAAAACTTTTCTGTAAAAGACCTACACGGATTTTTTTCAGTGAAATAGCTTTATTCATCTGCTCTGAGTATAGAACTAAAATAAAAAGACTATTATAATTAGGAAATTAAATTGTAATATTAAAATTATGTAAACTGGCAAAATGTGTCAATCGACTAGGTAATAAAATTAGTAACTAAAAACGTTAATAGGATTATATATGGAAGTATTTTTTAGATAGGATATCACTATGTATCGTTAATGTAGCGTTAATAATAATAGCATTTTTCTTGAAATAAGTATCCACAATTTTTTAGTAATTATTGTGGCTGTTTGTGTTCTCCAATATCAAAATTGTAAGTCAGGGAATTAATCTTCAATACGATTGATCTCATATTATTTCCCGGCTTATGTATTTTTGATAAAGTTACAGATTAAGTATTTAAAGGTTTGATATTATGATAAAAACTTCAAGTTTTCTACAATTATTAATTTTGTTCTATTTATAATGTTTGTAGCCTTCTTATTATTTTACTTAATGAAGTCTTTTTAATTTCTTTATAGAGGCTCTCTTCAATATTTAAGATACCATTACTATTTTTAATTAGCCCCTAATTTTTTAATACATATGTAACTTAATTAACTTGGCTGACCCCAAATGGTTGAAATAAAGGCGAGGAAAAAGAAGATATAACTTAATTAACTTTTTTATATTTATATCTTGGCTTAAATACAAATATTTGTTTAATATAAAAGTGAAATAAAATACAAATTTTGAATAAAACTATACATATTAAATAAAAAGATTTGAGTAATTAAAAAATATTATTATATAATATATTATCATAATCAGGTTTCACATATTAAATTTTAATGAATAACGCTATTGATACAGTAATGATTATATATTAGGAATAAACTTGCTTTCATATTATTAATCATTTTTTTTATAGTATGAAAGAAACAAAACGGAAGAACGAAAATTGTTAATGGGCATGCCGGAGCATCTTGGAGACTATTTATTTGGTGGATGTCAAAAAATAAATAAAGCCAATAGAGTATCAAAATTATCACCGGAAAATCGCCCGAGAGTTAAATTAGCTAGTGTCAAAACAGATTTATACAATCCTGTACAAAGCACTTTAAGGCGATATGATATAGATGATGTACAAGGAAAATTAAGTGATGAGCACTCAAGAAGCACAATACCACCAGAAATTAGTACGAATAACTAATTTATTATTATTTAACAATATAATTCAATAAAAGTTCACATCTTAGGAATTATACACATACGTTTTTGTGCGTATTTATAAATATTATACCCAAATTGACAATATATTAAACTAAAAAAATGTATAAATATAAACCATAATCGCTCTTATCTTAATTTCAAAAAACATATTTAATCTGAAATCATAAAGTAATTATGTGTGTATATGAGCACAGAGCCAAAAATGAGTTCATCAAGAAAACTATAACAAACATGCATAGTAAGCCTTAATTACACCTCTCGAAATATTTTTGAAAATATTAGAGCTAATCATTTTTTTTTTATTCTATATCCAGTGAGATGAGTCTTTTATGTTAAAAAGTGATTAACAATTAAGCATTTTTCTACAGGAGGTGCGAACACTATAAGTTGATAAGCGCTACTAGTTCTTATCAATGCAATGAGCAGTTATTAAGAGCATAAGTATGTTAGCGGTTTATAGTTTATTAAGACATATAATAAAGATTGTACATTTTGAAGCATTTACCCCATAGTTTTACTCTAAATTCAATTTTTCGGTATTTTTCATAGTAATGTGCATTTTACAAAAATATATTATTAGTTAGAACCAAATTTGAGGTCACCTACGCCTGCTGTGATGACCAACTTCGAGTCCCTTCGGATTTCTCAAAGATAGGGACTTACACCCTCAAACTCCCAAAGGAAAAGGAACTTTAACCAAATCTCAACCTATTTAAACCTATAATATTTAACATTTAATTTTTTTGTAAACTTAAAATATTATTATTAAATTTTCTCAGTTGTGTATTTAATAAAAAAAAATAATTCATCATTTATCTAGGAAATGAATTGCCCACAGTTTAATATATTGCAATTTTTTTAATATTTTAAATCACATAAAAATGTAATGTCATGGAAATAAATTTTTTATAATTAATATTTTATAGTTTTTTTTTAAAGTTTATGAAAAAATTTAGAACATTTGGGTTTTAGCATAGTAAACATCAATATATAGTAACAGTGGTTTTATTGTTATTATATTGTTTTAATAAACACATTTTTTATAAATTGTAGTAGTTTTAAGTCAATAAATAGTTTTGAAAAAAATCATTTTTGAGTAATTGGTATCCTAATCCTCCTCCTTCTTAATACGTCATTTACAGAAAATGAGAGGGATTTTTTTTTTGAGAGTAATATCTTTTATAACATACGATTTGTGATCTTTTGAGATATTTTCAAAAAATATCTGTCTAGTACACTCTTTGAAAAAATGTCCAAATTTTCACATACATTTTGTATATAAATAAAAATAAGATGTTGATAAATAGTGATAAAAATGTTATATTAGTGCCGATACTTTATATCAAAATTAGACTAATTGTGTATAAAATTAACGCGTAAATTAATAATATCATACTGACTTTTGGGAATTTTTGAATTGTTTCTTATGATGTAAGATATGAGAAAAAATGAAAGCAGACACAAAAAAATGACATCATAGTAAAATTAATAATCAGCTTAGCATAGAAGCTAAAAATGACAAAATGATCTATTCTAAATATTTTATAAAAGATAATAACTATGGGGAATATAAAATTTACACGATAACAGGTTTGGCAGTTAGCACTATAAAATATGTTATTGTTGAAATTACCATTTGGGCATTTGAATTTCATAAATTTTGGAGACATTAAAGTTGACCTTAACCTCCATCGTAAAAAATATCTTATATCTATCAGTATATTTACTTAATATTATTATACATCTGTATGGTTTATAGCTAGCTTACCAAAAAGTAAAAAATCAAAGTTTATGCCACCTCAAATCATTTATCCAGGTTTTGATCTTTTACCCTTACTACATTGTAAATGGTATCAAGAAAAATCTGTTGAAGAATTATCATTTCTTAGAAATAAAAACTTGTCAGATTCTTGGAATAATTTTATACATGATATTCCTTTGTCAGACACAAGAATAGTACTCCCTAAAAACAGGTAAAAATGAATAAAACTCTTATATCAAAAACAACAAACTTTTTTTTTATAATTTCAGAGATTTTCATTTTCACAATTATGTAGTCAAGTATATAAAAAATGATGACCTGGTATCAAAACCTACATATAAAGTGAAATTTGATTAGAGAAACATTTTAAATTGTAGAAAAATCACTAACAATATATATATATTAACAAACTCTACTGAACACGATATACGCTTTTTACTTGACCGTAATATTTTTTTTAGAACACTGATGTAGGTACCGTGAGGAAATAAAAAGATACAATCCTCCCTAAAACAAAAATAATACATGATAAATTACATTTTTTTTTCGTTTGAACAGGCTAGCAAAACAATTTCTCATATAAAACCCTAAAAAGGATTATGTATTTCGAAAAATAAAAAAAAGACTATAAATCATTTTTATCTATAATATTAAAATAAAATACAGATCAAAAGTTCAAGTATTAATTACTCTTTTATTATAATTAAAAAAATTGTAAAGGATATTTATGAATTATATTTAAAATTCATTTTATGGGAGAGTAGAATTGATTGTTACATAAAATAATTTGTTATAGTAAAGTAATGTGAACTTGAGGGTGGCAAAAATTATTAGTTGGGGTGATTCTAATTTATTTTAGTTGATATTTGTATTCATTGAGTTTGACGATTTTAATATTTCACTACGTGTATAACCATAAAATTTAAAAAAATTCTATTTTGAAAAATTAGTACTTGTGTTGTTTTTGAAATGACTGATTAAATTTTTATCAGTTATAATTTTTTTGATAGGAATATACTAGAACATAATTTAAATTTATAATAAGCAAAAAAACTTTTATGAGATGAGTCACAAAAATAAACACAATTTGTGGAATGCTTCCAATTTTATACAACTAAAAATTAAAAAATATAAAGTGACTAAATTATTATGTGCATTAAATACAAATACATACAAAAATTTCTATTAGAAAAATAATTAATTGTTATTTTTCAGAGCATTTGTACATTAAAAGCAACTTAAACATCTTAGTGAATTGAAATATCTATAAATTTATTTTTATTTTAATTAATCTCTAGTATAAGTATTCCCTATTTATGTATACTTACTAATAAATATATTTAAAAAAAAACCCAGCACAGGGGGGTCGCGGCACAGTGGTGACGTGGCATAGATGGATCAAGTATAATGATATCTGACAGTGATTAAAATCATTATAAAAAAAAAACGCTTCGATGCAAATCTTTAGATAGTGTTTAATTTTAAAAAATTGGTGGATTATTCCAAAAGCTTCATGATCTGATATTTCCTTATTAATATCCTAATTAAGATAAAGTATGTCGAATGAAAAAGAGATTATTAAAAAATATTATTTCACATAAAAAAATTGTTTTGATCCATACACTTTTCAAGTTATAGCATTATAAAGTTAAAAATGTAAAAAATAAAATCGAAAATTTTCACACAATAATAGCGTTTGGTAGCCATTTTCATCGTGAAGATAAAATAAAATCCGAATTTTTTTTTTTTGCATAATAAAGTAAATTACATTAGCTTTAATTTAAGATATATATAAAAGTGTCAGACTTTCCGGAACACTTTCAAAATTTAAGTTGAAAAAGTAAATTTTTTGTGAAAAAGTTGTCATTTTAAATCCCCTCTGTGGGCAGGTAAAAGGTTAGATATAAAAAAAAATACACCAAATAAAAGGTACTGATATCAAGCATCTATTAAAAAAAATTTATATTGATTCGGTTATTTTTAAAAAAGTTATAGCAATTTTAAGTAAAAAAAATTGAAAAAATTTCGAAAATTAGCGATTTTTAAATTTGTAATTTTTTTGGAGATTTCCCCCATTTACGGGGAACGAGGGAATATTTTTCAATTTTTGAGGGTAATGTCTTCGACTAGATACGATTTGTGATCTTTTGACGTATCATTGAAAGAAATCGGTTCGGTGAGAGCTGAGAAAAAGTGGTAACACACACAAAAAAAAAACACATCTTAGTAAAACCAATACCTTCTCAGCTTCGCATCGAAGCTAAAATTGATTATTAGTAATTATAAAAATACTCTGCTAGAAAATGCAAATTTTTGAAATATTAAATATATACATTAAATAAAAATAACAAGAAGTAATTTTATATCATTATAAATTATTGTTGTTATATTAATCGTAAAGTAAATTAATTGTTATTCAATTGTTCTTTTTTTTTTCTAAATAATTGCATGCTTTAGAAAATACATTATAAGTTGTACAAAATTATTACAAGTGTTCTATTGACAATTACGATACACTGGTTATATACTTGATTGTTAATTTAAAGCGATCGCAATTAGACCAAGATATCAATTGGGCAATTGGACAAATGAACTAAATATTATGAAAGCATGTATTATACATTGGAAAATCAATATGAAAAGGTTGGAGTTGAAAATAATAATAAATCAGGAATTGGTTATTTCTTTCTATCACTCAGATTACATATTTTTAGAGGGTTACAAATTTACAGTTGAAGTTTGAGCACTATAGTTGATTTTCATAATAGCATATTATGGTTTTTAAATAATGGAAAAGAATTCTAACAAAAAATATAACAGTACTAAAATTTTAAGTTTGGTAAAAGATCATTATTATACAATTTTTAAGTATAAATTACAGATTTAGTTAATCAAAATTTCAATGAACAGTTATCAAAGAAAAAGTAAAAAAAAAACCAATAAAAAGTTATAAACTGAAATACGAAATATGGCAACTGCAATACTTTAAAGTATTCCTTCTCGAAGTCTATTCATACATATAATTCTAAATGCCCCTAATTAATACTGAATAATAATAATAATTAAGTAATTTTTTTTACATTATTTTAGTATCAAATAATAAAAATTAATAAACCAATTGTAATTATTTATTATTTATATCACAAAAAAAAAATTTCAAATATTTGAAAAAAAAATTAAATTTAACTTTTTATGGTCAATTTTTTTTTAAATTAAAAATTTTAAAAATCATATTTATACGTGATAATATGCGACACGTTAGTGAGTTTAACACGTATTAACAGGTTAACAGCTTTTGACACGTTGACGATTTTATAATTTAATCTTGCTCCACATCCTAATTTCGTAAGCGCCTCTGAATATGAGCCACCTGAAATCTTATTCTATGAACACAGTACTAGTAATAAAAATAAAACATTTTTAACTTCATAATTCAATATTCATACATAAATATTTATAAAAACTAGTCATGTCATTGAGAATTAATTTTACTTGTATTATATTAATATAATAGTGAACAATATTACTGAGAATTGAGTCAAAACGTGTCGTTAATTTTTCCTATAGTATTTAGTAGCTTTTACCTAAATTAACATGTATTATAAGCTTATGTCTTAGATAAATTAATTATAATTATCTTAGAGTAAAAACACAATATACGGAATATGTATATTGAAATAAATAAATCAACTGAAAAATAGACCAAATATTATGTCTATCGTTCCCATTGAATTTATTTATAAATTTTTGATTTATTATTTGAAACTAATGTACAACTTTTGTACTAAAAGTCGGCCAGGTAGAATATTATAGAGCTGCGGCTATTTCTAAAAATATATTTCTTGTGTTCACAAGAAAAATTAAGAGAGTTTGTAGTAAATCTTTTTCTTTCTTAATAAAAAGTTAATTTATAATATGTCTATTTTATCATAGTGATTGTAACCACAATTACAAAAATTATTCTTACATTATCTATCTAAACCATAATAGATGGAAAATGTTTAAATATTCATTATAACTTATATTATTAATATTTTGTTTGAGAATAATTTTTGTAAGCCATAAAATTTTGTCAATTTTTTATTTTTTAGAATTTAAACATATTTATAAAATGTGTTGTTATGACCACTTACATTGTTATGTATTAACTATATAATATATAGTGTACATACAATATATATTCAAAAAAATATTAACAATTCTACTTGTATATTATAGTGTTGTTATAATTTTTAATGATGTACGTTATGTATAACCTATATATTAATAAAAAATAAATTCCAATAAATAATGTTTTAAATTTACTTAATAAAAAATTATTGATTAATTTTTATTTAATATTTATCAAAAGCTCCTGATTTTGTGTTCTATTCCTTATTCATTTTTAATTCAAAAAAGAAAACTATGTATTTATTAAAGAGCAATATTAGTTAAATAGCACCTACTTAAAAAAAATTCTAGAACTGTCACTGTCCAAGACATATTCCTAAACACACGTATGTATTTAAGGGCAGTTTTTGAAAAAACTTTTGACTTGACAATACCTCATATTTTACAGTAACTTTTCATTTATGAGAGATATTTTTTTAAATAAATAAACCTAGTGTGAACGTAGCATAATTGAGACAAGTGTAGATGATATCTGACAGAAATAAGAGTTGAAAAACAATTTTTAAAGGCGTTTGTGTTCTCTTTTAAGTTCTTCGTGTACTTATGTTATTCATTGTATTTTCATGAATAGCATATCAAAATAAATATTGTTGTTACAAGTGTACTATTAAAATTTCATTAAGATCAATGTTATTAAAAATGTTTGAAATGCAGAAAAAAATTACAAATTAAATTTTATGGTAGTATATTTTGAAAAAATTTTTTTAATACTAAAATTGAGTTACTAAAAAACCTTAAATATATGAGTGATATTTGTTATCGTGGTACATTAATCAGCTACGTGGTTAAAAGATTTTGACAGTTAGAGACGTGAAATTAAAATGCACGAGCAATATTACAATACGATCGAGCAAAAGTTTATCAATCTGATGTTTTAACAAAAAAAATACAATTTTACAGATTTGCCAAATGGGCGTGTTCGCTTTCCAGACCAAATGGGTGGGATAGATGGCAAGCCAAGTCGAGTCGTAGACGTTCAGAGAGAGATCCCGAAATAATCCAAGCGGCTGACTCCTCGGTTGGGTTCGTGTTACCTCGAACCTTTTATAGACACCACCCAATTGGCTGTGCATGTTCACTACCCCACTTCTTTATTCCTAGTCTCGCCATACCTATGCTGGCGTTACTCCAGAGGGAACGGTGCAACTTTAATAAATAACCCTACAGCTCATAGATTATGGCGTGCCTACGTAAACATTGTTTTATGACTTAAAAATAATACATCAGACGATGCAATGCCCATACAATTGTTTCTTATATTTTATCTCCACTTTTTAGGAATTATGAAATATGAGCTCAACTGTATGCATTATTTGATTGCTTATAAGTTAATTTTATTGACAAAAAAATATATTTTTTGGTAATTTTTAAATTGAAAATAAGCAAGTATAATGATATATCGGTAGCCATACAGTCGTCGACAATGGCTCTTCTGAGAGTGTCTCAACGCCTACGAATCTATGTGGCCAGATTAGGCCCTTTGCGCCCCACTTCAATGATCTATTTCTAGAAATGACAAGGCGATGATCTGTTTGCATGTGAAATCATAGAATATTTCAGGAATTTGTTATGATTGTAACGTTTATTTATAACGGTCAATGTTGTTTAAATGACATATTCGGTATTTTGTCAATTTCTCAATTTATTAATACATTTTTTCTTTTGATTTCAGTTCTTCCCATTGCGCTTTAAGTTATTTACAAATAACCAATCAATTATTCAACTTTTTTTTTATTTTATAAAATATCCCGACGATGTTGGCAGTCACAGTATATAACTTATATATAAGATCAAATTACCCTCAGGTTTCATCTAATGCTGAAAAGCGTAACGATTTCAAGTATAACTATATTAATAGGTGAATGATACGTCTAAAAATATAGGTCATAAAACGCTCAAAAATTATTTAAAAAAGTATATAGAAATCACATTTAATATGAAAATTTTCTTTTTTTAATTTAAGTGAGTATATATTGAAATTTCTTTAAACTTAATTAATTTTTGGTTTAAATTAAATATCTACCAAAAATATCGGTTGTAATGATCAACAATTTATAGGGCTCTAGCAAAGTGGGCTAGTCCGTTCCTGCATAAGTATAGTTTATGAATCATATGAGAATTGATAAAATATGTTCATGAGAATCATGCATGTTATAAACTTATTTTTCTAATTTTTTACTAACAATTGTAAGATAACTTTTTCCGAGAACCAAGGAAATTATAGAACATCACCTATACATAGGCCAACTTATGAGAAACTAAGGGTCCTAGAGAATATTTTAATTAAGTCGGCGTTATAAATGCTGCCTAGTACTTTATATTATAAACTGATTTTTGGGGTAACAATCTTTGAGACATTTTTTATTTCTGGTCATTAATTAATTTTTAAGTACCAATTTCTAAATAAGCAAAAAAAAATGTTATCCAGGCAAAATTTCTTAAAATATTTCCTTAAAAGTATACTCTCTCTAAAATGTATTGAATATTTAAGTTATTCAAATTATGATTCTTCTCCTTCTTCCTTGTCTTAATCCCAACTACTTGGGGTCGGCCATTGAAGTTATAACCACTAACTACTTAAGTAAACCTGTATGATATATAAAAACATAAGAGTAAAGTATCTACAAAAATTCAATTGTAATTCCGCATAAGGCTCTTAATAATTCAGAACACAAGTATACATAAGCTTTTAATATGCAATAACAAACACTTTAAAAAAGTGTTTAAATATAAATGAAAAATATTAATAAAATCTTATCTCGTTTTCTCTTGCAGTGTTTACTATTTAAAATTGCATTACTCACGTACAGCTTTTTTAAATCTGACGTCATAGTATATTTTTAACTACCAATTGCAATTAAGAAAAAAATCCGTTATTGTCAAAAATAAAAGTAAATATTATATTTAATTATAATTTGATAAAATTTTCAAAATTATTTTCGACAATTTTAATGATCCATTACTAATGGATCTTTAAAAATGCAAGTACTCCTTTCAAGGACACTAAGAGCCGACCTCAAATGTTCAAGTTCGTTACTCTCCAGCCCTCAAAGTAAACAAAATTTATTTATGTGGTGGGGGCGTGAGTGAGTGGGCGTGAAAACGGGGGCTAGCATTAACCGGGCACAAATCCTTCAGTTAAGTACGGCAGTTCAACTCGGTCCGATCAAAGCGCTTGGGTGTACTAAAAATAGATTTTATTCCGGAGTGCGAATTAAAGTTCTAGTGGTTCTGAAATAAAATAGTCGTTTAGTAGTCCGTTTCTACTTAGTGCAAAATGTCTTTATCCAAGACGACAAAATCTTACAGTTATCGATCGAGCGGAGGTGGAAACGCTGATATAAACGTTGACTTCAGCCATGACCTAAGCGCTTTAACTCGACTTGAAGTAAGTCAAATAATCTAAAATCCCTATACTGTAAAACCCTACCTTATACTATCATTATACAATCACAGTCATTTTCTACACACACATAACCATTGAGCATTACTGGTAAATACCTATAAAAATAGAACTCGTCACCTTTTACAGGTAGTAACTATATTCAGTTGCCAGTAGAAGAAGGAATGTTTTAGACGTTGAATAAATAGACTTGAAATGCCTTGTTGTAAAAACTGTTCTATTACAATTTACTATGATTAAAAAAGGTATTCTTGACAATTCTTCTTCTTCTTGACAAACTGAAGAAAGCACGGTGTGAAGCCGCATAAATAAACGTTCCTCTTGATCCATTTTTTTTTTACAAAATTATTTAATAATTTTAATAGTTTTTGACTTGATTAACCAAACCCTACATTATTTTCCTATTTAGGATAAGATCAGACTTCTCCAAGAAGATTTGGAATCAGAACGTGAACTCCGACAACGTGTAAGTACACAATTATAATAATAATTATTTGAAACATTAAAAATAACCAAGTACACAATTAAAACTAATCCCTTTTCACGGAAAAAAAATAAAAATTAAAGATAGACACAATTAAATCATTAAAAACTAAATACAACTCACGTTGTTTGTTCTTAAAACCTTATTTTCAAAGTTAATTTTGATTATAGCAAATATGAGAGATTTTGCTTTTAACAATATTACATACGACATTTTCCCCCAAATATATAAGAATAGAAGAATTATTTGATATTTTATTGTGATGTATTCTTTAAATAAATTTTACAGTTGAAATTGAAATATCAATTACTAATTTTGAAAAATATGAAACAATAATGTTTAATCAAATGAAAATATTTAGTCTACGAAATCTCAATGAAGTTGGGTCATTAATGAAAAATGCTAAACAATATCTATACATATATTATTTTTGATAAAATAGATGAACGATTAACGCATACAGTAGAATTTTATTTTAAAAATATTATGAAAATCTACTAAAAACGAATACATTTTTATGATAATAATTATTAAATGATATAGACCCCCATCATTTGACAAATGGATAATAAGGATTTTATGTTTAGGAGTAAAATATTTGTCATATAATTTGATAAGTAATACACTATTGTTTTTGCTGATTTCCAGTAGTAATCGGATACCAAAAATATGCGCGGTGCGAAGTGAAAAATACATACGTTCCTTTAAATAAGTCAACATAGTGTTATAAATAACTACACGACAGCTTAATTACTATAGTCAATGGGGAAAGGGTGAGGAAGTTTTTTCTTTACAGTTGCCAGAATTATGAGACAGTTCGAATCTATTTTCCCGCTGTTTGGCATGGCAAATGATCAAAATATAAAAATGCAAAGAAATATTAACAGATTGTTGAATTCTGGCAATAGCGATTTTATTACAAACTTTAAATGGATATGTCTATAAAATATTACTCTATACACTTATTTGGACTTAGTTTTCATGTTTAGTCACATGCTCCGCTGTACTAGTTTTAGCTTAACAATAATTGTTATGCTGAAATTTTAAGAATTATTCTTATAATCCTATTTTTGATTTTTAATCAAATAGCTTTTTTAAAGTAATATAAGAGAGATAGATTAAATATCACGGTGAATAAATAAGCTATCAAAAATAAGTAAAATAATTTTTTTGAAGTTTCATTTTTTATAAAAAAACATAGAAAAATAAATAAAATTTCTGGTTTGAAGTAAACATAGGTGCAATCTGAAAGGTTTAGGGGCAAAACCTCCTTCAATTCTGCCCTATAAAAATTATAATACTTACATGTATATTTATGTAGATATATTGAGGGGGAAAATTATGTTAGACCTTCCAAACATTTTCTTCAAATTGTGCCTCCTGTTTTAAATATTCATAAGATTATGGAATAACAAAAAACTATAAAAGAAATTTTGAAGAATAAAAAACTTTCTAGGAACGTATCAATTTAAGATACCAATTACCAGGCACTTACTGAGAGACCAAAGGCCTAAAAGGTGCAAAAATTGCTTTTTGCTTCAAAACATTAAAAAAAGTATTTAAAAAATATTTTTCGCTCTTAACAGCAGCCTTGGTAGCATTGTCTTTTGATCTACCTATCAACTGCGATTTAAAAAAAATTATATGAAATTTCAATTAAAAGCTAAGAACTTTTATTGTTCATTCAGAAAGAATCAAATAAATTATTATTTTAAAACAATAATAACTAACTAATAGAATAAAAATTAATGTTTAATAATTCACATTTTTAATTTACTGAGGAGCTCTTATATTTCTAAAATAAATTGCAAAAAAATTAAACGTAAATCAATTTTTGATTGTACTTAATTTGATTTGTTAATATGATAATGGAGATAATGATTAATAGTCAATTAATGTAGCGTATTACGTTTATGTAATATTTTTTATTGATATTCTAGTAAAATTAAATCTCCAGTTCATTTTTTTCTCATTATCATAAGAAATAGGTCATCTCTATAAATAATGCCCTATAAACTGGAAACTAGCAAACAAATGCAACCATTTAGAAACGCTCTATGAAACGTCAACATTGAACTTCTGATTTCATTTTATTTATGTTTACGTTTATGTATCAATGAATGAAATACAAATTACCTAATCATTTCATTTAGCTAATAATAATAAAGTACTTAAAAATACATATATTTTTATAACCTTAACATTATTCAATTATTTTTTGATTTAATGATTTTAAATAAAAGTATGATTTTATGAATTTATGAATTTAACTATTTAATCAATAAAATTGTATAGCTCACAATAATCTATAAATTTTCTTTTAATTATAGCATTTTCAATCCCATCATTTTCGTTAAAACAATAAATTTTCTTTTATTTTGGGTGAATATTGAAATTTATTTGGCACTAAGCTTTGTGAGAGATACTCTAAAAATAGTATGAAAAGTGATGCTATTGCGGACGAATGAAGTGTGAACGGCCATTAAGCGGACGAACTAGTTATATTTTTACGAATGGAATTTAGCCTGATTTCAACGACACGTGTCAATCGACACTTTTAACTCACCTAACCTAACACAAACGTTTATTTTTGAGCGTTAGCGAGTACCTGATAGAGAATTAATTTTTCTTATAATACTTTTTGGTCTTCTAAACAAATCAATGTAGTTACATAACATAAAATTACATATCCTAATTAAATCTCCATATATTTTTCTACAAATTAATGTTTTATTAGAACAATTATTAATATATATATATACTTGTCTATAGATTGAAAGAGAAAAATCTGATCTCAGTGTGCAATTAATTTCACTCTCAGAACGTTTGGAAGAAGCCGAGGGTGGAGCTGAAAGTCAAGTAAATAATCATAAATATTTCTCTTTTTGAAAATTTACACTTATTTTATCTAGTTTGAAATTAACAAAAAACGCGATACCGAGTTGCACAAACTTCGTAAATTATTGGAAGATGTTAACATTGAATCTGAGGAAACTGCACATCTTTTACGTAAGAAGCACCAAGAAGTTGTTGCCGATTTCCAAGAACAACTTGATCAACTGGCCAAATCAAAAGCTAGGTATAATACCTTTTTTATTTATAATATTAAATAGTTTAAAGATCAGAAAATTTTATTTTTGTTATTTTCAGAGTTGAAAAGGAAAAAGCCAAATTCCAACAAGAAGTTTATGAACTGCTGTCTCAAATTGAAAATGCCAACAAAGACAAAGTATAGATTTATATACAATGATTAAAAATAAATTTTTAAATATACATTCTCAATTTTAGTTAATACACGTCAAAACTATCGAAAAATTAGAAGTTACTATTCACGAGCTTAATATTCGTATTGAAGAAATTACAAGAACTGTCACTGATATTACATCAATTAAGACTCGTTTATCACAGGTTAATATAATGAATTTTTATTATGATTGGATTATAATGAATTACTTAATTATATTCAAACAGTTATTATATTTATGATAATTTTTAATTACATTATATCTATGAAATTTCATAGGAAAACATTGAATTGGTCAAAGAAGTTCAAGATTTAAAAGTTTCAATTGAAAATACAACCTACCTGAAGTCTCAGATTGCTGGTCAATTGGAAGATGCTCGCAGGAGATTAGAAGACGATGAAAGAGTAAGTAGGCATAAATTATATATTATCTACATTTATTCAGTTTAAAAAATTGTAATTTAACATATATTATAATAAAATATTATATTTTTTCTACGATCCAATAAAGACTATTGTAGCCTCCTCCAAAGGAGAGGAGAGGTTTAAGAACTGCTGTTATTCTGGGACATAGCATGAGTAGTTTATGGGAACTACCTATAATCGAATCTTGTACCCCAGATAGTATGCATCAGACATTGCCGCGTTACCGACTTGATCACATCATTCCCGTTACTTTAATTTAATTTTATACTTTACTATAAGATTATATTAAAAAACTAAATTAATTTACAGAGACGTTCACTTTTGGAAGCTAACTTACACTCAGTAGAAGTCGAACTAGAATCAACTAGAGTTCAATTAGAGGAAGAATCTGAGGCTCGCTTAGATCTTGAAAGACAATTGATTAAAGCCAATGGTGATGCTCAAGCCTGGAAATCAAAATACGACTCCGAATCTGCTGCTAGAGCAGAAGAAGTAGAAGAACTTAGGTAATTTTTAAATACCTAAGTACAATAAAAACTTATTATACTTAAATTAAAATTATGAAAATGTAAACAGGCGTAAATACTCTGCTCGTATTCAAGAACAGGAAGAACATATCGAAACCTTATTAGTTAAGGTCAACAACTTGGAAAAACAAAAATCTAGACTGCAAAGTGAAGTTGAAGTCTTAATTATTGATTTAGAAAAGGTATCCACGAATAGAACTGAAATATATATATATATATATATATATATATAAACAAAAATATTTTTAATAATTAAAATTGTTATTATTGTTTTAAACTTTATTAGGCCAATAATACAGCTCGAGATCTACAAAAACGTGTTGAGCACTTAGAAAAAGTGAATATTGACTTGAAGAGCCGACTTGATGAGGTTTCAGCTCTATTCGAACAAGCACAACGAGATCTAAGAAATAAACAAAATGAAATCCAAAGATTGACTCATGAATTAGACAAAACTAGAGAACAAAAAGATCAGTTAACTCGTGAAAACAAGAAATTGGCTGGTAAATTTATATGTAATAAATATTAGTTTTCTAGATAAAATGACATAGCTTTTTTTTTTTTAATAAAGATGACTTACATGATGCAAAGAATACAATTGCTGAGTACAACAGAAGATTGCATGAATTGGAATTGGAACTCAGAAGATTGGAGAACGAGCGTGATGAACTTAGCGCTGCATACAAAGAAGCTGAAGCTGTATGTTAATAACTTAAATACTTTAATATTAAAACTAATATAACTAAAATTAATACTAATTAAAACTAATATAGAGCAAAAAAACATTACAATAGATAATAGTAACACTTAAACTCTAAAATGATAATTTATAGGTTATTAAAATGATTTATCGCATCACATAGTGACATCTAATTAAATTTCAAACTTGAATTGAAACATTTTTGAACTGAACTATGTAATTTTTATAATTAAATTTATATTAGATTGATTTGAATTTAAAATAGTTGAGTTTAGCATATCACTTACGTAACTGTTAACCAATTATTATTTAAACAACGAAATATGTTTGATGCAAAAAAAATATATCAACAATTTAATGAAAAAATTTTTTAATAGTTATCAATATATTTCTATTTTGTTCAAATATTTAGGGAAGAAAAGCTGAAGAAGCAAGAGCTTTCCGTTTGTCAGCTGAACTTACTCAATTTAGACATGAAGCTGAAAAACGTTTGGCAGAAAAAGATGAAGAAATTGAGGCCATACGGTAAATAGTTTATCGTGTTTACTAAAATTAAGTTGGATAAATAATTATTTATTTTTCAAATATTTCTAAGTAGACAATATTCATTCCCAATTATTCGATATTTAAAAAAATAATATAAGAGAATTATAGTTATATCTTAACTGTTAATCTCAAAGTAAGTCATTGAAGAGTTGCTAAAGAAAATAAATAAACAAAAATCAAGAATAAATAAAAACTTTTTTATTCGAAGATATTATTAGTTATAACTATCTCATAAAAAGTTTTTCGTCTCAATTCCAAAAGTGATGAGATATCAAAATTTTATTGGCTTTATTATACTTATTAAATTTTCATATAAAACAATTTCTGTTTAATATTCTTTTAAATCTTATTATCTAAAACAATTAATTTAAAAAAATTCCAAAATTTTTATTGTTTAAAAAATTGTACAAATATTCAATGTCTTTTAAACTAAGAAACTAAATACTAAAGATAGCTTTATGAAGTGTAACTATGCATTCCCTAATGAAATATGAAGCTTTTCTATGTTAGTCATTAAAATATATTTACAATTTTTTTTGTTAAATTGTTAATATTTCTCATACAATATGGCACTTAATAATTAAAGTTGCCTTCCTTTGACATTGGCCTAGAAATTAACTGCCAAACAATAAAATAAAGTGAACGGATGTTAATATACAATTAATGCTTAACTATTGATAAAAAATCTTACATTAATTTTACTATTTGGGTAATTAAAAATTAAATTTGACATTAAAAAACATGCCAACAAAGAAAAATATGCATATTTTTAAAAAAATTGAAAACGTTTTAAGTATATATATTGCGTCTAATTCTATTAAAATTATCATAATTTTAAAAATTAATTTATTCAAAGTAAAACAATAATGATAGTAATATAAATTTTTCAAATGAAAATCATAGCTTTAATACACGTATTAAATGTTTGAATTTAATTAAAATTTCTTATTATAACATGAGTTCTATTTAAATAATAGATTTATTTTAGTTTTTTCATTCGCATATATAAAATTCTTAAAATAATTTTCCTATTCATGATTTTTGACATAAATTACTCTTCAACGTATTTCTCTTATGATATTTTTTTAAAGCTAATCATTTAAATAAAAAATTTACAACAGAGTAATTCTTAATTATATTACACAATTAAATATAAATTTAATTATTTTCAAAACATTTCTGTATAGATATAAAATATATTATCAAAATATTAAGATAAATTGACATTGGTTCAAATTAAAAACCTTCGATTTGTTTTATAAATATACTACTCGTTCAATACCGTTCACCATTTATAAAAATAAATCAATTTTAATCTGTCAGTCATAAGTGAATGTAATATATTGTATGATCGTTAGTTCTGTATTCTGCTCAAACTGAACAATGGCCACAAACTTTCGGGGTAGATCCGCAAAAAGCATTGAAGCTAATTTGTTGAAATCAGCTTATAAACATATTGCTGAAGGTAAAACAATTACTACCCAATTATCAACACAAGAAAATCGTAAAATAAAATTGAAGAAGAAAACAGTATTTGATTTAACTCACACGTATAATGAACTAGACGAAAAAAATATTCTTAAACCTTTAAACGAGATATCTAGTGAGCTCCGAAAGTTTGAAGCCAAAAGTTCTAATTATTTTCATGATAGAAGGTATCACAAGACTTATTATTTTTTTTTGTTAATTTACCACAAAAAATATTTGGTTATCATTCATATTGATTAGTTATAAATAAATAAATATAATAAAAATTATTTTAGCAAGCAAACCAGCATTGAAATTGAACAGCTAAATGCACGCGTAGTGGAAGCAGAAACTAAGTTGAAAACAGAGGTAACCAGAATCAAAAAGAAGATGCAAATCCAGATTACCGAATTGGAAATGTCTTTGGATGTTGCTAACAAGAATAATATTGAATTACAAAAAACAATTAAAAAGCAATCCTTACACTTAACGGTAATATAATCTCATATTTAAGAAAATTATTTAATTTTATTATTTTCAGACTAATAGTAAAATTAGTACGAAATTTATGTTTGTTTCTTAAAATATTTTTCCATAGAATCAAAAATTGTGTTATATTAAATCATAATACATTATATTATATTTTTGCTTTGCTTTCCATAAAAACATTATGTTATAACTGGAATTATTTGTTTATACATTTTGTTTAAAATACTGGAAGCTTCCTAAGTTTGTGCAACTTTATCATAGACTTATACAGTAGTGTAGAAATACTATCGTTATAGGAAGGTTTAACCACCTAACCCTTCTCGAAATTATAATATCGGTCAAATAAATTACTAAGTTTTCAAGTTATCTAATAAAGATTTGTACTAGCTGATAGTGTGTTCGGAAAAACTTTACAAAATGTATAAATGTATTTAATTCCGCTTTCTACAACATCAATAATTAACACATTGTATTATTTATTTAAATATTAACAGGAATTGCAAGCTCATTACGATGAAGGTCAAAGACAATTAGCTGTCACCTTAGATCAGTTAGCTATTGCTCAGCGTAAATTACAATCTATGACAGGAGAATTGGAAGAACTTCGTGGAAACTATGACGCTGTAAGTATTTTTTATCATCGTAATTCAAATAATAGTTTTTCGAAAGCTTAATAAAAATTAGGAATATTTTAGTGATAAGATAAAAAAAAAAAAGGATTATGTGTATTATTATTTTTAAAGGCATTGCGTAACAAACGCGCTGTTGAACAAATGTTTGAAGAATCACAGAGCCGCGTAAATGAATTGACCACTATCAATGTTAACTTGTCAGCATCCAGAGCAAAGATTGAACAAGAATTGCACCAATTGGCCAACGACTTTGAAGAAGCTTCCAAAGAACTTAGAGTAATTATACCTAATACATAATATACTTATTATTGAAAATTCATAAATAAGATATGTATTATCTTAATCAATGCTTTAAGAGAAAAAATTACTGTTACATATTATCGTAACTTAATAATTTAAATGTATTACTTTTATTGATTTGAGATAAACGTTATCCATTTTTACAGAGATGTAAAAAATTTAATTTTAAATTGGGCGTATTTAGGGGAAGCGAGAATACCAAACTCTAAGTACGTCTCTGTTAATTTGACGATTTTATACAATTTTTACAATTCACTTTTTCTTTTTAATTTGGTTTTTTTAAATACATTTTGCTTATAATAATAATTTTATATACTAATGATTTTCGTAATAACTTGATACTAAAAAAACACTTAATAAATGTAAAATCTTTATTTAGATTGCCGATGAACGTTACCAACGTGTACAAATCGAATTGAAACACACCGTTGAAGTTTTGCATGAAGAACAAGAAAGAGTTATCAAGATCGAAACAATTAAGAAATCACTTGAGATCGAAGTTAAAAATCTTTCTGTTCGTCTAGAAGAAGTAGAAGCCAACGCTATCGTTGGTGGAAAACGCATTATCAGCAAGCTAGAAGCTAGGGTAAGTGAATATGTAATGCTGAAATCTAACATTGAATATTAAATTTTATTATTTTTATTTAGTAACAATTATCATTTTGAATCATAATATTTATATCATGAAAAACGATTTTTTTACAAATGTATTATAGATCCGCGATTTGGAATTGGAAGTTGACGAAGAAAAACGTCGTCACGCAGAAAGCGTTAAAATCTTACGCAAAAAGGAACGCTCATTGAAAGAACTCGTCATCCAAAGCGAAGAAGACCATAAGAACGTACAATTATTACAAGAACAAGTAGATAAACTTAACCAAAAAGTGAATATTTATAAGAGACAATTACAAGAACAAGTTAGTTGATATTTATGATGTTTATATAAGTGTTGAAATTAAAAAAAAGTAATTGTCTAATACGAAAATTGCTTATGGTGTTTAATAGGAAGGTATGAGTACCCAGAGTGTAACAAGAGTAAGGAGATTCCAAAGAGAATTGGAAGCAGCAGAAGATAGAGCTGACACAGCTGAAAGTAATTTGTCTTTGATTAGAGCCAAACACAGGAGCTTTGTGACCACTACCTCCCACCCAGGTTCACAAGTTTACGTCGTTCAAGAATCTAGATCTACGACTTCAGAAAATTATTAATTCTTTGAATAACAAAATTTACTGTTTTTATTAATGTAACCGTTTTTTTAATAATTTACAGAAATAGGCTCTATTTATTCCACATTGAAAATTTTAATAGCTTTTGCTACCCCTTAAAAAATGTATACATATTACTAAAAATATGACAAGTTGACAATAATAATTTTGTACTTCATTTAAATATAAAACAAAACCTTAAACTGAATTGATGATTTGTTAAATTAAAATATTACTTTTGATTATTCGAAATCAAATTGGAGAGATTAAATCATTATGGCCTACTTCTGGTTATACATAAAACTAAAGTTATAGAATGTAATTATATGTAATGTTTATTTCTGATGCCTATATTATCAATAAAATAATTTTGAAAATCATGCTAGTTATTTTTCTTTAGTAAAAAAAAGTTAGATCTTATAGTAACTGCTAATTATAATCCATATTATTATAATTAGAAAAATAGAATAAAAAAGTTTTTTGCTTTTTTAAAGTCCAAAAAATAACTTTAAAATTTAATTAGTTTAAATTCCTAATTTTATTAATTTTAAAATTTTGCATTTTTTTTAAGTTAAAAAAATTTTTAAATCACTTAATTTTTATCTCATTTAGATTTATTAACTTCAATAAATATCAAGGATCCTATCACTGTATGCTCCCCTCATAAGAAAAAATTTCTTATTCATGTTAATATTATTTTACTATGTGTTTCTTTTTGTGGCTGCGATTTATTTTTCCAACCCTAAATTAACCTAATTTTTTCAACGATATGTCAAATGATTACAATTCGTATTTAGTTGAAGATATTACCCTCAAAAATTAAAAAAAAATTCCTTAATTAAATAAAAAATTTACCTTAAATAGCTTTATCCATACAAACAATTAAAATGATTCATTTCTAGTATTTTTAATGTATTTATTGTTGAATTAGATCTGATAACGGTTCGATGGAGCTGAGAAAAAGTGGTAAGAGACAAAAAAAAAATTACATCGTAGTAAAAAAAACCTTCTCAGCTTCGCATCGAAGTTAAAACATTTAAATATCTTAAACTTAGAAAAACTAACATTCATATACTAACCATAAAAACTAGAAAAATTTAATCAGCATATTGACTTAAGCACTCTTTTTTAGATTATTTTAAACTTCTATTTTCCAATATTACTTTAATCTTAACTTTACAAAAGTAAAAATAAATTAGCCAATATTTCTTTCACCATTTATATGAAAAAGGTAAAAATAATATGTACTTTGATAATTTTTAACTTTTACTCATCTTATTAGTATTAATAAATTTTAAACTGTAATTTTACGGTTACATATGGTTACTAATATTTTATAACCAATAACCTAATATTTAAATTCGACTCGTGTAATGAAGGCGCAAATGCAGAATACATTTTATTTTACCTCTCAAAAAAATTTTTACTCAACAATTAAAATAAAATACAAAACATCATTTTCTATATTATATTTATATTTTTTTTATTATATTATATCATTTTATTTAAACATCAAATATTTGTTCATAAAACTAAAGTGATGAAGTCTGTAAAAAATTTAGCTGAGCCAAGTTTGCTCATTTGACACATTGAAATTTATGAACCAACTTGCACGAATGTAATTATACAAATATAATGCCACTTAATACTTTTTTATTATTACAATATTAAAATAATAATAAATTTTTCATAAAATTCTATACCGATTTTAAGAGTTTTAAATTAAGCATTTAATACTTAAGAATTAAAAATGTTTCAAATTTTAAACCAAATAATTGTGTTAAAACTTATACACGTTTATGGATAGAGGTGGAACTGGATCAAGTGTTCTAAAATCATTACTAAATTAATATATGCATATATTTTTTGAAATAAATTATTGAACTCTACAAAATACAAATAATTTAATAACAAACTAGGTAAACGTAGTTAACAAAACATAGTTTACAGTTTTTGTTGAAACTTATTTCTCAAAAAATAAAACAAGAAAAAAAAAATACAGCAAATTATTTAACATGCAATATAAATGTATGGATAAATTATCTTATTATTGACTAAATAAGTTATTGCTTAGCATTAATTATATCAACAAATTCAGGTTTTAGAGATGCACCTCCAACTAAAAATCCATCAATATCACATTCCTTAGCTAAATCTTTACAATTAGCTGCTGTAACTGATCCTCCATAAATAATACGAGTTTTTTGAGATACTGCTTCACTTACTTCATCAGCTAACCATTTGCGTAAGATTTTGTGTACTTCTTGAGCCTAGCAAAAAAATTATATTTTTCTTTAATTATATAATTATATTAAATGATATACCTGTTGAGGACTAGCCGTTTTTCCAGTTCCTATTGCCCAAACTGGTTCATAAGCTATTACAACATTATCCCAATTACAAATTTTTTCATGAATAGCTTTAATTTGCTTAGCTACTACACTCTCAGTTTGACCTGCTTCTCTTTCATCTAAAGTTTCTCCAATACATGCAACAACAGATAATCCAGATTGAAGAGCATGATTAACTTTTTCAGCAATCAGCTGAAAATGATTAATTAATAAAAATAATAATAATAATAATACTGATAGTTTTTTTTTATTTTAATTATACACTTTCAATTTATTAATTATAAAATATTTTCAAATTCATCTCTTATATCTTATAAAGATATATACTGTATTTTTTTAATATAATAGTGATAATATATTTAACTAGCTTAAGTAATAGAAAATTATAAAATTAAGAAATGACAAGTTAATCAAAATTTTTAAATCAGTATTTTAAAAATTATATATCCAGTATTCACATCTTACTTCTAGCCATTACTTTAAATTGTTAATAACTTCTGAAAATTAGGTCTAAAAGTTAATATCATTTTCTTAATTAGACAATTTACCTATAAAACGAGCTAGTTAAATATGTATGTTCTCATTTGAAAAAATAAAGTTGACATTCATATAAGGTATAAAGGATTAACTAAAAAAATATTATATGATTATTAAATTGAAAAAAGTATATAATTATAAGAAAAAATGCTATCAGTATTATTATTATATTTTTACTAAATAAGTTATTTACAAAATATGATTACAAAATAGAATACAAATTATAAAAAAAAAAAAAACCCAGCACAGGGGGGTCACGGCACAGTGGTGACGTGGCATAAATCGATCAAGTATAATGATATCTGACAGTGATTAAAATCACTATAAAAAAAAAAACGCTTCAATGCAAATCTTTAGATAGTGTTAAATTTTAAAAAATTGGTGGATTATTCCAAAAGCTACATGATCTGCTAGTTCATTATTAATATCCTAATTAAGATAAAGTATATCGAATGAAAAAGGGATTATTAAAAAATATTATTTCTCATAAAAAAATAATGTTGATCCATACACTTTTCAATATGTCATAGCATTATAAAGTTAAAAATGTAAAAAATAAAATCGAGAATTTTCACACAATAATAGCATTTGGTAGCCATTTTCACCGTGAAGATAAAATAAAGTCCGAAATTTTTTTTTACCATTATAAAGTATATTACATTAGCTTTAATTTAAGATATATATAAAAGTGTCAGACCTTCCGGAACACTTTCAAAAGTTACGTTGAAAAAGTTCTACTTTCTATATGCATTTTTATGTTTTGAATCCCCCCTGTATTTAGGGAAATGGTCCGATTTAAAAAAACAGTATGTCGAATGAAAGATCTATATAAATACTACTTCTCATAAAAAAATTGTAATGATTCATACATTTTTCAAAAAGTTATAGCATAATAAAGTTAAAAATGGAAAATACAAAATCGAAAATTTTCACACAAAAATAGCATTCGGTAGCCATTTTCACCATGAAGATAAGATAAAGTCCGAAATTTTTTTTTTTCATGATAAAGCATATTACATTAGCTTTAATTTAAGATATATATAAAAGTGTCAGACCTTCCGGAACATTTTCAAAATTTAAGTTAAAAAAATTAATTTTTTGTGAAAAAGTTGTCATTTTAAATCCCCCCTTGTGGGCAGGTTAAGGGTTAAATTTATGAAAAAAATATACCAAATGAAAGGTAATGATATTATGCATCTATATAAAAAAGAATTATATTGATATGTTTATTTTTGAAAAAGTTATGGCACTTTTAAGTAAAAAAATTTCGAAAATTAGCGATTTTTAAATTTGTAATTTTTTTGGAGATTTCCCCCATTTACGGGGAACGAGGGAATATTTTTCAATTTTTGAGGGTAATGTCTTCGACTAGATACGATTTGTGATCTTTTGACGTATCATTGAAAGAAATCGGTTCGGTGAGAGCTGAGAAAAAGTGGTAACAGACACAAAAAAAAAACACATCTTAGTAAAACCAATACCTTCTTAGCTTCACATCGAAGCTAAAAAAAGACTAAAAAGAAAATTTTATGTTGACATACTATCAAATATAGTAAATGTAATACATTTTTTCATTCAAAATATTAATTTAAGAAAATATTTAATCAGAACATATTTTAATAGCAAAAAAAAAAAATTGCAACAATTTCTAAAAGTAGAATATTAAGGGTTAGGGACAATAACCAACATCATAGCTAATAATTATTTAAATAATAAGTTCTAATTATACAATAGATTAAAAGAGAAGATGCTAAAAATAAATCTTAATAATAATACTAAATCAATTAAATTTTACCAAGTCTGTTTCTTGAAAAATTTGACGACGTTCCGAGTGGCCCAAGATAACCCAGTCAACACCTATGTCTTTAAGCATAGCAGGACTGATTTCACCAGTAAATGCACCCTTTTCTACTTTGTAACAATTTTGAGCCGCAACTTTAATGCAGCAAGAGGATTTTTCTTTAACATAATCTAAATATAAGGCTGGAACACCTATTAACACATCTAAAAACAAAGAATACCGTTATCTAAAATAATTAAATTAAGTTAAACATAGATGACTTACCAACGTTAGGATCTAGTGATCCTTTCATCAAATTTCCTAGTAGATCATCAGCTACTTTTTTTGTTCCATTCATTTTCCAGTTACCACCAACAAAAAATTTGCGTGACATATTTGTTACACTGCAAAACGCTCTAAAAAAATTGTAATGATATACAATAAACCAAAATATTTAACTAATAAACCATACAGTAGTTGCTAAAATAAACGAGTTTTCAAACAATCTCACAACGTATTTTAAGTTAAATTAGCTCTTTCAAAAAATATTAACAATTAAGAAAAACGGTTGCGTAAAACAGAAAAAGAGTGCACAATATTCAGCTGCTAGTTGGTTTTCAATATTCTATACACTCGAGTTACAATTTGACCTTTGATAGCATTTAGAGGTTATGGGTACAATCAAGATTTTGTGAAACTGTAGGTTCAAACCTAAAACTTGGCTTAGACCGATTGATAAGAATGAATGTTGAGTAATTGTTTTAAATATTTTATTAAACTTTAAACATTAAATCCAACTAGTAAAGCAATATTATTCTATCAAGTTACAATATTATTATCATTACTTACAATATTTATGACTAATCAAAACATTAAAAATACACAATCTACAAGTATTAAATAAAGCAAATACTTTTTCAAAAAATTAACTATTCAAAGCAAGAATATTGAAATAAAATTTTGAATAATATAGGAAATAAAATTAAATAGCCAAGTCTTATTAAGAGGTAAGAATGTATGAATAGATAAAAATTAATTAAGTTTGTTCTAAGTTGATGTATTGGATCCTTTTTAAAATATTAACAGAGAAATAAAAATGCATGACTAAAATAATATTTTTGTTTGGGTATTAGATGTCATATGTAATTATACTAATTTTATTTTCATGTCTAACAATTTAATGCTATTTTCTTAAAAATCTTCATAAAATATTAAAGATATAATTGTAGAATTAACACTTTTTACTATAAAATTTTAATTATTAATTATTTTGAGATGCATATTATACTACTATGATAATAAAAAATATATATTTTACCTCCAATAATAAAGATTTAAAATAAAATAGTATTGTATGTAAGATCATTAGGTTTTTTTTCAAAGATATGAAATTGTAAAAGTATTATTTTAAATAATTTGCATGTGTAGACTGGGCTTCTAGGTCCAATAAATACCTGAGGTGCTAAAATTTCTATACCATATTAAGCATTTACATATCCATTTAAGTATGAAATATTTGTATACAATTTTATGAGACACCTACTAAGTGCAGTTAGAGATAAGGAACTGAATCCCTGACATTCCCTTTTCTTTAATCTTTGCTGTAATCAATAAAACTATTAGTTTTATTTACTACTAATACTATTTAACAAAGTTAATTTTTAAGTTATTTCTGTTATGTTATTTTTCGAGATCGTTATAACAATTAAATTCAAATTCGGCTTGAAGTATATTAAGTTGGAGATATTTATGTTCTAAATTTTAAAGGTTTCAGTTTTACTTACTCAAATAGCTTGGATAGCTTAAGATAATATAAAGGATAACTTGTACTGTATCAATAAACTGTTTGTTTAAGTTAATTTTTGTTATAAATGAGACTGTAAAAATTGTTCAGTTATAAATAACTTGTTTTGTTTGTTGAATTATTCTGATTCTCTAAATTATGATTTAATTATTTTTAGAATTAGTACTATTAAATAATAATAAGATAACTAATAGTGAGAAAAACTTATCATCATTGATTGTTCCAAAATGGTTCCATTTATTTAATGTTAAAAAATAACATTGTTTTCATAGAAGTGAGTATACTTTTACTACACCTAACAAGTCAAAATTTATAATTGTGGGTTGGATTGTTGTAAGACAAAAGATGTAATGTTGGTAATCATAAACGTTCTGCTGATATGCTAATTTTATTGAGGATGAGGGAGAACCATTGTTTTAGGAAATTTTGGAGAGTAACGCTAAGGTATAAGGTGTAGATTAAGTGTAAAATACATATACAAAGTGTACCAGGAAAAGATACAAGTTAGTATTAAGTGCAGACAAGGAGCGAGACACAAATTCTATACATACTAAGAAGAAGGATATAACTAAGTACAAGTTGAGGACTAGTATTTAAGTCAGATAAAGAAATTAAAAAAGGTAGGTAAAGACGTCAAAAATAAAAAAACCAACTCTTGACTTAAGGTTGAAAGTCAGGTAGTGACAATCGAGTAATGAAACTGATATTTTGACAATAAATTTTGATGTGTGTTCTGGAGTCAACTGACCACAATGGTCAGGTTTAATTGGTTTAACAGTGCTTAAATGATTGTGTAGTTGTATATATTTTTTAATTATCAAGTCATTAGTCACCAGCGGCAGAAGTGTTGTCTAAATTTATTGTTATATATACTATAGTTATTAAAAAAATATTGATGATGTGACTCCATGATAGACTACTGTTGATAATGTTTAAAAAAAGTTAATACAGGATATTCTTTAAACTCAATTGCTTTAAAAATAATAGTTTTTTTGCGAACTTTTTTTAGAATTGGTTACATATATATTTTTATTTATCTGTTATAAAATATTTTTTATGTTTTTTTAATATATCGTGGAGACGTCGACTTTATTTTTTTTAATGGCAACAAACATATTTAACTAGCTTATAGAAAATGGCTGGTTTACAATAACTTTTAAACTAGTCTTCAAAATGTATTATAATTATGTTGTTATTTGAAAAAATAAATTAGACACCCCTATAAAATATTAAAGATGAACATATAAAATATTTTACAATAGATAAATAGAAGTATGTAACAAAAGCCAAAAAAAAATAATAAGAAAAAATGATCATTTTTAAAGAAATTGAATGTCAAATGTTAGAAGAATCACTATGTATAAGAATATTTATGATCCAAGGAAAAAGTATCATATTTTATTATACAAAATTTTCAATTGTACTTAATGATTTTTTAAGAATATGTACTTTTTTAATCCCTTAATCTACCTGAAATATAGCTTTTTAATTGAGAAATATTAATTATTATAAGTCATTATTATTAAATATTTTTTTTGGTTTTATGCGTAAAATATTTGAATTTAAATTATTATTTCATATTCAGGTAGAGAAATATCTTAAATTTAAAATAATTGTGGTAAGTTTTTCACATTATATATATATCATGTAATGTATTTTTAATTTATTTTAAACTAACTTATGCAATATGAAAAACAATACATTAAAATATTGAAGTAACATCTTAAAATACTGTTATAAATTAAAATTAAAACTACATACTTTACCTTTTAGCAAGACTTATACTTGAAATAGACATATTTTTCTATAAAAAAATGTGATTTATATAGCTAAAAAAGCACTTAAATTTTATACTTTGATTATAAAAATAAAGTACAACTCCTAGCTTAAGGATACTAAAAATTGTTAATGTGTTAATATTTTTTACTTAAAATTTTGTATTTTATACTGTTTTAGTTTCTTATAAAATACATGGATTAAATTGTTTAAAAAATTATTTTATGCTCTATGGCTAATCCATCAGAGGATGTTTACCAAAAAGAAGAAAGAAAATATGTTTTTAAAAATCCAGACTTTGATGTAAGTTTGATAAAATATTATTAGATTTTTTTTCTATTTATTAAATTTAAATTGATAAATTTGTAATGATTAATATTAATTATTTAAAAAATGTTGATAATTTACAAAACTTTCCAATACACATTTAAATTGTATATTAAATTACATGAAAATAGTAAAATAATTTTGTTTTAAGTTTACATTTTAGTTAAGTAATATTATTAGGACCCATTTTTTAATGAGTAATATGTTCATGATAATAGCTTAACAAGTATTAACTAGTTTCCTCTGTACTTTTATGAATCTTATTGAAAAAGTAATTTTTTTAGAGCAACAAGACAGTGAATGGTAAAAAAAAAATGTGGCGATCTTTGAAACAAATCATAGCACAAGAGAGAAATTTACCATGGCCTGATGATACAATTAATTGTAGCTATACATAAAAACTGGATTAAAATTTTATCATTATAAATAATAACATTGTATGTTTCCAGATAGCTGTATATCAGCTCCACCATCTTTTAAACCTGCTAAAAAATATTCTGATATTAGCGGGTTGATTGTATGTAATTTTACCATAAATATTGTTTATATTAAAATAGTCATATAAAATATATTTTATTTAGGCAAAGTATAAAGATCCACAAACATCATTGTATTATGCTGGTCACGAGGAATTTAGTACAGTGAGAAATTTACCAAGTGATATAATTACAGGATACCTAACACTACGCGGTGCTTACAATCCAATTGGATAAAATAAAATTTGTTAACATCTATAAATCCAAAATATTAAAAAAATAATTTATATTATGATATATTAAACAGCAAATAAATATACTTTTTATAATAAATCAGTTTTTATTTAATTTTTCAATAGAATGTGTTCTTGTTCCTACATTCATTAATAACATCTCTACATTGACTTAAAAATATTTTTTTAAAACTTAAATTATCTTAAATTTGAGGATCTATTTTAGCTTCATCAAACTTAACCGAGGGAAATTTTGTTGGATCTTCTCCTGATCCAATGTCGAATTGCTTACTAATTTTTTCCAAGTCGGCATTGTAACCTTTGTCAACACTTGGGTCAAAAGACTTGGAATCAAATTTGGATTTATACTCTCGAATTTTGTCCAAAAAAAGTTGTTGGATAGGATCAGACACATTAGCCATCAAAACAGATGATGAAGATACATTTCGCTGCATAAATCGAGATGCTTTTTTAGCTAAATTTAAGCTTTGCATCAAGTTAAATGACAACATTGTTTATCTGTAATAAATACAGTTTTAGAATTAAAATAATTTTTATAATTTTGAAATTTTACTTACAGATTTTTTTTAACTACACCAGTTATGAAAATGTAAAAATAATGTGTATTTAGTTTTGACTATAAGAAACCAATTTTATAATATAAATCATATGACCTAATAATCACCTTACATATAATTCCTGAGTTTTTACAAATTTAAGTGATAAATTGACAGTGTGACCACCTCTAAATAATTGGACTTATTCAGGTTGAACTTATTTAAATTATAATTTTATCGATATAAGAATCTTTTAATATTGATGAAATAGGGAATTTAAAAGGAAATTTTTTTTTAATTTTGGTAAAAACTTATCAAAATATATAATTGAATTATTTGAAGAATTTAGTGTTTTCTTGTTTTATTCAATTGTCCACGGTTATGATATCAAACCATAACTGAGCAATTTGGAAATTTTCTAACGTATGAACATGATAGCTACAGTAGTGGCCATGACAACAAAAACAGAGAATGACTGGGTAGTTTTTTTTTTTTAAATCCTTCAAAATATGTTTTAATACGTCCTTAAATATATAAATTCATATTTATAAATAGATTTAAATAGTATTTCATTTTAAAAATCCTCAATTTATCAAAATGAAAATTACAGTAACAACTCACGACGACAACTTATTTGTATTAGACGTGAACGATGATTTAGAACTTAATAATTTTAAAGCTCTCTGCGCAATGGAAACTGGAATCCAATCTGATCAGATTGGCTTAACTCATAATGGACAGCTCTTAGTTGATGATTTCAAAGCAATGAAAACACTTGGAGTTCATGATGGAGATGTCATCATAATTCAAAGGCTTACAAACAGTTCAACTAGTTCAAACAGTGGTTTTGTAAACCCCAGTACTAGTAAGTTTTTAAAAATGAAAATCTGTTTAAAATTTTCATAAAAATTGTTTTAAATAATTTTTATAACTTTCAATTTAATTTTATCACCTATATACTTCTAAAGATAGAATTAATAATTATATTGAATTTACTCACAATAGAATGGTTACAACTTTTTAAATAAAGTATGATTCTTTTATATTTTATATTATATTTATTGTTATATAAAACAAAATAATTAGTATAATTATAACTAATATATACTTATAACGTAGTTGTTTGATTCCTTATTGAATTTGTTTTTTATTAGATATTATGCCGCAATTCGACTTTAGCCGTATTGAAGTTCCTGGAACATCTGGTGGAAATCAACCTGCCAGGCAAAATCAAATGGAAGATGCTGAGTATGTTAGAAAATTGTTCCTTTCTAGTCCAGATCAACTGGCCCTTTTAAAACAAAACAATCCAAGATTAGCCGATGCTCTCTCTTCAAATAATTTAGGTATATAATAAAAATAATTCATTACAGATTATTAATTTCTTGTTTAAATAACAATATACAATCATTTTTAAAAAAAAATTTTTTACTTAGTAAAAGTAGTTTTTGAAATAATTGTTATTATTATTATTATTTTGTAGAAGAATTTGCTAAGGTCATGGCAGAACAAATGGAAGAACGTAATAGACGAGAAGATCAAAGAATTAGAATGCTTAAAGCACACCCCTTTGATTCTGAAGCTCAAAAATTGATTGCTGAAGAAATAAGGCAGAAAAATATTGAAGCTAACATGGAAGCAGCAATGGAATATAATCCAGAAATGTTTGGAACTGTTGTGATGTTATATATCAATTGTAAAGTTGATGGACATCCAGTTAAAGCTTTTATTGATTCTGGTGCTCAAACTACTATTATGTCATCTGCCTGTGCTGAAAGGTGTAATATTATGAGATTGGTAGATAATAGATGGGCTGGTATTGCAAAAGGTGTTGGTGTACAGAAAATAATTGGTAGAATACATATGGTTCAAGTAGCAATTGAAAATGATTTTTTGACTACTAGTTTTTCTGTCTTAGAAGAGCAACCTATGGATATGCTTCTTGGATTAGATATGTTAAAAAGACATCAAGTAATACTTATATATTCTAGAAAATTAAAATTTAACTTATTCACTTTTACTGTTTAGTGTTGTATTGACTTGAAAAATAATGTGTTGAGAATTGGAACTACAGGAACTGAAACGCCATTCTTAGCTGAAAATGAATTACCAGACTGTGCTAGGTTAACTACATCTAGTGATTATGATGGATCAAAGAAAGAGGATAAAGAATTAAAGAAAGCCTTAGAGGAAAGTAAAAAATTATATCAAAGTGGAGGTAATTTTTGCACACTTTAAACTTCTACTTTTGTTTCTTATCAAATTTTAAAAATTTCAACATTTGATTTATTATTTACTAGGGAAACGAAGAAGAGATGCTTACTTTTTTGAAATAGAACATTTCCCATTATTTCCAGGTACCTCTTTTTCCTAATGACATCCTTCACCATGAACATTGAATATACTTATACTTCCTTGATTAAATATTAATTATTTTTGCTACAAATTAATAAAAAAATTAAATTTTTTCTTATTGTAACTTTTTAGAAAGTAGCAACAGTTCTAGTCAGTCCTTCAAAGAATCTGATATAAATGAACTAGTCAATTTAGGTTTCTCTAGAGAACAGGTAAATTATTTGAAAATAAAACTAAAAAAATAGTTTGTTAACTTTTAATGTATTCTAGGTTATACAAGAATTGAATAGATTTAATGGTAATAAAAATCAAGCAATGGCATCTTTATTTGCAAAAATCTTGAAATTTTGACATTATTATACTGAAACACTAATTAAAAAAAATTTAACCATTAAATGTGTTCCCTCTTTTTATTTTAATATTAGTTGATTCCAGATTTGTTTAATCTTTAATAACATTATTGTTCTATAAAACTAAATAATTTCATTGTATCAGGGAAAAAGATATACATACATATAATTAAAATCTTAATTGTAAATTATTATTTGATATGGTTTATTTAGTTATTGTACAAATTTGGTATAGGTCGTTCATACTAAATTCATTTCTATAATTGATTATTATAATTCATTTTTTTTTATTATGAGAATATTTATACTCTTTCTTCCTCAGTGTATAAAATATCTAATAGTAAGTAAGCTATTTGGCACAATAATAATATATCATGACTGTTAAAATTAATAAAATTCAGTATAAAATACCAATTGTATTGGATTGTAAATAATTATCTATACTTGGAATATTGTATATTTAATAAATATTTAATATTATAAAATTATTTGTGTGATTTTTGTTAAATACTTTTAAGTATTTCTTTTCTAATATTGTCTGAGTAAGTTAAATTTTTTTTGAATGTGATGTAAAACTAGAGTTCTCTTGATAAGATTTTCTAAACAATTTTTATTTATGTATTCTAAAATAACAAACATTAATTTATTTGAAATAGAAATTTGATTACCAGATTCAGATAAGTATTCTATATATATATATATAATCTTGTGAGATTATGGTGACTGATGGGTTTATCTCAGATACCATCACAAATATAGCCCCAAATTGTCGCAGAGGACACAAAATGGAAAACCTTTTTTTTTTTTTTAAGTAATCAAATTATTATATAAATAGTAAGAGTGTTTTCTTGTATAAAGTGAATTAATATTTATTACCAAAAATTACTCTTACACCTCTGATATTAGCTATTAGTATTACAATCATTAATTTCAAGGTTCTAAGAAGAGTGAACAGTTAAGAGTTTTTTTATTTATTTATATTCTGATGTCAATCACAAAACTAATATTTATGATATATTTATTAACTTTATTTTCTTTAGAGAATATATTATGTTCTCTAGGAAATTCTCTACAAGAGTAAAGAAAAAATATAATGAACACAAAACTATAAGTTATAATTTTATACTGAAAAACAGAATCATCCATTGAATGAACAGTTAATAATGTTCAACAATTGTAATATTGTTGTAGGACTTAATTTAGATATTTTCATTGTTATAATAACTACTAACATTAACTTATTACAAAATAATTATTTGGTTAATAACGCAACGATGTTCATTTACTGTTGTTATTACAATACATACTGTAAAACTTAAAGCAGAAAATATATTTAGTACCTTCCTTTTTTTGTAATAAACTGTTTTTATTTTTTTATTTAAATGGTAAGTTATAAGAAATTCATTAATTATAACTAAAAATCAAGATGTTTAGTAAAAACTTCTTATGTTTTACCCCTTATAAAATTATATTATATAAAATTGATTAATTTAAAAATTTCTCATTAAAATTCATTGGCATCCATGAATTCTAATTGTCAAGTTATAATTGATTCAAAAGTCAGTTTTTAATTTAACTCAGAATAGACCAATTAATATAACTTTTTGTTATTTATTTTCCGTAATAGAAAGAAATTAATTCAAACTATTAGACTTCATCACTCCATTAGTGCAATGATCTATTATGAAATTTGTAGTGTCTCAGTCTGCTCGTCCTGCCTTGATTAAAATAGTGATGTAACATTAGTGAAAAGATTACTGTGAAACATAATAAGCTTGCCTACATAAATGACTTTTTCTTATTATATATCATCTTTAATCATATATTAAATGTGGACTTGTCATTTAACAATTATCGAAATATAGAACTTTTTCAAAAAGTATAAAATGTAATTAATCCAAATTATAAAATTTAAATCGAACTAAGTTTTAATAACTACATTTTTTTAATTTCATGGGTAAAAATTAAAAAATGTTATCAAGTAAATAATAAATAAAGAAAATAGTTATGTTTTAAATTTCAAATAACAACAGTAAAATAAAAGTATATAAATTAATTTTATTATGCAAATATATAATAATAAAACTAAAAATTTAGACAAAATAAATCACTACAAGTATTACATGGTAAATCATACTAAAATAGTTTAACAACAATATTATATCAACAAACTATTATAAAGTTTGGAATGAAAGGAAGAATGTAAAATAACATAAATATTGCATTAAAAATACTTTAAATTATATTAAACTAAAAAATTAAGTGATCAAACATTAATAATTAGTCAAATCATTATCAATTTAATATACCCTCTTCCATTTTAAATGTTAAATAATAATGTAGTTACATTTAAGACTGGAACTTTTGAATTATAATGCATAATTATTACAATTATATTATATTCTAGGAAAGTAATTAAAATAATGATTTTTATTTCAAAATATAACAAATATTACTCCATTATGATTTATCTAAAAAAGTATAATAATAATAAAACAAACAAAAACATAATATTATACAATTTGGTTAAAAATCAAATTTTATACACGTCAATATATCATGAAGTCGAAAACTCATTTATTGGAAATGTTGATAAAAAATGTAATTTAAATTTTTTACTTAAATGATATTTATTAATGTCATTATGTACCTTAAAAAATTATATTGGAGTTAAAATATTTATATTGAATTTCACTGATACAGAATGATAAATCGTACATAATGTATATGTTTTACTCTGAATTTAAGAGAATAATTATCTATAAAATATTTAAAAATAAATTTAACATAATATAAGGTGAGTATACACAATTTCTAAAGAAATTGAGATACTTTATTGTTTATCACTGAGTTCCCATCGATGGAGGTGGAGGAGGTGGATCCTTAAAAGCAAAGAATCGTTATAATTAACTTTAATAATTTAAATTTATAGAATGCCTACTTTTGATCCACTGTCATCAGATCCTCCAAATGGCAATTTTTTTATTTCTTCTTCATGAGTACGAGCTCGATTGGGACGCAAAAAGTATAATGCCAGAGCAACAATAACCCAAATTCCAGTCATCAAAATAAAATTAGTATCCTCTCCACTTGATGCATTAGGGGAATCTAATCTTTGCACTGATAAATTTTTAATTTGTTAATTTATAAAATAAAAAGATAAGCTTTTTAAACAGAGTGTACAAAAGTAAGGAAATAGATCATTGTTAAAAACAAGAGCAATAGAAACTTTTTTCCTTACTTACTGAACATCCTATATAATTATAATTGTATAAGACTTATTCAATTATTTTCTTTTTGATTTTTACAATGGTTTTATACCATAATTTAAAGGTTATAATTCTATACTTTATAATCTGACTTAAAAACTAAAGCTACAAGATCTTATTAAATATTGCAGAATCTTTAGATTACTAAAAAAAATAATTTAATACAAATTAATTAAGAAATATTTTATCTTGCATCATTAAAATTCTAATTTATTTTAATAAATTTTTAAGAGTATATAAATTAACAGTTACAGTTGTTACACCTATATCAGTAACATAAAATTTATTGATCTATTAAAAATTAATTTACCTGGTTCTAAACAGTTTATATCTGTACAAGCTGTCTGGGATTGACGAAGCTAAAAAAAAATAAGAATAAAGTTAATAAATGTTTAACTTATCTGATAATTTTTTTGATCAATAAAATTTATCTTTTCATAAAACATCATTAAATAAATTTTATTTGATGTACTAAAGTAAAAATATATATTTTTAATAAAATAGTTTTTGGTATAAAAAAAAAGATTAATTTAACATGTAATTAATTATGGAAGCCAAATAAATTATGCTTAGAGCATTTTTTTAAGAGATGTGCTAAAAACACAATTTTATTTGATTTTCTAGTAAAATAACTGAATAAAAGAAATTTTAAAAAAGCTCATTGGATGTAAACTTTTAGTCCAGCATGTCCAAAGAATAAATATTATTCATACAAAGCTGCAATTTAATTTATTTATTTAATTATAAGGTCATTTTTTTTTCAAATTAATGTCCTATTAATAAACAACAATAGTAAAGAAGAATTTGGAATGATATTACTAATAATATATTGATAATATCATAAGTACATTGACTTTTCACAATCAAAACAAACATATTTTACCATAATATAAACTAATAATAACTGTCATAAATATTAATTCATATTTTACCAAAGATATCAATCTCTGCATAGACAGTTCATGGTTCCAATAGCATTCACATGGATCGTTATCACTCATGTTCAATTAATCTGAAAAGATAATGCAAAACTACTGAATACATTAAAAAATAGTTACATAATTAATAGTTAGGAAGTTGAGTAAAAATGGACATACCACGTAAATAAATTTAATTCACTAATTTAAGTAATTAAGTATACGTAGGATACAAAATTTAAAACGCAAACGTTGTAAGTTTAACAACAATAAAAAGATAAAAACACAAATTTCTAAAACTAAAAATGACTAGTTTCAATAATAGTTAAAAATATAAGATTTGTTTGCTTAGATAATAAATATTTATAAAATATCTAGCGAAAATAGTTTTTTAGTAAAAACAATGATAACGAAGTATGATAGTGATACTTCCTGTGTCTGACAGTAGTAAATAAAAAAATTTACTCCAAACAGCTGATAAAACAATATCCTAATATCAGTATATAGCAGATTAAATACGTGTCCACTTTCCTCTATTCCAGTATGCGAGGGCATTACTGAACTGTTACTGTCGACAATGATCAACCTAATTAATATTTACTTCTACTTATAGCATGATCTCTATAAAATTTACATGACATTTATTTTAATTTCTTCTTTAAATATTTCAAACACGGTTTATAAATTTAAATCACTTCAGCTAGATACCTATTTTGTAGTTTAGAGTCTAAAACATAAGTTCACTTTCAAAACTTATATATTTTTACTTTATTTGAATTTAAAATTATGAACAACTATGTAGTAAAGATAATTACATTTTAAAGAAACATTGCTATTTTTCATTAAACAACGTAAATAAGAACTCCAAATTTATAATGTTCATATACGTTTTAGAATTTTTGATTTTAGTTAAATTTCGCACCAAGAAACAACTGTAGGCGATTCCTACTTTTGAACACAACATAACGAGATGCCAAGTTTATTCTCTTTTAGTTATGTCTTTGTTTAAATGAATAAAGACACAAATAAGGAGAACAATAATAACCAGCTGGGTTTAATTACAAGGACACCCATATAATTGTAAAAGCTTTTTCTATTCGGCAAAATTGAGTATTGGCTATAATTTGATTAATTCTGTTGTTCTTTAATTTTATTTTTGAGACAGATTTATTGTAATTTTCTGATAAAAGGTCAGCTGTATCACAACAACCGATATTTGTTTCCGATAAAAAACTGATAACCAAATTAATATTACAGTTATACTTAATTAATACAATTTTTACTAGATTAAAAATAAAAATTTTTATTTTAAAATTAAAAAAAAAAATGATAAAAATGTTTCATATTTTTTTTCTTGTTAGTTGCAGTTGTTGTTGTTAGTTAGTAATAAAAAATTAGCTTTTAACGTAGACCAAATCTATAAAAATTAATTTAAAAAAAAGTTAATTAACACAAAATATTTAAGATTTAAAAACCTAATGGGAGACTTTGTAATAATATAACATTTTGATTAATTTTTTGTAACTCTTTATAATATTTAATAGTATAATTTTAGTTGGACCCCATATTTGAAGAGCGATGTAAATCAAATAATTTTTAAAAACAAATTTTCAAGTGAATAGACTCTTTTTATGGATAGACATAATTTTTTAAAATAATACTTCATGACAACTTGTACATATGAATAAACATATTCAGTATCTAATGAAGATGCTTGATGTCAATTCACTAAAGTTAGTCTTGTAAATTGCAAGAAATCGAGTATTATAAAAATTGAAACGAATTTCATGAGTTTTTAAACGTTTCTTCTGAAGTCAAATTAATTTAATTTAATATTTTATTGCTTTAACTCGGCGTATCTCATCAAATATTTTTCTTTGGCTATACAGTTTTAACGCAGTACACCATCAATGATAGCTTAAAACAGTTTTTGTTACCATTTTCTACTAGTTTTTAGTACTTTGAACATATGTAGTTTCTCAAATAAATAATTCAGTTAACAGATGCCAATTTAAATAAAAAATGAAACTTAATTAAACTAATAAGTAATTATGTATGGTTGAAGATTTTTTTTTTAAAATCGATTCACTAGTATAAATTTGGTAGTTTGTTTATTGAAGTCTGAAAAAGTAGACCATCTGGGGACAGATTCTTATAATAATGATAGATTATGTCGCATTTTTTTTTCTTGCGGAGAGGGGAATATCGGTTTAAAAAAATTCAATTTTCTAATATAGTCAATATTGACCAATATTCGATATTGGTTATTACTAATGCTCACCCTTAGTTATAGTTTTAAATCTATTTACCTATAACTGTATGTTTATGTACACTATATTAATATTTACTAAATATACATACATACCTAAGAGTATATTTTCAATTAAAAATGTACAGTGGCATATTTTAAGGAAGGGATACAAGAACACATACAGGGGGTATGTGTTCTCGTATCTCTACAAAAATAGACAGCAAACATTTTTACAATCATTTGTCTATTGAGAAATTTTTATGCTCACCTTGATATTTTTCAAAATTTATTTCTTTATTTGTATTTATCTTAGCACATAATAGGGTGATCTTGCAGAGAAGTGGTATGAGAATATAACCCATCACGATGAAAATACATAATATATTGAAGATATATTTTAATGTGAAAAAATGTTCATATGCATATTAACCTGATCTTTATAAAATTCTAAGAACGTCCATGATACATATTTTAATTTCAATTTTTAACTCAAATTAAGATATATTATAATTACATTAAAAATAAACTAAATGTAACAAATTGTAGGTTTAATTTTTTACGTTTAAAAACTCAATTTTTCAGTTTATTAGTTCATTAAAAAGATATAATAATAATTCATCACTTGTAAATAAAATGTATTTAACTCAAAAATCCTAAAAAATTATAAAATTTATAAATTATCTTTTATTAAAAATATTTAAATAATTACTGACACACTTGCATAAATAATACTAAATAATGTAAAGAGGATTTTGTTTTTTTTTTAGAATATGCTATAGTTGGATCGATGTAGTGGTTTTAACTATTCGATATATATCGATATATATATATTTTTTTATGTACAATAAAAAGTATAATATACAATTATCAAAACATTTTACTCTCCGTTAAAAATTCAACAACTACCACGTATTTTATGTCATTTATAAGCTAATAACAGTCCTGTATGTATTGATATAATTAAAATGTAACATCATTAAATTATGATGAATAAATTACATAATTGTATTTTAAGATACGTAGAAAGATACAGAAAACTTTCAAGCATCAATTTTAATTGAAAATAAAAACAATCCATTCAGCTACCTCAAATGAACAAGTTAGTTAGACCCATTTTTTTATTAACTGTTATATTATTTATCTTACAACTTATCAAAAATGAATATAAAAAAATATATCAATATTTCATTCGATGTTAACTTAAGAAAACAAAATAAGACGAAGGAATTCATCAAAATCCAAAATAGTTTATAATGTTTAAACATGTGTAGTTGAAAAACAACTTAACTGAGTCATATACACTGGTTGATCAAACAAAATATTTCAATGCATATGATTATGGATCATAAAAAACACAAAAACATATTCAAGACATGAGTGTATGAGCTAACAATAAACCAGACACAAATAAAAACAAATTTTATTGTATACAGAGTGGAACTGATTGACATTTTTTACTTATTCTTTTAATAATTTTTAACAGACTTAGAAAACATTTTAAATTATTATAATAATTATACTAATGAAAAATTTTTCTATTTTATAAAAAAATAATATTTCTATTTAAAATATTTTTTAATATTTTAAGATATTCATTTTATAGATTAATTTTAAAGAAAAATGTTCATACCAAAAACTCTTGTTTTATTTCAGCCGTTATATTACCATAGTTTGTTAAAATTAAATTTTTTTTTTAAGCTTTCTATAGTATTAAACAGTGATCTACATTATATAAAAAAAGAAAAACTATCACAGAGACGCAATCTAGGGGTTCTAGAAAGAGCTTAACCCTCTTGCTATTCTGTCTCAGTATCACCAAAAATTATGTAAATTTATATAGAAATATTTTTAAGGAGTGGAAAAATTAAGTTGGATACTTTAAACATTTTGTTAAAATTGCGCCTATGCACTATCTTTATGTTTAATATCGGTAATATTTTTTGTGGATTTTTCCATGAAAATTATAAATGATGAATATGAATCTGTTGGAGTAAAATTTTAATTGTAACATTTTCAAATGTCAATAAATTTTTGCCGATTATAAATTGATAATATTCAATTTGTTCACAATATTTACATTAATCATTATTAGTTATTAATTATAAATTATAAAATTCGAACGGCTTTTTTAATTAAATGTAAGATATAAATTTACAAACATTTATTTAAATTCAATTAACGATAAATATTGAGGTATTTTTTCCGTTAATATAAGAAAACATTTTTAAAATTTTATTTTATGAGATAGTCATTTGATCATTTATAATTTTCATGGGAAAATGCAATACTATAGTAAATAGGCATAAAAAAATTGTTTTATTTGTTACGTTATAGACAAAGTATAATAATAAGTAGTATAAATAATAAGTTTCGAATGTATTCCAAATTTATAAAAATTGGTTAAAAAAAAAGAAAAAGTGAAAAATTTTAGTAATTCATAAGTTATGAAAGTTGTTACCTATATGTCCCACCCGTATGGTAGATTAAGGATCTTAAAAAGGTAAAAATTAATTAACATTTTAAATGACACTAAATTATACGATAGATTATTGTACTAAAAATTCATAGTGGGCTTAAAAACAATTAAGAATGTAAATCTACTATAAATATTTTGAATATCAATCGTTTACCAATCTAATTAAGCCTTGGTACACAGTTGATAATAAAAATATCTTTTGTATTAATTCTTAATCAAATTTAGCCCTTCCCATTTTTTCTCATACTATATTTGTAATTATTCAATCAAGGGTTTATCTGTATTTTGTGTTTAAGAGTTATATATATTATAATTTGGTTATTATTCACTAGACAGTTGGTATTTTGACTTTTTTTCATATTGAAAAGAAAAGAATATTTTACGTAAGATTTCAAATGTTTGTTGTATTCCTTAAACATTAAATAAATGGTATTAACTTAAAAACTAATAATGTTAAAATGTTATTTATATTTAAAGATATATTATTTATATATTTATTTATGATATGATTTTTTATAATTGTTTTTTAATGATATTAATTAAGAATTTGATTACATTATTTAATAGTAACAAATTGTGTAAATTACATAATAATGAGAACATTAGAATATTTGCCCCTCATTTATGGACCTTATGGCTTAAAATATGTTGAATTAAATTTAGAAACTATTAACATATAATTTTTTTTTACTTATATTTAATTAATGATTAATTAAATTACCTCGAACTTGTACTTCTAATGTGTAAATATAAGTATGCTTTAGTTCAATAACAACGATGATTCCAAATGTTATGTATAATACGACAATAAAATATTGTACTTGTATTTTTGATTACGTGTAATTTATAAAAATATATTACAGCTGGATTTCTGAAAAAATGTTTAACTGTATCACGCAAGCGTCGTTGACAGTTTACACGATTTTGATTGGCTAATTCAACGCGAAAATTTACAAAGCTCTCCGTTAGATAACATTTTACAACATTCCGCGCCTTATTTGATCTTCATACGACCACCAATCTACGCGGGTGTGCTAATGCTCCGGAGGCGAGTATCCAGCAAGCCGAAAGGCGTAAGGTAGTATTTATAAATTTATTTTTTAATATTTTATATTCGTAAAAAATCAATGTTACGTAGTAATTAAATTTAATAAGAAAAAAAATATGTTTAAGTTTTTAATATTTCAATGAGTAAGTAATTTAACATTAAGTTTTCAAGTTTATTTGCACATTAACAATTTTAGAATATTATGAAAACTTTAATGATATATATTACTCTTTTAGATATATTTATTAAATATTAATGATTGTTAGAGTTATAATTATTAAATATTAACAGTTATTAGTTCTAGCTGTTAATTTTTTAACATAGATTAAAAATCCTAAAATTGATTAATATCATCAACTAACACATTTCAATTTAAATCGTATTTTCACCATTTATAAGAAAAAAGATTATTTTTCTTGGTATTTTAAAATAAACTTATTTTAAAGTGGAAATAACTAAAAGTAAATAAAACCACATTCTGTAGCATATAACTAAAATTTATATTGATATTTTAAGAGTAATGAACAGTTATTTTTATATTTATAATGAACCTACTTACAATTTTTTTTATTATAGAATACAATTTCTATGAGAAATTAAAAAAATTTTTGATCGTTTTACCACTTTGTAATAAAAATAATGGTTTCTACAACAATAATTTCAACTACAGCTGTAGTAATTAATATCCAGAAAAATATTTTTTTCTTTCCAAATCGATATCTCTTTGAGAAGATGTGAGATTGAACATTGGCGTTAAAATTGTATGATATCATAATTTTATTTTTTATTTTACATAATTAAAAAATATAGTAATCTATTTAATTATGAAATAATTGGTTATTGAAAAAAAAAACTAGAATAAAAAAGAATCATCTAGATATTTTAAAATATCTGCTAGTGATATATGAAAGCTGTTTCAATATATTTTTTCAAATACATTATTTATAAATATTCGATATTTTGAATTCCAATATATTTTTTTAATTCTAGAAAATTATTTGTAAGATAAAATAAATGAAATTTAGTATTTTTTTTTAATTTTAACCTTCAATAAAATCGCAATAAAGAAAATAATATTGTAACTCAGAATATTACAACTTTGTTAGAGAATATTAAATGAAATTTAATTAAATTAATGTTACACTAATTCTTTAAAGTAATGAGTAAAAAAATAAACTCAAATAAATCTGGATTATACAAAAATAACTTGTAATGTTATATCATGATAATAAAGAAGTCTTTCCATTAAAATCTTTGAATACTGATAAACAAAGAAAATTTTTAGTTTTTGAGTGGCTTAGTAAAATATATAATATAATATGAAAGTTTCATTTAATGAAATAGAATATTTTTTAATCGTGTAGAAGTTTTAATGATTATGTAAAATTTATTTATCTAGAAATTATTTTATTTTACTGTTTTGTTTATTATAATTGATAATATAAAAGAGTTAAAATATAACTAACACATTTTATTATAATTATACTCTATACTATACATTATAAATTATATTTTTCTCGTTAATATTATCTTAGTAATACTATTTAATTTGACTCTGACAAACGCGATAAATTTATCAAATATAAGTATTTTAAACAGACTTTTAGATATATTTTCTCAATTAAAAATACTCAGATTTTGTTGTTTAATAATAGATAAAAGATTAATTTACTAACTAATAGGTAAATATACGCATCCCAGTACTACTGATTATTAGAACCATAATTTTATTGTGTAGAATAATATGGTTTAATTAAGAGTAGTTTTTTTTTTTATTTCATAATATTTTTAAATAAAAGAAATTAATAACATTAATTTTACTAAATAGTGAATACATATGAATAATCTATATTACAAGTTTTAATTCTCTCTCAAATTTACCATAAGTATTTAATTAGTGAATTTTTTATCACCTAGTTATGCAAAAATTTGTATTAAAATTGTACTTATTAGAAAAGCAGGTGGATAGATCTGTACTTCAGTTGCCACTGTTGCTTCCGAAGGGCTGATGACTGCAGAGGTGGCCATGGAAGATGAAGAAAGTGGTGGAGAAGGGAGTGGCGAGGGACCTGCGGCTAAAATAATAGAACGACGAAGAAGACCTGGCCGGGAACAATGGTCAAACAAAACGGATTTCCTCATGTCGGTAATTGGGTTTGCTGTAGATTTAGCCAACGTTTGGAGATTCCCATACTTATGTTACAAAAATGGAGGAGGTTAGTCAATACATCAAATAAGGTATAACGAATTAACATAATTTTTAAAATGGTCAACATATGTTTAAAATATATTAAAAATTGAAATATTAACTTATATAAATTTTTAGATATTTAAACATTTTTAATATTGGAGATGTACATTAAAAAAAATTATTTACCTCAAAATGATTTTGTACTGTTGAATTCATTTATTTAATAGTTTTTATGTTTCAATGGAAAATGTCTCCTTATTTTTTAAATTTTGAAATTATATTTGAACAACATTGAATAGCTAATTATTTTTATTAGTGATTTATGAAAATCTTTAATTCTTTATAAAATCATTAAAACTATAGTAATAATTAAGTTACCAATATGTCTGAACTTGATGTGTGTCTTAAAAACATGTAAGAAAAATAAATAAAAAAAATACAAATTTTTTTAATGCATTATTTTTAGTTCAATCGTTATAATGTGAATAACTAGTAAAAATTAATTCTTATACTTTGTAAAGAAGATTTGATAATCGGATGGAATTGTCTTTTTTATATATATTCGGTCTAAATAGCATCTATTGTAAGCGTCTTTGCAGATTTTTTACTATACTTAAGTATACAATAAACGAACAAGTAAAAAAAAGTTAAGCCGTTTAAACTGTAGAAATAAAATGTCGGAGAATAAAATAGGGATGATGAGTGCACCGGAACTGATGTCAATTTTCATACTCAATCTTCAACAAAATAACCGTTCTAGAAAAAGGTTGTTAAATGTTCAATAATATAAATACATTTTAAATTCTTCTAAAATAAAAATAATGGGCATTCATAAAGTTTTGATATTTTAAAGTCAAATATTTTCCTTATTTATTTATAAAAGTAAAATAGGTATATGTATTTTTATTTATTATGTAATTTAGTCTCATTATCATATTTAAAATTTAAATCTGATATCATTATTTATCAATTTTTTTATTATTTTTTCTTAAAATTGTAATTTCTTTTATAAGGTTTTAATATTATAAAGAAATAACAATTAATACGAGCGTAGTTTTAAAATTTGAATTAAAGGTTTTAAATTGTTATAAATATAATTTTACTTAAGCCAACCTCTTATAAAATTTTACATTTATAATAAGAAGAATATAAACACCTTGGGTAACATGTATTTTTTAATAAAAAAACGGTTACTCTGTGTACTATATTCTCTTACTTTATAATGAAAGTAACTCATACAAAAATGAACTAATTAATTAAAATATTTCAGAGGTACGTAAAAATTAAAAATATTTTTATCCAAATACCTAAAATTCTGTCTACACAATAGTGTTAATTACTATTAAAACTTGATACTTTTTTAAGTTTAATTGATTGCTCTGAAGTGCAATTTTTTAACACAACTTTCAATATATATTAAATAAACGATGCATAGTCGTATTATTATACTCACCCTTGTAAAAATATAGTAAACCATATAGAGTTGTACATGTTACATTTTAAAACAATAGGTACTCAGAAAGCCATACAAGTGACACACAAGTGATTTATGATCATTGTAACATGACATGTCCATAAAGTGGTTGACGGACCATAACTATGTATGATTCACCTTACGAGATTGTTTATTTGCTGATTTTCGTAGTTTACAATCATAATTATAAACTCAGTGTAAACATCTAATAGCTAGTAGTATTATAATATTAAATATAAATTTTTAATAAAATAAATCTTGAAGTAACTTAAAAAAAATTATATTATGTGATAAAAATGTGGAATAACAAATTAACAATGAATGTTCATTAAATTATAGATAATATAAACATATTATATAGAACACACATTTATTAATTATTCAAAATAATTCAATACATTTTACGAACAATAAATAATTATTTTATACTACACTAATAATTATTAGCTTAGTATAGTATACATTTTAGTGCCAGCAATATTTTACCTGATTATGAATGCAATGTTAACACTAATGCTGAATCTGGCCTCACATTTTTACAATCAGTTCTGGTTTTTGAGATAATTACTAATTTCTAAAAACACAGAAATAGGTAACACGAATATATTAAAAAAAGAAAATTACATTTTTTTCAATCGCTGAAATAATTGATTTTCAAAATATTTGTACAAAAAATTAAACAGTTTCGTCAAGTTCAATCTATTCAATCTATCCCGCATGAAAACTTGAAATTATTTTAAAAAGTTTAATTTGTACTATTATATATGATTTTTCAATAATATATACATATTATTGTTACTGAAAGTGAAATAATCGTTTTTATTAGTTAAAAGTACAAAAAACTCAAAATTCGAAAATAAAGGTTATTTTTTATATAAATTTTACAAAATAGATTTTTTTTCATTCTACCAAATAAATTAATTTTTTTTTTATATTTATTAATATCTATGCAAAAGAATGAAACAATTTCGTCATGTTTAACCTGTTCTAACAGTCATTTAAAGTTAACATTTGAGATTATTTTCAAAAAATGTTCTATTTTATGTACAATTTTTTTGGTTCACCTTACAATCACAAATTTATTATATACATATAGAAATTATTATGAGCATTTCATATATACTATTTTTGCGTTTGTTTTCATTAAAAAAGAAGAAATATTTATTTTAAAAAATATACAAATATATTATAAAAATATCAAAATTATATTGTTTTGTACGAATACAATATTATGTACAAAGTTAATTAAAGTACTAAAATTACATAAACTAGTTGACTAAGTTAAACAATTTAAAGGAAAAAAAATTATGATACACATATGACTATTGCTGGAATATTCAAAGATAATGCGTTAGCAATAGTTATTCTAGAGTTTCAAACAAAAGAAGTTCATGAGTTGAATTTTGTATTTTTATTTAGTTTATTTAAATAATTTTAAATTTCAACTTTAACTGCTGGTTAAAACAGATTGAACTTGACGAAATCGTTTCATTTTTTCTACAATTTTTTATAAATATATTGATAATTACAATTATTCAGCGAATGAAAACAAAAAAAATTCTTTTACTTCTTGTTATTATAATTTTATCATCTATTTTCTCTGTTTTTAAAAATCAGAAATTATTTAAAAAACTAGAGCTGATAGAGAAAATCTGATGCCAAATTCAGAATCAGAGTAAAGATTTCATTCGTAATTAGTTAAAAAATTGGCGGAATCAAAAAATTATTTATTTATAAAAAGTTAGCTGGTATTTTTTTTTGATGATGTTAGTTTTACAATATAAAGGGGAGATCAGATTATAGAATTGAACAAGTGCTGTTTCTGTTATACACGTATTCGATTTAAGTAAATCAGTAGTTCGCCAATGATCAAAGAAACTTCTCACAGGAAATGAGAAAATTTAGTTAACGGCCGGATATAATAGACTAACATAAGGAAATAGCTTATTACAGACAAAGAATTCAATGCCAACAATCTACAGGGTGGTCGGTTTATTATAAACCTTTCGATTACTCGCAAAATAAATACAATAATGAAAAAATAATTTTTGATTTCTTTTAGTTAAATATATTTCTTGGTAATAATGACTTTTTAGAATCATCCCTTATAAATTAAAGGGTTGTCAACTTTAATTTTTTTTAATGACAACATACATATTTAATTAGCTTATAAACTAGAAAACAATATAATTAAGTAAATGACTGGTTGATAATAATTTTTGGACCAGCACTTTAGAAGTTATTCTCATTTTTATACCTTGGTGGGAGGAGGAAAACGACCGTGAAATGGTCAATAATAAAAATAACCATGTTTAATCATCACCACCCGTCATTACTTTAAATTTATAAGAACTTCTGAGATACTAGTCTAAAAAATGTTATCAACCAGTCATTTTCTTAATTAGATAATTTTCTATTTTATAAATTAATTAGATATGTATGTTACCATTTAAATATATTTAACACTCTTATTTATTATAAGGGATGACCCTAAAAAGTAATTGGTAGCTGATAAATCAAGATTTATATGTAACTAAAAGAAATCAAAAATTATTTTTCCAATGTTGTATTTATTTTGAGTATAATTAAGTGGTTTATGTTAAAACGATCATTTTGTGTACTTGTTTATATTATCTCCATTATCATTAGATTTATTATGTAATTTATAAACTTTTTGTCTAATGTAATACAAACAATTTTTTTAAACTAACGTGATGATGTATAATTAATACTAATACATTTGAGTAATAACGAGATACATAAAACTATTAATTGTTTAATGATAAAAAATTTTTAATGTTAATTATTTTGCAGAATGCTGCTAAAGTAACTATCTTTATGAAAATAGAATAACTCAGTGGAAAACAAACCAAATTAAAATTTTTTTCTTGTATGCTTTCACAAAGATCTCCGCTTTAATGGTGGAAAATTATATCTAGTATATTACTACGTTCAGAGTTTTGGCAGACAATTATCCGCTTGTTGAATTTGACGATCACTAAGCCACAGACGTCTCCGTTAATTTTACTGATTATTTGTGATCAAATGACAGAAATTAAACTTGCACGTTTAATTTCCGTCTTAAGTTTGACAATAGATCGTGGTTTGTTCATTTTTGCTTGGGGAGTTAAGGGCCTTTTTTTTTAGCTTATCACATAGTGAACAAACCACGAATTATTGTCAAACTTAAGACGGAAATTAAACGTCCATGTTTAATGTATGTCACTTGTTCACATGTGATCGGTGAAATTAACGAAACGTCAACGAAAAGTGATCATCAACTTCAACGAGATAACTGTCTGCAGAAATTTCGTAGATGGTCATATGACATATGTAATTTTCTACCATAAAATTAGAGGTCATTGTGAATATAAATAAAAAATTTTTTAATGTGGTTGATTTTTTATTGAGTTATTATATTTTTAAAAATATAGTTATGCCACACTTTTTATTAATAAAAAGCAATAAGTATTTTTTTTCTAATTAATTGTTTTAAAATAATTTTTTTTTATTTGTACATTTTCACGAACACTAAAAATATTAAAAATTGGAATAGTACAAGTTAATTTATACTTTTTAGGTTAAACTTTCTTTTTAATTCCTAATAGTGATAAACGTATTTAATACATAATTATATACTTAGCTATGATTAAGAATACAAATCTAATGGCTGATAATTAAATCGTTTTTTTGTACCATATTATATAGGGTGTTCAGTAAGTAAGGTAACGGGTTTCTATTGTTTTCATTGTTTGTAACAATTGACCTGTTTCCTTACTTACTCAACACTCTGTAGAATAATCTACGAGGAAATAATTGTTAAATTACTTTTTTTTTGGAATTTAATAGTCTTTTATATTTCTCACCTTTTGAGACAATAAACCTCGACAATTGCATACTCTGCCAGCGCTGCATATTCATTTTATATACTAAAATACTTATGCTAAAGTTGTTATCGATTCAATAAAATGGCTATTTTTAAAGTTTAAATAAATTTCATATTTATTTTTTTTCTTATTAGATTAAAGTAATAAATAAATGTTTTTAACGTAGTTAAAATCTGTGGAAATCATTTTTTAAAAAATATGCAAAATATTTGTTGGATCAAAAGTTATTAAAGATATCAAATCTGGTGAAACACCGTATACTCGATTTTTTTTTTATAAAACACTTTTCAATATTGTATGGTTGCAACACATAATTGAGTAACTCTATCAAAGGGTTGATATTAAAGTCATGTGCTTAAAAGTAAAAGATGTAATTTAAACTAGCAATTGGCTAGCATTGTTTCTAAAATTGTGTTAAATTATAATAGGTAATCCTTTATCGCCATTTTATATCAATTTACCTTTAATTATAGAATAGTTTTCGCTTTATAATACTGCACAGACTAAAATATCTTAAACAGTACATGTAGTCATTTTAATGTCATATACGACGCTAATTCAATTAAAATCACTTTGTGACACATACAAGACACAAGCACGTGCTGAGTTACTTTTTAAATGTTAATAATATCTAAAAATTCTGTTTATTGAATAAAATTGTCTAGCTTATATTATTTTGATAAAAATTTAAAGCTTTTTTTTCGAAGAATGTTAATGATTTAAAAATTTATATCAACAACCTACCTCTCAATTTTCGTTAATACATGCACAAACTTTAAACTCCACTGATAGTTCTGAAGTACATTGTTTTAGAAAATTTTATTCCTGGACTTAAACTTTTTGATCCAATAATAATAATAAATAACCAATGTTAAAAAATTCAATACAGTGGGAATCAGCATAGTGAGGATTCGGCAAAGTGGACTTTTGATAGTGATTAATATCAATTTGATAAAATGCTTTAATGCGATTGCGTTCACAGAAAAACAGACATAGAACATTTTTTTTAAATTTTAGACTTTAGCAGCCGAATATTATAAGAAGACAAACTGTTGTCACATTTTAATTTTTTTTTTTTTGTAAAGAATTTATAAAAATATTTAAGTCAGTATAGGTTTTAATATTTCAAAAATTACGTCCCAAAATTTTTTTAAGATTAAAGCTGAGTATTTTTATAGACAGTTACTAAAAGAAAAACATTATAATAAAATAAATTCGCTACTCAGCTAATAACCTATTCAGCTTCGCATCGAAGCTACAAGAAATCTGCTATCTGTTAATAATTCTATAAAATTGTGTTATAGTTTTGCCTATTTAAAACGCCGTTTAACAATGAAAATTCTAAAAAACCTTTTCAATTTCTCGGAATAAATATTTTATATATTAATAGGTGCCTTTTTAATACCATATTGTACAATGTTACTGGTCGGAGGAATACCTTTATTCTACATGGAGTTAGCTTTAGGACAGTTTTATCAAACAGGAGCTATAACTTGTTGGGGTAGGCTAGTGCCTTTATTTAAAGGTAAGGGTAAATATTTTTATAGTTATTAATTTTATTTTAATATACTTATTTATAATTTAGGCATTGGTTACTCGGTTGTTTTGATAGCATTTTATGTTGATTTTTATTATAACGTAATTATAGCATGGGCATTAAGATTTTTTTTGGCATCATTTACTGATACTTTACCATGGACAACCTGCGATAATTATTGGAATACAGTATTTTGTCAACCAGTAAATATATTTATCTGTACAAATTAAAAATTTGAATTGAAAATTTAAATTTATTGTTCTTAAATAAATATAATAAGAAAATAAAATTTTAACTTAATTTGTTCGTGTTATATTTTAGCTGACAGTATGGTCAAATGAGACTAACTCTATAAATAACGTTACGTTGCTAGCAAACGACTCACGTTTAGCATCTGCATCTTCGGAATACTGGTTGTAAGAGACTTGAGATGATATATGATTAAAAAGTAATAACTAAGTTTGTAAAAGACATGAAATATTTTTTTAGACGCAAAGTGTTAGAATTAAATCATAGTGAAGGTATTCACGATTTAGGGTATATCAAATGGGATATGGCAGGTTGCCTATTTCTTGTATATTTGATTTGTTACTTTAGCTTATGGAAAGGCATCTCAACATCTGGAAAAGTAAGAAAATTTAAATTAAAAATGAAAACATTTTTTTTACAAACAATTATTATTTGTAGGTAGTTTGGTTCACAGCACTGTTTCCTTATGTAGTGTTAATATTTTTACTTATACGAGGAGTTACACTACCTGGATCCGCTCAAGGAGTTCGATACTATCTTTACCCAAACTTTTCGATGATTGCCAAACCTGAGGTAATTAGTATAATTTAGTTTTGAATGTTTGAACAAGATGTTACATTAATCTAAACTATTTCAAATTTTTTAGAGTATTTAATAATAATGAATTATTATTTTTAATTTAATTATTGTTGACTCGTGTCTCACAATAAGTTTTAAAACTTAATATATTTTGTACTTTCGTCATGTTTATCTTGTAAACAGATCATAATACCCAAAATTATATGTAAATTCTTAATTAAATATGTTTTCATCGAACAATTGTTTTATTATTTTTACTTTTTCATAATAATTTCTTAACTCAAACAATAAGTTCAATGAACTCCAATTTCAATGATTTAAGATTTATCAAAAAAAATTATTATTTGTTATTTAAAAATAATATAACAATTTGTTAATGTTTACAAAGACAAACATAAGTATTAAAAATCGTATTAATAAAAGTATCATAACCCTATTTATAATATATTTCTATTACTTTATTTGATGTATATAATTTTTGAGGCTGTTTTTGTATTCCTATAGCATTTTGGCGAATAAAGCCATGTCCATTACGAGTACCCATTGAAGAAATGGAATTGTCGTGTCCAAATAAGATTATCACATTTTTGAAATTCATATTTACCATTTATTCGCCTCAGCACATGTACGTGTGTATATATCTCAGACAATCTAAGAAAAAAAAAATATGTACTTCCAAGCGCATTTTAAAATACATCATGACAATTGCATTTCAACATATAAACCAATATATAATTTTATAATTTTTACTCTAATATTTAATATTAGAGTAAAAATTATATATTTTGTCTGATATAAATTGATTACCGACAAAGTAAAATACACTACATATTTTTATCATATTTAATAAACTTTTAAATACTTAAAAATTATTAATCTTAAAATACAATTTTATGAAATACGTCCTTATCGAAATGAACGATGTAATATAATCATGTAACATTTTTTTTTATCAAAGCAATTTTTTCAGGTATGGGTTGATGCGGCAACCCAAGTATTTTTTTCACTTGGTCCAGGTTTTGGTGTACTACTAGCTTACGCATCATATAATAAATACCATAACAATGTATTGAGGTACATTCTAAAACTTTTCATTCGTCTATATGAAAATTAATTTTATATTGTTAAAATGCTTATAATTATTTTACAGAGATGCCTACTTGGCGATTATGTGTAACTCTGTAACCAGTTTCTTGTCAGGATTTGTAATTTTCACCGTTTTGGGCTATATGTCACATGTATCTGGCCGACAAATTCAACACGTGGCCACAGAAGGACCCGGTCTAGTATTCATAGTATATCCTGCAGCCATTGCCGCTATGCCTGGGTCGGTTTTTTGGGCTTTAATATTTTTTATGATGTTACTTAACCTAGGACTGGACAGCTCTGTTAGTATAAATAACTATTATTATTATTGAATTTTAAGTGATAATTGTGCTCCTTCATATAAACTTAGTACAATAATATCAAACATGTAAAATTACATCGATGTTAATATCTGATTACTTTTAGTTTGGCGGATCTGAAGCAATTATAACTGCCTTAAGCGACGAGTTTCCATTAATTAGACGTAATAGGGAACAGTTTGTCGCCTGGCTATTTCTTCTGTATTTCGTAGTCGGCTTGGCTTCGTGTGCTCAAGGAGGTTTTTACTTTTTCAACCTGCTCGATCGTTATGCTGCTGGTTACTCAATGCTGGTAGCTGTACTATTTGAAACCATCGCCGTTTCTTGGATTTACGGTTGGTGTTTGTTTTTTTTTGTAGCGTAGTTCTTAATCTCCTCCTAATAACAAATATGTGCTCTTAGAAGACTTCAAACAAAAATAAGAATAAAACGATTATCCAAAAGAATTTTCACACATACACAACGAATCTGTCAGTATGTCACACTTCACGCGTAACATCAATAAATCTACCCTTTATTTGTTCTAAGGGCATAAGCAAAGGCCGTTTCGGGAACAATTTGCTCTCATAAGAGATAAAGAAATACGGTTGAATAGTTTTCCAATTGGATTTCATCTTATTGAGATATGAATTCCATTTATTCTGAATTTTCAATTCCTATTATTCAGATTCTTAACTACTTTGAAACTAAGTATATAAATTTGAATATTGTCTAGAAATTATACCTTATTCCAATATTCCATCATCAAAGATTAAATGTTTGTATTTCTGGATGTAATTTTAAAGTACAAACAATCATTAAATGACGAAAGTAGAAATAAAATTATTTTATTGATATAAATACGTCAAACATTTAAACTTAGATCGACTATACCACGTCCTCAACACAGTGAGGACTTGGCATAGTTATAAGTATAGATAATACCTGTAAATAAGTATAGATGATACCTGACAGTGATAAACTATCACAAAAAATGCTTTGGTGCAACTCTATAAAATTTTATGATCATATGTAATTCTAAAATTTCAATGTTTAAAAATTTCACTAAAACATTAATTGCTTGTTAAATTATTTGCTAATTGAAAAATTAATTAATTTTTGATTACTTGGACTACCGCTTTTTTACGGAACAATTATGAAGAGGATTTTGAATAAGATATAGTAATATTATAAAAAGGTGACAAATTTTTACACAAATTTTGCGGTTTTTACCTTCAAAATAAAAGACTTAAAAAAAAAGTATGGTTAAAACGTTTAACTCATTTCATCATATAAAACTCTTAAAAAGCTTGAGTTGAAAATATTTTTTTTATGCATGGGTGGTCTTATTCTAACCATTTTAGTGCTTTAATTATTCATTGGATTTTCATAAAAATAATTAACCAAAAAGAAGCTTACTATCTTTTAATATATTTCACTAAAATTTTATTAGGATTAGTTTCTAAAAAATCAGCAGTATCAAAATACAGAAAAAAAATTTTTTAAGGTAGCGTAATTTTGAGATATTTCTTTTAATTTATAAAATTGAGAGGTTATTTTTTTAAATTTTCGGTACTATTAGATGTAACTAGATTAAAATCTGGTTCTTTGAACACATAAACTAACAAACTCGGTTCAGTGAGAATTGAGATTTTTCATAGACAGATATAAAAAAGAAACACATCTACATAAAACCAATACGTTTTCAGCTTTGTAAGGAAGTTAATAAGATTATAATTGCATTTAAATATCATTTTATCTTTAAAATAAATAAAATATTTAAATGTAATTAAATGTGGGGTAACACAGCTTATAAACTGCAACTTTTACCCTACATCAGGGATAAATATAGTAATAATAAAACATTCCATCATACTTTTTACAAGAATTTAGCTAAACACCACTTGTGTCTATACATGAAACCTTCGTAATATAAATGTATACACTTTTTGTACGTGTTTAAATTTAACATTAAATTATAGATCGCATACGCTTTGCATTACGTACAAATTTTTATTCACTTTACTCATGTGACATTAAAAGGAAATATGAGTTATGTATTTAAGATTTCTTTTCAATTTGATTATGTTATTATTTCATTTTAAAACGATTGAATTATCAAAATAAAATAAACCAATTTAAGCACTATAAATATATGCAAATGAAAAGAAAAAACTAAAGTAAAAATAATTTTGAATTAAATTGGTATACCTTTATTTTAAATTTACCTTCCTTTGTGTAAAGGAATTTATAGAGGAAAATTATTATTATTACCTTGCTGCCAAATAATTATAAAATTCGGAAAAGTTATTGAAGTTTATTGATCTAGCAAAGAGTATAAACTTAGTTTAGAGTTTACTTTAATTTAGATTTTACTTTAACAGCACTTCTAAATATTAAGTACATATAAATTTATTTATAAATATATAAAGTGTAAAAATAAATTTTTAACTTGATTGCCTACAGGAGTTGATAGATTTTGCGATGATATTAAGGATATGATGGGCCACAGTCCAGGAGTTTATTGGAGATTTTGTTGGCGTTTTGCAGCGCCTTTATTTCTTGTGGTGAGATTCAGCCAATAGTGTCAGTCTATAATATTTGATATAAGACAAAAAATTGTTACCCAGCATCCCATTTAACAATGGCGTATTTACAAGGAGAAAAAGAGTGCGAGTTTCCCCTCCAAAGTTCATACTAAGAACAGTTTTTACTGAAAATAATACATTTAAAAGAAGTTTGTTAAAAAAAAAGTCATTAAAAAATTCAATATATTACTATTTATAAAACAATAAAATAATTTTGTTCTGCCCTTCCCCCACAAAAATTTTAAATACTATTTCTTTAAAAGAAAACTTAATGAATTCAATTGAATTTATAGTTTGATTTTTAGTTTCAGTTCTCCTTGATGATTATAATTAAACTTGATAAGTGGGCAGAGACATATTTATAACTTATTTTAGGAAACTTATTCATATTTTCTTCTCGGAAGTTATTCTGATGACCAGTTTCGTACTTAAAGATTTTCAACAGAGAAAACTAATAGCTAACTAGAATTTAAACGGTCATTTATTAAGTAATTTTTTATCTAAAATATTAGTTCACCAAGTCATATGAGAGTGCTTAAAACTTACTTAAAATTGTGGGCTTTAAGAACATATTATATAAAAGTTAACTCCTTAAAGTATGGATAAAACTAGTCCAGAGAAAGCGTCGCCTCTTTTCCCTTCCTTAAATACGCTCTTGGAGGGGGGCTCGGTGCCATAATATTCATTAATTAAATCAATATACTCAAACTTGATTCTATTAACTATTTAATTTTGTAATTTATACAGTTTATTATTGTATACGGACTTCTGGGGTACGAACCACTTACTTATGAAGGTTATGTTTATCCAGCTTGGGCTAATATTTTAGGGTGGCTCATAGCAGGCAGTAGTATTGCAATGATTCCAACAGTAGCTCTTTGTCAATTTTGGAATACACCTGGAACAATATTACAAGTAATAATAATATCATTGAATAATAATAATAATAACCTTGTGATAACCAAAGGTGCATACTTCAACATAACATTTATATGATAGCTTATTTTACATTTTTTAAGACGGCTTTCCCAAGACATGTAGATCGTCTCAAATTACCCACATTTAATGAACATGCTGAGATAATATTGGGAACACTAGCTATAGATATGAACTTTGCTGTTCTTCGTGTGGCTCAGTTCATCTCAAAACTCATCGAACTACATGTCGAAGAAAGCCCCTTTAAAACTTTAATGAGCATTTATACACTTTCAATCTGCAACAATAAACTATAATTCAACGTTAGTAATTTAAAAATAAATGTTATAAAAACATTTTTATAACATTAAAAAAAAATTTTATTAGGATAATGAATAAAATAAAAAAAATTCGACGTATTTACTCATTATACTGCTATAAGATAAACTGAATGTATTGTTATATCCGATGTATTGACATAGTTTATTATAATTATTTATAAATTGTAGAGATTGAATATTTTAACAACACCTTGGCTTGATGAACACGAAGACGACCCTATCCCAATTAATGGTTTACATATACAAACAGATGCAGCACAAATCAGGCTTACCAGTTCCATGGCATCCGTAGATGTATAAATGAGAAAGCATTTTTTAATTATTTTTAGGGTTTCACATGGTGGCCAAAATATGGTTACAACAGCAGACTCGAGTCCTTCATTAATATGATCAAGTTAATTTAACGTTTTTAATTTTTTTTTTAACTAGGTTAGTTTTATAGATGATCATAATAATACATGAAATTATAGATAGTCTAAACTTAATAATAGAATTTATTAGAAATGATAAAGCTCTCTAAACCCGTTCCCTTTTTTTTTTACTTAAAAAATAAAAATATCACATCTTATAAACTAATAATGGCTTTTAATATTATTTAGACAGTTTTTATGTTGTTTCACGGTTAATCATTGAATATTTATCCCTATTAAATATATATTTGAACTAGTGTAAACAGCATTAGTATTAAAATATAATTTAAGGATGAATGGATAATTTTTGGATGAAATTTCAAGAAAAGTTAGGTGAACAATAATTAAAAATTTAATTTCATTTACAAGAAGAAATGTTAAAATCATCTCACATATGAGATGATTAGAATAATTTATGAAATATTCTAATATTATTGGTAATAATGAAATAAAACAAAATTTTCAGATAAAATCACATTGAACCTTTATCCACTAAGATTTTAAGGTACTTCAATTTGATCAAACTTATGCACAAATGTTTTTATTGATATATTTTCAATGAATGTAACCTACATAGTTTTAACATATTTTTTATAAACATTGCTAGTTAATAAGTACCTTAATTGTTTAAGATTAATTCAAACCACGTTTAAATAAATTACTCATAACGGTACGATAAGAAAATGTTAAACAAATTTGTTCGAAATGGTCACTAATTAAAATGGCCTATCAACATAATAAAATATTTCGTCGTACAATTAATTAATTATCTAGTTAATATTTAGAAATTAGAAATAGCGTATTAAAATGTTTAATTAAAATAATTAGATAATCTCTTTTTAATAACCGTATGTAAATTCTTAGTTTAAAACAAGAGTAGCGTCTAATGATTATTCAATAGATTTAAAAAATTATTTGTATTTTAACTAGGTGAATCTCAGTTTCCATATCTTTCGTTAAACAACAAAGTTTAATGTTTAACTATAATCGATTATGCATAAAAATTTAATAAAGAGAAAAATAGTTTAGATATTATAACCACTAAAATCATAAAAATGTTTGTGATGACTACTCCTAGTAAAATATTACATTAACCATTGAACATATAGATACTCTGTGTCATTTTATCAATTAATATAAAATATATAAGAACATATATTAATTTAAAAGTATAATTATATTACTAAATTAATACTTTAATTAAATTAACAAAATTAAAACATAAACTCAATATCGTTAATTCATTAATAAGTATGTAATATATACTTAAAATATACATATATGATATTTATATTATTATAATGTAAGTGTATATTTTATATATATGTATTATGTACATTATTATATAAATTTAATGTCGGTAAAATATTTATTATTTTTGTGATTTTTATTATAAAAAATTTACGTTAAATTTATTTATTTTAATTATCGAACTCTCAGGAGACTATTATTGTATTAAAATGCTTAGAATTCAAGTAATTTTTATATAGTAGATTCAAAGACATAATTTAAAAAAAACATCTAATTATATTTCTTCTCCTCTAAACAATATATTTGTATAAAATACGTTTCATTCATTTTTTTTTAATGGATTATGATAAAATGAAGAATTAGTTAACACCAAGATCGTGCCTAAATGTAGGTATATAATATATTAATTGATACGTTTAAATAATTAATATATCAGTTACATTCCATAGTCTTTTTTAAAATATACAGGGTGTTCAGTAAGTCAGGAAACGGGTTTCTATTGTTCTCATTGTTTGTAACAATGAGAACAATAGAAACCCGTTTCCTGACTTACTGAACACCCTGTATAATATAAAAATTATGAAAAAAAAATAAAATATGCTAAAATACATAATTCTTATGAATTAACCAAATGTTCATACATATATTTGCAAGTATTATATGATACTCATTGATTAAATAAATTATTTTAGTAACATTAATCATAAATTAACATATTGATGAAATGTCTAATTGTTACTTTTTGGAAAGTTAGAACTACACACAGTTTAAAAATCTTTTAAAGAGTGTTAGAAAAACATTCCTAAGTGTTTAAATTTTTATACCCTCATTTTTTCAAGGCGAGATATTTTAAAGACCTCATAAGTTGATAAATTTGTGTAAGACCCTCAAGAAATAAAGTTACGCCCCTAGTTAATATTCTTTAATTTCGTTTAAATAAAAATTGAAATTTAATATGAATGCTTTATTTTTATTAATCTCGATTTCCTGTATTTTAATCAAATTACGTAACTAATAGTGTTATGCATTCATTAACTTATTAATATAATTAAAATTTCTATGAAATACGGTTTGAATACATAATATTTACATGTATAATTAGTATTAATCTAAAACTAAGCAACTCATGAGTAAAAATCATATTTAATAAAATAATTTTGGTATATTTATTATTAATGAATATTTTTGTTTATTTAAATGTTAGTTGTAAAAATATACATTTTTTTAAAACTATATTAATAAATGTATATTTTGTGTAGTTATTGTGCTGATTTCAAGTAAATTATAATAGGTAATATTAATTTAGAGGTAAGTTTTATTATTATGAATATTATAAATTGTAGATATTTTTAATATTTTATAAAACAGTCCAAATATCAACAAAATGTCATTGATGATAGCATATAATAACTGTGTACATATTACAATTACATAAAGATAAAACTGTATTGCTTAATAATAAGTAAACTTATCCTAAAGTGTTTTATTAAATTAGATTTAAATTATAAGTAATTAACAGTGTGTTAAAAAAGAAAAAAATATTTTGTGTCTACACTAAAATAATGATTTTTCATTTTTGATTCTAAAATATTTACTATAATCGTTGTACTTTCACTACATTTATAAATGGTTTTATAGAATATTAGTCATACTAGTGTGTTTTAAAAATAAATATATGCATTTCATTGTAAATGTTATTTAAGTTAAATTTATTTATTTTATAACGAGATTTGTAAAATCTATGGAATTAGTAGATTTAAGCTCCCCAGTTTTATTTTAATCGTGTACCTTTTAATTAGAATTATTTTTTTCAGAGAGAAAATTAAATTCATTTAAACTTTAGTACCCCAAAAATATTTTTTTAGTTTACCTGAGTAGTGACAGTAGTTAAATTACTTAACATTAATAGTACACATAGGCGTAACTTGGTATCTTTATTAGACTTTATATACCATTTAGTTTTTGTAAGATTTTTTCATGAGTGGAATACATGAGCAAAGTGAGGAAGGTAAGAAGCAGGTAGAGGATCATATGAACTTAGAGAGATAGCTTCTCCAAGAATATAATCAGACTCTTCAAAAATTTAAAAAATTATATATAATATTACATAAAAATATTTTTCAGGGGAAGGAAATTATCATTAGTCTCCAATTATTTTTCCAATTACTATGGTATGGTGTATGGGAGGAAAAAATGAAATAGAAAATTATACTTCCCCTAACTAATTGAAGTATTACTATACATTTAAAAAGAAACAGAAAAACAGTCTGTTTTATTTCATTTGTTTTCATGTTTAACGAATATCTATGTTGATAACTAAAAAAGACGTATAACGATTACTTTTAGATATTTTGATGTCAGCATATTATGTAGTAAGTTATTGGTATAATACATCATCAGGAGTGGAGTAGAGAGCTAGGGTGTCTTAGCTCCCAGTAAACAATTAAGTTCCCAGAAATTTAACAAAATTATATGCCATTATACATAGAAATTATTTTTTTGAGAAGGTAATTAAATTTGCCCCCTACCCAAAAAAATATTGACCACCCTACACTTATGCTTACAGCTATTCAAAAATAGTAAAAGTTTGTATTGTTAATTTAATATTGTTTAAAATAACTTGAATCACTATTTCCCGAAAATAGGTAAGTAGTTTATGTATAACTTGTTAATTTGTTTATATTTTAGTTTTCATTTTTAGAAAAATCTTTTGTAAGTGATAAATTCAAATGTTTTATGATTATTTTGCAAATATATTAAAAACTAAAAAAGTATATAGTAAAATAATAATTAGAGTATCTGGACTCAGTTTGAGTCCGGATGAACTCACTTATAAATCAAAGAAAAGTTAGGAGCAAACTTCGACCCAAAACCACATTTCATATCTGAAAGAATCAAATTTAATAACAGGACTCAACAAAAATGAGAAAGCATCCAGCAATATGTTAGAGAGCTAAAAAACTATCCAATCACTGCAGTTTTGGAAGTACACTTGTTGAACACTAAAAGACCGATTAGTAAGCGGTGTAAAAAGTGAAAAACGTCGTTTTAGATTATTAAAAGAGGAAGGCCTAACTTTTGATAATGCGTTAAAAGAGGCATTACAAGAGGAGTTAGCATATAAAGATACAGAGGGACGAAGCGAAATAGAAGAACTTAACTATATAAAAATGAAAGATAAAAGCCACAAAGTAATTCAAACAATGCAAATCAGTAGAATACCAGAAAACAGTTTTATACCAGGAAAAATGAAAATAATGTGAACAATATGAAAAAAGGACATTACTAGTGCTGTGGAGGAAACAATCACACGTTCTCACAATGCAGGTACAAGAAGTATTCGTGCAACAAATGTAAAAAGGTTGATCATTTATTTTATGTTTGTAGAAATAAGAAACCAAGAAAATTAATTATGTGTCTGAGGTAAGGGTAAACAATAGCAAAGAAAGTGATGATAGTATGGATGAGTTAGCTGAAAGTTTTAATAAACAATATCATATTAAAAATATTGACAAGGCAGATAAGGCAACGGGTCCCATTAAGTTGAGAGTCTTGGTGGAAAATAAATTGGTGGAGATGGAACTGGATACGGGTGCTTCAGTTTTCATCATAACTGAAAAAGACTATAATGAAAAATTAAAAAAAATTAAGGTTGAAATCTATGGGTTAAAACTTCAATATTATACAAAAAAAACAGTCGAAACATTAGGATATATTAATGTTGAGGTGAAGTATAATAATAGAAATTTCAAAGGTAACTGGTATATTATAAACTGGTCTAATGCTAATAAGAATGGATACAGAAAATGGGTATTTTACCAGAAAGTCAATCGAATGTCACTAAATTACAAAATATATTTTTTGTATTAGATATTAAATATGGAACAACAATTATTTAATAAATACTCAGAGGTATTTACAGACAAATTGGGACTGTACAACGGGGAAAAAATAGAGATTTTATTACGAAAAAATGTGACACCTAAATTTTTACAACATAGAACTATACCATTAGCATTAAAGAACAAAATTGAACTTGAATTAGACAGATAGGAAAAAGAAGGTATAATCAATAAAGTTATATATAGTGATTGGGGAACACCAATAATACCAATAATTAAACCATCGGTTGATATAAGAATATGTGGAGATTATAAAGCAACTGTAAATTCATATATAAAAGTAGAAAGAGTTCCTGTTCCAATTATAGAGGAGTTAATGGTTGGAATTAAAACAGCAGGGAAGTTTTCGATCATAAATCTAAGCCAAGAATACTTACAATTTACTTTAGAATAAAAATTAAGGGAGCTAACGGTGTTTATGTGTACGACAGAGCTCAATTTGGTATAAATGCTTCAGTAGGAATATTTTTAAACGGATTTAGTAAAAAGTTTAAACACATTAATAACATCAAAATATATTTTGATGAATTATTAATATTTGGTGATAATGAGCAAGAACTATTAAAAGTTTTTGAGGAAGTACTAACTTTATTAAAGAAGATGAATTTGACAGTACGGTAGGGACAGAGGTAGGGAAAATGTAACAAGACCTAGCAAAGATCAAAGCTATTACTCAAATTACAAATCAAAAAAACAAAAAATATTTACAAGCTTTTTTTGGATTGATTAACTATTATAGAAAGTTTATACCTAACATATCAACCATTCAAGCACCACTAACCAAATTATTGAAAAAAAAATACCAAATTTAATTTTAATAATTGTGTGAAGGCGTTTAATCAAATCAAAGAAGAAATAACATCAGACAGAGTCCTAAAGTATTTTGATCCAAAACTACCAATTATATTAAAGTGTGACGCATCAACTTATGGTTTTGGCGCTATATTATCACAAGTGAATGAAAAACTATATGAGCATCTATAGCATTTGCTTCAAGAACTCTTAACAGTACCGAGAAAAATTATAGCCAAATAGATAAAGAAGCGTAATAATTATATTTGGTGTTCACAAATTTAACAATTTTGTGTATGGAAATAAATTCACAATAAGATGTGATTGTAAACCGCTAATCAGCATTTTTGAATCTAAAAAAAGAATCCCAACAATGACAGCATCGAGATTAAAAAGGTACGCTTTATTCTTAAGAAATTATAATTTTAATATACGGTTCATCAAATCTGCAAACAATGTCTTATGCTGATGTCTTATCCAGATTGCCATTTAAAGTAGAAAAGCAAATACACCAGAAATAACATACTTACACCATATAGTTGAAATGAGAATCATGGATGCTATTTTAGTGAAGACAGAAACAAATAAAGACCTGATATTAATTAAGGTAAATACTACGTACAATATGGTTGGCCCGAACAAGTGCAAAAAGAATTAGAACCAGTGCTCGAATTGGTGGGGTGCGCAGGGGGACGTAGCTCCTCTACTTTTTTTTATTGGGACAGGAGGACGGTGGAAAATACCACCTCTTTTTATTTTTAAAAAATAATGAGTAAAAAAAAAAAAAAAAGGTCTTCAAAATACTAGGGACGCAGTTTTCAAATTGTTAAGTTGAGCTCCCCTACTTATTTTTGGCCAATTCGAGCACTGATTAGAACCATTTAAACTAAGAAAAGAACTATTGAACTTAGAGCAAGAAATCATTATATGGGGTCACAAAGTAGTAATACCAAAGACACTTAGAGATAAAATGCTAAAAGAACTCCATCAAAATCAATTAGGCATAGTTAAAATGAAGTCTATTTCAAGAATGTACATATGGTGGCCTTGCATCGATAAAGACATTGAGAGCACAGGAGGAAAATGTGGAAAATGCATGAATGTGAGATCAATGCCTAAAAAAACATCTCTACATACATGGGAATGGCCAGAAAGACTTTGGCAGTGGTTACATGCTGATTTCTTAGCACCATTTAAGGCTAGTTTATTTCTAGTTATTGAAGTTGAATACTCAAAATGGATTGAAGTATTTCAAATACCAGTTTAATATACTATCAACAATTAAAGAGAGCTATTCGCCAGATTTGGTATAGCAGAATACTTAGTTACAGACAATGGACCACTATTTGTATCTTTAGAGTTTAAAAAATGTTTAGGTAAAAATGGAATTAAATAAAGAACATCATCACCATACCATTCACAAAGCAACGGCCAAGTAGAAAGCGTAATCGAAATTGTTGAATCATTTCTTAAAAAATTTCTTTTAAAAATATTAATCTACAATTAAATCATTTTTCATTTGACTATAGAATTGCAATGCATATGTCGTAATATGCTCAATGCTTTGCATTACGCATCTTACGATTATCAATGAAAAATGTATAATTTGTATTTTAAATAACTTGTAAACAAACAAATAATTTATCTGTCATAACAAATACGATGTTCATCACAATTTCTTATTATTTATATATATGTCAATTTATCAATTGTTAAATATGTTATCTCAACATAATAATCATGTAATGTATAATTAAATACAATAAACTAAAAAGATCACTAAAAGCGCTGACAACAATATCCGTGGATAGGGGTACTATCATTTTACTATAAAAAGCACTGAAANCCGTGGATGGGGGTACTATCATTTTACTATAAAAAGCACTGAAATCCTTTCAGACTCCGGAGAGACTCCAAGGAGTGACAGCGAGCGAGAGAGTTCGTTTTCTCCGAATTGAAATAAGAATAAAAAGAAACAATCATCAGTCACAGCACTGTGTTGTTATCAGCTGACTTTTACGCGTTTTATTTATATATGAAAAGAACTTGTTTTAATTATTTATCTTTTGAAGAAGTGCGAATTAAATACTTTTAAACATATCGGGATATTTATCAAATCATTTTACAGCAATTTGCAAGAATAAAAGAAGTAAGTAATTTTATGTTATCCCAATTATTTGGAGTTAATAAATTTGAGTAAAGGATGACAAAGCAATAGATCATTTATTAAATTAATATCTTAAAGAGTCAATTTTGACTGGTTGGTTAAAGAAATTATACATAATCACGTTATATGGTATTCGTGAACTGGCTTCGCCGTTTCGTTGCTTTAAAGATGTTTTAAAAAACCTAGCGTGATTTCTACTGTATAAATTAGGCTCTGGTATTCGTGGACTGGCTCTGCCGTCTCGTTGCCGAGGTATTCGTGAACTGGCTTTGCCGTTTCGTTGCCTCTTAGTTAGGACATTAGAAACTAACCAGACAAAACTTTATTACACCTCGAATAGAGGTACTACGTCTATTATTTTTATATCTACTTGTCTTTGTCGTTCTGAACCCTCGAACCATACGAGCCCGATAGAACCACAACATCAGGTTCTCACTAAGCCCATCACCCATCGCTCATTTTCATCATTTTTATTTTAACAACTATATTGCTTTTTATTTTTGAATTATAACACATACTACAACAACAAAAAAGTCCTGCTACATTATTATTTGGAAAGAACCTTTGTAACAGATTTGATTTAATTAAACCTAATATTCCAAGTACAGTATGGGAATATCAAGAAAAACAAAAAACCAATAAAACAATTAGACATTTTGATATTAATGAAAAAGTTCTAGTAAGGAAATTTACAGGAGAGAAATTGACAAAAGGAAAAATTATAAAAATATTAGGAAATGTCATGTATCTTGTGGAACTACCAAGTGGTGTTACTTGGAAGAGACATGCTAACTAAATACAGAAGATTAAATATGAGATTGAAGAGGAAGAAGCGGAAGAAGTAAAAGAAAGAAAAATAGCAGAAGTAGTAAAAGAAGAAAAAATAATAGACGAGGAAACGGTTGAAACTACAAAAGAGCAGAGTATAAGAGAAAACAATTCAACAGAAATTATACAAAATCATAGAAGTTCAAGTAGACCAAAGAAACTTGTTATAAAGATGAATTTATAATAATATAATTTAAATTACAATTTATATGTTTATGTGTTAATTAGTATTTTTTATATATAGTTTTAAGAGAGGAAGTGTTATGTTGTGTTTGTTATCAGTAGTTGATATTGTTGTATTATGTATCAACACTATTATTCATTTGTAGCATAATCTAACATTATATATACACATTAGGTTTTATTATTATTAATCATGTTAAGTTTATTGTAAATTAAAGTTCCTCATGTTAAATAAAGAGATACATAACGCTCTACATTCTTCGAAAATAGTGCACATAACTTCTTTAAATAATTTTATGTTTAAAATAAAAAAATAACTAGTATAACTTAAAAATTCTACAATACATTATTTAATAAACAATTTCACAATGTTAATACAATCTTGTAGAATATTCTAAATTAATATATTTTGTAATGAAAGAATTGAAATCTTTAATTTGCGTTTTTCTAAAAAGCAACATTTTGTATATAGAAACTTTGTCCGGAGTACACTTCATTGGCATTTGATATTGCTATCAATGTACATTTTACTTTGAGTAGAATAACAAACTTAGAAGTACTTGAAATAAATATTAATTAAAAAATAGACAGAGCGTACAATATTCAATAACACATTTCTTTTAAGCAACATTACATTTATTAATGATTTATTTAAACTAATAATTAACAATATAATAAAGTAAATCATCACAGTAAAGAAATCACCTATTAAAATAACTAATTAACAATTATTATTAAGGACATAGAAATACAAAATAGGAATAAAGTATACATTAATACTATAAATTTAATTTGGTTTGGTACTAACAAGAGCCAGATGGTCAAAACAAAAATGAATTTAAAGATTTCAACAGGAGTTATAAATTTTGATATAAAAATAAATTAGTTATAAGATAGAAACAAATAATAAGAAACTCTAAAATTAAAATCATTTAGATTAATTTTAAATTATACAAAATTATTGGCGATTTTAATACTTTTATTACAGTTTATTTTAAGTTTAACTTACAAAGAACCTTATTGTTTTTCAAAAAAAAATTATTAAATGTTATAATCAGTAATTAAAAACATTTTTTAAAAAATTATATATTATTTGATAAGTCCAATAAGTTTGATTATTAAATATTTATTTTAATAAAAAAAAATCATAAGGGGTTTGTATTATTCTTGTAAAAAAATAATAATAATAATAAATTAAATTATTTTCTATTTAAATTATTTTTATTAAACAATATTTTTGTTTTGATACAGACTAATAATAATATACTATTTCAAAATCCACAACTCAATTAAACATGAATTATATATTTTTTTTTATTTGCTTAAAAAAGCCTAATCAATAACAAAATATATAAAAATATTTAGCATCGCTAAAATATACTATTACACCTATGGTTTTAAGCATTTAAAAGTTTTTATGATGTTTAATGTAAGTTTTATATATTAAAATTATTTATAAACCACTTTTATTTCATAAATCCAGAAATTAAAAATTATACATATATTCTCTTTTCATAAACCATTTAAAAATAAATATAATATTTAAATATTTGTTTTTATTTAGTTATATATATCTCTCCTCGGTCATATTTTAAAATCGTAGTTCCTGAACTACAGGTTCAAAAGTTATCAACCTATCATTTTCTTAATAAGGTCATTTTGAATAAGATATACAATGATAAAAAGTAACAGTTGATAAATTGAAATATATATATATATATATATAAATAAATAAAATCAACATATTTTTCATTGTTGTATTTATTTTGTGAGTAATGGAATGGTTTATGATAAGCCGAACATTCTGCATATTATATATGCAAGTAAATAGATTATAAAAATAAAAGGGAATATCAATAATATAAAAATGAATGTACAACTGATTTTTAGTAGCACAAATTAAACTTTTTTCTTTTTATGATAAAACTTCAAAACATTGTATTTGTAACTGTCATTTAGTGTTTCTACAATTATATTCATTTAAATTCATGTATAAAAAAATGATGAAAGGTAAATAAAGATTAATAAAATTATCAAGTAAAATACTTTTTGTTAAATAATTGTATAAATTTACCTAATGTTTTTCACAAATATTACTGCTTAATATATTTTTAATTATTTCAATGTTAAAACTACTTTTTGCAAATTTATCATTTATTGATGATGAATGTAATTTTTCTAACCAGGCTCCTCGAGTAACATGAAATTGTTCAATTGATCGAGTACATTGATCATAAAGATCAAAATTTCCTAATTCCCGATATACATGAGCTAATCCTTGAAGATCATACAATAATCCTGTGTACTGGTTACCAAAACTTTTTTCATCTGAATAAACAGTAAAAATATCAACATTAAATTAAATTAATTATTACTCATTAACAGGGCTCGTAAGTTGGCCCAGTGGGCCTAGAAAGTCATGAATAGCCTGGCGGGACTTATGCCCAATCTAGGAGGGCCGAGGAAAATGCGGTGCAGACTTTTAGTCAGCGTCGTACATTCGGTCCTCCTGTACCGGTCCCCAATTTGGGCCGATCTCTTGAGTATTCGTCCAAAAACCGTGAAGCCCTGCTTAGGGTGCAAAGGTAGGCGGGGATCTGGATAGTTTCGGCGTACTGAACGGTATCCGGAATGGCGACTGGTATCCTGTCATCATTGCCGCCGAAAACACTCGAACCCGATGACTGACTGGCGCTCAGGCGGATGACCATGCTCCAGAGGCGGACTCGCCTCTCGGAGGAAACGACGACAGGCGAGTGGACCAGGTCCCTCATAGGACCCGATCAGCTGGGTGGACCGGACTCACAGTGAGATGACTTATTGTCTCACCCAAATGATATCCGCCCACGGCTGCTTTAATAAGTACCTGCGCCGTATTCGTGAAACAGCCTCGCTGACGTGCGACCACTGTTCGTATCGCCCGGAAAAGGAAGACAGAGCTCTGCACACCCTCTTCTGGTGTGGGACATGGGCCCAGGAGCGAAACTATTTGGAGTCCAAGTGTTCATCGAATCCGTCTTGATAAAGAAGGAGGAAGCGGAACGCCTGAGACAGAGGCAGCCGCGCCGCACGGTACAGGAGGACTTGAGTCGCTGGTTTAGGTCGGCACCTTAGGTGGTCGTGTTTTATGTTTTCTTTTATGTGTCGTGAGTTATTTGCCCCAACTCCACGCCGTGCAATCCGGGCAACAGATCCCACTTTGGGATCCGGCTAACGGAGGAGGTCACACCACGTTGTGAAACAGCTATTGATTAATTTCGGGCTGATTCACAACGTGGTGATGTGAGTTTTAGAAACGGCGTGGGCCGCACATGAAGTAATGCCTCACTGCAGTTCCAGGGCGGTCCGCATTAATGCCGATGGTGAGAAAAAAAGGGCTCGTAAGTTCATGCATTTAAATGTTTTTTTTTTGCTATTTAAGAAAACATGTTAAGTGAGCTACAAATCCATTTCATAACAATATTAATAAGAGTATGAAGTTTGTTAGTGCATATTTTGGATGTTAGGGCATATTTTGCATATAATTGATTTTTTTGACAATTTGGTAGCTAATGTAAAAAAAATATTTCGTAAATGCCCATATCGAGTAAACATTTTTAAAACTGAAGCCTTTAATATACTATTAGTTCTAGCACTTATGATTATGCGGTGGGGAACTTGATTAACAGCTACGTCGTACTACTGTACAAATTTTGAAATTTTAAAACGCATAGTTGAATCATTTTATGGAAATTATTCTGTAGCTATAAAAAAATCCAAACATATATTTAAACTCCAATCATTAGAGGCCAATCTAATTTCCATTAAATTAAACTTTGATTGCCACCGAGAGCGATCACACGATCTCAAGACAAAGTATTTCATTGATTGAATAAAATCGATTTTACTGCTCACAAATGAAAATGAGTTTTGAATCCTTAAAATAGTGTTGAGTGGATCAAAATGCGAGGCATTCAGAGGCGTATTCATATATTTTCCGCTTTTAGGCATTTAAAAATATGCCGCCCTTCATTACGTTATGACGGAGGAGTTTCATTTTTATATATTTTTCCATAACACTACTAATTCTTCCTCAAAAAAAAAAAAAAAAAAGATCTAAAAATGTTTTTCAAGCAAATCTATGTTTATTAATAAATCATAAAATAAATTGTAGCTATTCATATAAATATCATAAATACACAATAAATGAAAACGATTATGATAATTATTAGGAAGTCAATATGTCATAACAACAATAAAAAATAACTCGCTTTTAGCTTCGATGCGAAGCTGAGAAGGTATTAATTTTACTATGATATGTTTTTATAAATATGTTGGCCTTCAATATTTGCTGCCCCATAAAATATGCTGCTGTAGACAGTTGCCTATATTGCCTACATATACAAGTGTATTACATCTGAGGGGGATTACTTTGAAGGGGACAACATAAACATTGATGAATAAATAAATAGTTTTTCATAAAAATATCAAGTCACCTTACTTTTTGAACACACCTCGTATAAATACGCCGGGAGCATTTGTTTTGCACTTGCGTCGAACGCGAATTTCAAAATTTGTTAGTTTGAACTCAAATAGAAGGCAATGGATTAAATGCAAATTTTTCAAAATTGCGTTCTTATGTTTTAAACACTTCTATGGCTTCTCATACTTTTGGCATTGCTATGACTTCTTATATTTTATACACTTTTAAGGCTTCTTATATTTTAATTATTTCTATGGTTTCTTATATTTTAAACACTTCTATGGTTTTATATCACTTGGTGTAGTAATTAGTTTTTTTTGCGGATAGAAACTGAGTATAAATATAAAGAAACTGGGAATCAAAGATTCTGGAATATTCGTGCGCGGTATATGTATATATAAAGTGGAGCTGTGGTGCGTCGGTCAGTTCAGTTCCAAAGATCGAGCGAGAAACATCATCTTCATGATTGGGAATTCCTAGTACAGTTTAGTAAACGAAAAATGTTTTTAATAAGGTATTTATTCTTGAAAGGTACATAAAGCATGTATTCATTCTCGACCATCTGTAAAGAACTTGTTTTATTGTATGGTTAATAGAAAAAAACCCAGCACAGGGGGGTCGCGGCACAGTGGTGACGTGACATAGTTGGTTCAAGTATAATGATATCTGACAGTGATTAAAATCACTATAAAAAAAAAACCGCTTCAATGCAAATCTTTAGATAGTGTTTAATTTTAAAAAATTGGTGGATTATTCCAAAAGCTACATGATCTGATATTTCCTTATTAATATCCTAATAAAAATAAAGTATGTCGAATGAAAAAGAGATTATTAAAAAATATTATTTCACATAAAAAAATTGTTTTGATCAATACACTTTTCAATAAGTTATAGCATTATAAAGTTAAAAATGTAAAAAATAAAATTGAGAATTTTAACACAATAATAGCATTTGGTAGCCATTTTCACAAGAAAAAATGAAGTCCGAAATTTATTTTTTCCATAATAAAGTATATTACATTAGCTTTAATTTAAGATAAATTTTAAATCCCCTCCTGTAAAGGGTTAGATTTATAAAAAAAAATATACCAAATGATAGGTAATGACATCAAGCATCTATAAAAAAAAATTATATTGATTTGTTTATTTTTGAAAAAGTTACGACAGTTTAAGTGAAAAAAATTTTGAAAATTAGCGATTTTTAAATTTGTAATTTTTTTGGAGTTTACCCATTTACGGGGAACGAGGGAAATTTTTTCAATATGAGGGTAATGTCTTCAACTAGATATGATTTGTGATCTTTTGACGCATCGTTGAAAGAAATCATTTCGGTAAGAGCTGAGAAAAAGTGGTAACAGACAAAAAAAACCCCTTTATAGTAAAACCAATACCTTCTCAGCTTCGCATCGAAGCTAAAACATAAAAGATTGTTTTATTCCAAATGTTTTTCTTTAATTTCGAGCAAAAGCACATCTTTCTTGCCTCTTTTTAGTGTATTTAATTTAGAATATTGTCTGGCGAATATTTTTATGGCTATATTTTATTTGTTTATTACATGTATATTTGAGATAAGCTGGAAGCTTGTTTACATACCCGACTAGCTGCTGCGATTGTAGAAGCTTATGATACAGATTCATGTAACTCTGAAACCGATTGTTTTAGTAGTGACGAAGGAAACGCTAAGGAGGAACCGGAAGAACAGGTGATAGAAACTCGAAAGAAGAAATCAAATCTGATAACGTCGCCAGTGCGTCAGAAAATGAAGACAAGTCAGATGCAGACAGTGGAGGAACTGATCTCATGTCTGAAGCAACAGAACCACGCACAAAAAATAAGAGGGTCTTGCGGGCAGCCCGAAAGTCTTTCTATTTACAGACTAAGTCCAACTTTTGTTGGTTCAAAAATATTCCCGAACGCAGAAGCCGTCGTTCTTAAATTGATTACTGTGCACGTGGGAAAGGTGTAGCTCTCGAGGTATCGTCTCCAATAGAAGCATGGTCGCTGTTATTTAGTTTTGATATATTGAACATTATAGTCAAGCATAATAGTGAAGAAATTGAGCAGCATATTGCCAAAATGCTTGAAAATCATACACATTTGCAAAATTATCACAAAGAAATTTATTTAATTGGATTAAAGGCTCTAATCGGTTTATTATATTTTGCCGGTTTATATAAAATCAATATGACTAACATGATATAAATATTTAAAATGTCAAAAACCTATGTGCCAAGATCATGCAGCGAAAAACTGCGTTGATTGTAATAATTAAATTACGAGACTTTTGTACTTTTTAATTCGTAATACTGTTTGATCAGTGAATACGTATATTGTAATACTGTAAATTTGACAATAATAAATCCTGTTACTGTATATATTTGTTTTACTTATCCCGTCTTCATCTATTGTAATAATTTTTTTTCAATTTGCTTTAAAATTCATAATATATATTGATGGCTATTAATTATTTTCAGATGGTATTTACACATGCAAAAAGAATAGAAAAAATACTTAAAAAAAAAAAAATTAATTAAAAAAAACTAATCCTTACAAAAGTTTAAGGCATTGAAATACGCTGGAGTCATGTAGACCCCAGTCGGTAGACAACTGGTGGCAAATATGTCGGTAGACTGAGGGTTAATAATCTTATTATTATGATTGAAAATCAGAAAAAGAATATATTTTTGAAGATAATAAAATATTTCAACTTATGTTAATTTATACTTTTGATTTTTACTTGTTAATAACTTTTTACTAAAAAGTTATAGTTTATAATAAAAAATTATACATTTTAAATATTTCTTGGTCTTTCAAAGTATGCTTATTTTAGATTTTTAGCCCCGCTACCCAAAATTTGATCACTTTGCGCCCATGTTTTTTGTACATAATTTTAGTGCATGAACTTACGAGCTTTGCTCATTAATATATCAAAAATTACTTACAAATAGCTTTTGATCTTAAGTAAAGCTGCTCAGCTACTTCATACTTTTCCATTTGATAGGTATATAAACTAGCAAGATGACCTAAAGATAAAGCAACTTCTGGGTTATCTTCACCTAAAATGGCTTCTTTTATTTTAATCGCTTTTAAATGCATTTCTTCAGATAGCTAAATAAAAAATCATTATAGCAAAAGCAAAAATGATTTAAGTAAAAATATATGCTTTGTAAACATACTTGATAATTTATTTTACTCTGATAAAGTCGTCCTAAATTACAATAATGTTTAGCTGTTAAAAGGTTATTTTCTCCAACAGTTTTTAAAGACGCTTGTAAAGCCATTTTGTGAAGTTCTTCAGCTTCATCAAGCATACTTTTCTTCCATTGTTCACTGTCAATGCCTTGACATAACAAATATACTCTTAAAATGTTAAATTATTTGCGATTGTGAAAATAATTTATCCTTTTATTGTAATATTCTTATTAATTAAAAAAATAAATAAATCATTTACCCCAATGAATTATATCTAAAGCTTTTTCTTCTAAAATTAAAGCTTTTATACGTCCAGCATTTACTAATAACATGTGATTATTAGGTAAACCAATACACTCCATAATATAAATCCCTTGTAAAACACTAGACCTATTAAAAAATATTTTTCTTATAAACACTATATATATATAAATGAAATATGAAATATTACATAGCTTCATCAAAATCACTAGTTTCATAATCACAAACATATCGAGCATATGCATAATCAACAAATACATTAGCGGTATGTAAATTAAAGTATCCAAATAAATTTCTTCTTGAATCAAGAGCCACCTATAATTAAATTGATTAATATTATTACTTCAGTAAATATTTATTATGATCATACATAATAACTGTAGATACTGTTTTCGGCTAAATCAGCCCTTAAAGAATAACAAGCTTCATTTAATAACATATCTACACAAATATGTTGTTCAATTTCATTGTCATACATATGAACTTGTTCGATCAATTTTTTAGCACTATTCAATTTGTTTGTAGCTGAACAAACTCGTATAACATGTCCAATAACCAGTAATTGTAATACATCACTACTTTTATTACTAAGTTCATTTACTGCTTTAAGTGCCCAAAACCAAGCCTAAAAGTAATTTAAATTGAAAATAATACGAGAATAGTAAAAAAATTTAAAGGACTAACCTCTTTAAACTCCATTAATTGATAATAATACTGAGAGACAGCAACATAAGAATAAGCAATACAAATTTTTTTTTTCTGTAGTTCTAAGGTTTTAAGTGTTTCTAAAATATACTGTAAAACCAATTTAGCTTCATCAAAATTATAAAAGTTTGATAAAACTAACAACCATCTATAAAAAATTCATTATACTGATATTTACACCAAATGGATTTATATAAGTATTATTCAAAACTCTTTAACTTGGTAAGGCATTGTAAAGTCTTCATCAACACCAATGTTTCATCAGAGCACACCCATTTTTTAGATATCAACTCGTATGTGAATGATAAAACAAGTGCACTTTCATCAAACCACCCAGAATCGCCAAGAAATATACCTAATGTAAAATATTGTTATTCAATTTTATATCTAATATGAAAAAAATCTTTAAGACCAACCAAGTTTTAACCCTTGTTCAATGAAATGGTAACACTTATTATCTTTTTGTTCATTTCCATTTTTTATCCATTCTAAAGCAAATTGCTTAGGAAATTTAAAACCTTTAATTTGTATACAAATCTATGAAAAAAAAAATTGCATAAAAATTTTAAATATATTTTAAAATGTCATAATATTAATAATACCTGAAATATGGTAAATAACTGGCTTCTACATTCTGTTACTTCAATTAATTTGAAAAATAATTCTAAGTCAAAATGATCATAGAAGTTATATTGATCTTGAAATTTGGTCTATAATATTTAAAAAAAATATTTGATAAATATATTGGTTTTTCTAATAATATATTGTTATTATTAAAACATCAATATTAGAGTTTTCTAAGATATTTTATCAAGACATTAAAAAAATTAACAACATAATACATAGTATTGTGTTAAGTATCTAGCATATTATATAAGTATAGGTACCAAAATGAATTTTTATTATATAAAATTGTGATAATTATATAAACATCAATGTTAGTGATAATATTTTTTTAAATATATTATCTAAGTATTAATATCATTTTTAATCCTAATAAATATATGAAAATACAATACTATGTATATGTATATTATTATCAATTAAAAATTATTATTTATTATAAAATTGATAACTGTAATTAATTTAAAAGTTAATTTTGATTTAATTTGAATACTTGTTGAACTTTTGCAAAAATAGAATGGCTCTCAATAGACAAATGTGTATGATAAGTAGGTAACAAATTTCTTGAACCAAATAAAGATGACATTTGAGCAAGATCACGACCTCGATTTACTGAAGACAATTCACAATCTGGAAATCTGAAGTTAAGTAAAAACTCAGGATCATGATTGTTAATTCTCAATACCTTAAAAATGATACATAAAAGATAAATTATGGTAAAGTGATAATAAAAAAACAATCATAATTTATATGAAAAATAGCATATAATTAAAAAAAAAACTAGTTTTACCTTCCAAATTATTTGAAGAGTTATACATGCAGGACACCACTTTAAAATATATTGTAAGGTATCTTCATTTATTGACACACATAATTTATGCAAAGATAAGTTGAACAATGAATCAGTGTGATACTGAATATTATTCATAATTATTTTATATGAAAGTTTCTCAACAAAAACAAATAAAAATTATTTCGTGTTTAATTAATAAAAAATAAAATGACTTTCTAATTGAATAAAAAAACGTTTTAATTATTCATTATACTACTAATACAGTTAAAATTCAAAAATAAAAAAAAAATTTTTTATTTTTATATTTAAAATTTATATTAACTAAAACAATTATGATTCATTTTAATATTATTTAACAATACTACGATTCAGTCATAATTGAAAATCATAGGATTTTAGTAAATGTCTGTTATCATTAAGTGAAGTGTTATTAACAGCTGATCAGTACAGTTCAATTTATTCACCTGACATACTGTGAATTTATTTTTGAAAAATTGTGAGACCGGTTAAATGAATATTTTATTTCAAAATTTTTTAAATCTGATTAGATGGCGTAATGCCATAATTATATTAATTTTATGAATATATATAATAATTTGTATAATTTTATACAAATATAAGAAAAATAATAGAAGCTTTCTCTATTTTATACCATAATTATTACAGGTATCTGAACTTAGTCCAGTGCTGATAGTATTTTACTCTACAGGTTGATCAGTTGTACCACACATTATTCAAAAATTTATTTATTCCAATATTTGCTAGCTTTTATTTAGTTATTGATATAACATGATAAAAAGATCATCACAAAATAATTATTTTAAATGTAACCGTTTTAAATTTCCATAGTGATTATTATCTAATTATTATTATTATTATGGAGACGTTAAACGCTAAAAATATTGTATTTACTCTAATAACAATTTTTGTTTTAATTTTATCAATTCTCTTTGTATATGAACCATCTCAAAATTTTTTATGTAGTTTTGCTATTTTTGAAAGATTTTTAACCAACACTCCTTGGGTATGCTCTCTTTTTGACTCCAAAAGATTGAGCAGATATAGTGGCGATGGTGGAGGAAAAATTTACTTGTCAATCTTAGGTAACATATTTGATGTTACTGTAGGTAGAAAATTTTATGGACCTGGTGGATCCTATGAAAAATTTTCAGGTAGTAAAAATGATAATAAACAAATTTTTATCTCTTACAACCGTCTTTCATTTTTAAAAGACATTTACTACTTTTTTTTATAATATATATTAATAATTTACTAGTCAATATTGAATATCAAAACTAGACTTCTTTTTAGTATTTTCTTTTGTCAAAAATTATGATTCTATGATTTGTTAAAAATATGTATTATTTATTTTAATCCATTATAAAAAGTTTAAATTTCCAAAAATGGCACTTATTAATTAATCTTTGCATTGTGTTGTTGATAACTGAAATTTTGATTAAATAAAGCCTCAAATAAAATGTTTTCATCTATTTTGTTTAGACTAAAGAAATTTTTCACATTCATCCTAATTGTTAATATTAAAGTATTAATATTAATTAAGTTTTATATTTTATTAAAACTAAGTTTAATTGGTACTAATTTGTTTGTATAATGAAAATTTATTTAAACGTTTAATTATTATTTGAAAAGGTCGTGATGCTAGCCGTTCATTTATAACTGGATTGTTTAATGAAGAAGATTTGACTGATGATGTTCTTGACATGAAACCTGATGATCTTATTGGATTAGAAACCTGGTTAAATACTTATAAAAAAAAATATAAAGAGATTGGTAAGTGATTTATTAAATTTGCATGTAAAAATATACCAAGACTTTTCTTTTAAACATTTACTATTTACCTTTATTTTTCTTATTTATACCAAGTATAATAAATTTAAATTAATAATTTGTTGTTTCATTTAAAAAAATATTACATAGCTTACATTAATTTAAACTTCATTAATTTTCATTAATTGTGTTAAAGAATAGTGACTATATACAAAATTTGCTATTTTTCTGTATTTGTATCAACATAATAAAATTAAAATAAATTAAATTTCATGTAAGGAAATTTATTAGTCCAGCACATACAATCCGTCACATTTTTGATCTTAAGAATTAGTGTGCATGCTGGCTAGTTTTTGGGCTTAACTGTCCTTTAGTAGGTATAGTGAAAAGGTAGTTATGCTGGTGGCTAACGAGAAGCCACCCTTTAGTCTGCTACTTTTGATATAGACCATGCTGACGGGTCTAAACTTTACCCCTTTAGTAATTCAATAATTGAAAGGATTAGGGCTGACCAGTGTATCCAATGAGAAGACTTGAAAAGAGCTATAAACGACAAACTCATTGTCAAAAATATTAGTTAATTTGTGTCCTACTTTTGTGTCTACGTCGATGTACAACATTACTTGTGCCATATTAACTTTTTAAAATATATTGTTAATTTTAGAAAAGCACAAAATATGTTTAATTAATTTTTTTATAATGATACAACTTTTTAAATCATTGTACAACCTAGTATACCTAACTAATTCAAATTCTTATTATACCTAAAAAAATAGTTTAAAACTTTCTAATTAAAAATATATCTTTATTTAATTTACTAGAAAACTGTTTTTTATATAACGCTTGTTTATATATTATTCATGTGGTAATCAAAACAAATAATGGCTAAAAAAGTACATTTTATTATTTCCATTCTAAATTCCTAGGTAAACTTATTGGACGCTACTATGATTCAGCTGGCAAAGAAACTGAATACAATAAATTAGTTCAAGAAAAAATTAAATTAATTAAAAATAAAAATCATCAAAAGAAACACGAAATGAGTCTTTATCCTAACTGTAACATAGAATTCAATAATGAAAAACAAATGAGTAAAGTGTGGTGTACAACAATGAGGTATAGTATAAAGACATAATCAATCCTATGTATATCATGTTTTTATGTACTTTTTAATTTCTTAATTTAAAACTTTATTTTTAGTGGTGGAATTAAAAGAGAATGGACCGGAGTACCTCGTAAACTACAAACTATTGATGAAAACGGCAAACTAACAGTACGCTGTGCTTGTATTCAATTAGAAAATTTAAGTAATAATGAGTTAGCTCGAATTGTTCAGTATGATAACTGTGATAATGATTTGACTACATGCTATGTAAAAATAAATTAAAATACAATAAATAATTTAATTAAGTACTTAAGTCTATTAATTATTGATTCACTTTATACACGGTGCTAAGGATTTTGAATTGTAATTAATTGTTAAATATTAATACTAAAAAAAATTATTATTAAAATTTTTGTTTATATAGATTTTGCATATTTTATTGCAATAAATTTGTCTGTTATATTTCTATCATACATTTTTGTTTTAATAATATACAATGAAGAGATAAAAATATTAAGATTTTTTTAATCTGTACATAAAACCTATTCATAATTTCTAATATTTTATATTTTTGAAGAATGATTAGAAATATTTTATTATTTATTGAGGATAAAAATTATTCAGTTATTATAATATGTATTCATTTGTTATTACAAATTGTTATTATTTGTATGCAATATTATTTTTAAAGTTTCATAAATACTTAATAATAATTTATTACGTGATATGTTTAATTTTTTCTATAATATAAATTAACCTACAAATTAAAATCAAGTTTAACGACTTATGTATTATATTTTATTAATAAATGAGATAACTAAAAAAATCATTAAAAAAAAAAAACAAATTAAATTGAGTATAATGAGAGATAGCTTGTTAATGTATATTTTTAAATTGCATCTGGATATTAAAGAAATGGTAAAATAAATATCACTTACGCTATAAACAATATAAGTGTCAATAATAATTTTTGTTGACTTATAATAATAAGGTTCTAATTCAATAGGTATAAATTACATTGATTTTATACCGTGTCAAGGCATACTTAATATTAGGTCATATTGATTAAAATTAAAAGGAAACATTATCATATAATAGTTATTATCACTTATCAGACTATATGCCACACAAATAATAATCTTTGGTTAGTGTAGTATTTTTAATTACTAGTAAGTACTATGTACTAAGTTATGTTAGTATTTTTAAAGGTAATGTAAAGCTTATTTATTATTTAATTTAGGTACTATATTAATATCTATTATTTATAAGTAATTTATTTATACATTCAATTTTACAAAGTCTATAACCATACTTGTTAATCAAAATATCTTCTATAATTTACATCTAAATTCTCAATCAACAAAAAGTATAGCTCATTAGAAATGTGGTCAAAAATTTACCGTGCAACTAATCACGGTCTTGTTCGAGGATTGGCCATATATTCAATAACATGGCCAGCCAGCAGTGTAATTCAGCAAGCATTGGATCCTACATGGAATAAAGAAATTGATATCAAACGTGCAATCAAATTTAGCTTATATGGTGCATTGTATGTGGCACCAACATTGTATGCTTGGATGAGATTTGCAAGTTTTATTTGGCCAACACATACAGTTGTTAGCCACGTTACAAAGGTAATATTTATTTTTAATTCTGGCATTTTTAATCAATCAACATAATTAATATAAATATTTTTTAGTTAAATTAATCTTGTTTATTTTTAAATAAAATTAAATTAAATTAAAAAATAAATTATTAAATTATTGTATATAAGTGAATTTTTTTATAATTTTTACTGAGCCTCATTATTTTAGTTTTTATAATTTTTTATAAAATGTATGAATCTATTAAATTATTATAATAAAAAATTAAAGATAAAGATTATAAATAGTTTAATTATTCAGTAGTGTTTAAAAATATGTTGTATCATAATTTTTATTATGCAACTGTTTTTTGTAGGTTTTTTCATGATTATATAATCCTAGTATTAACGCTAACAGAAGAATCATTTACAATAAAAAAGAAGCCTTAATAACTACTTTGAAATGACTATAATTTTATGAAAATATAACCAATAAATTTATGTAAATTAAAAAATAGTTTTCATTCGATGAAAATAGTTAGAAAAATATATAAAAATTTAACCCATTACTACTTATAGCACTAAAACAAGTTATTTTATATACTACAATAAGCACTTGAAAAATTGATTTTTAGAGTTTTAATATGCATTAAAAAAGAAAAAAATGTCAACTTTTATTTCATGAAGATTTTTGAAATTTTAGTTTAATACTTAATAAATAATTACACTTTAATCATTAAGATTTAATATATGATTTTTTAAATAACATAAAAAAAGATCTATTAAGTATTGGGGGTTACACATGAAAAAAAAAATTGTATGTAATACTGAAAAATATTTTTATTTAAAACTATAATTACTATTTAGTTGAATAATTGTTGAACATTGTATATAATATCCTACTATTTGTAAAATTATCTACATGACACAAAAAACTTGATCATTATATACATAGAACAGAATTATGAACAAAGTGCTTTTTTTTAATTTGAGCATTTCTTAGACCTTTTTAAAATTTTGTACATTTTTTGGCTTCTTAAGTATCCAATACAATCAAAGTATCAAAAATTATCACTAGCTGATCACGAAAATAATTCTTTTAACTAACAGACATATTCCAGAAATTTATAAAACTGAAATAATGCCAAAAATAAAAAATAATACTTCAGCATGAAAATATGCAAAAATATGATGTATAAATTGTTGTATTTAATATATTGGTTTTCTTAACAAATAAATAACATTTTTTTTTAATAGGCAGTTATTGAACAATTTTCCTATGGACCATTTGCAACTGCAAGCTTTTTTTTTTTTATGACATTACTTGATGGTGGGTCTATTGAAGATGCAAAACAAGAGGTCCAAAAGAAATTCTTTCCCACATGGAAAGTGAGTTTTATTGAAAATTTTTGAATTTTATTCTTTAAGAAATTACTTTTTTTATAATAAAATTGATGTAAGCAAACAAAAATTAAAAATACATAATTTCAAATGAATAATTATTTTATATTAATTTTTACACTGTTAAAATTTACATGCAGTTATTTTTCTGGTTCATTTTTTTTGATGATCTTTTTCTTACAACTTTAATTTATTAATACGATTTGAATTAAATAACAAAGAGTTATTAACCCTTTCTCTATTAGAACTCAAACTATAATACATTTAATTTGAATTTCATTTGATTTACTAGTAATTTAAGACATTTTTAAAAGCTATGTAAACATTTATACTATTCTAAGTACATAGAGTCAACGTTTAACTATGACTCATGCAATATTTTTAAAAGTTAAAAAATATAATAATTTTTTTTTAAGTTAATTATGTCCTATTTTTTATGATTTTTTTAAAAAAATTGGTTCTTACCATTTAAAATTGTATCAACTTTTGTTTTTTAAATAGAAATATACATATATAACCTGCTTACAAATAAGAAAATAATTAATATTAAAAATCATTTACAACTTTTGAACCAATATTTTGGAATTTATTAATACTTTAATACAAAAACTTAAGTTGAAACATGCTAGTGTCATTATTTATATCTCTAAATATTTATAAACCGCCCTACTCCCCCTCCCTGTTAAAAAAATGTTAATATTATTTTAAAAACTGATTCAAAGTTGTTATAAACAAGTCATTTTCTTAGTTAGGCCATTTATTATTTTAATTTATAATTAGTAAATTTTATTTTATTTTTTTTTGAGTAAATTAATATTTTACTAATATTAAAAAATTTGTTTAGCCAAAATTGGTGTATAAATGCTTTTATAAAATTCTTTATTTTAGTTTCCAATTATAGTGCTTTAATTATTATTATTATGATCCCCTACAGGTTGCTGTCACTGTGTGGCCGGTATTGCAAACTATTAATTACTGTGTTGTTCCTCCCAATAATCGTTTAATTTTTGTCAGTTTTGCTGGTTTAGCATGGACTGTATTTTTAGCTTATATTAAGTATGAAAAGTCAAAAAAAGTAATTGTAAATAACAAAAGTGATTTATAAATATTCTTTAAAATGATGATTAATGTAGATATCTTAACTCATAATTCTAACATGTGAAATATTTTTAAAGTATATAACATGTTTTTGTTGTTAATAATTGTTTAAATATTATTGTTGACTATTATTAGTGAAACTAGTTGTTATAGTATTGTATATGTTAAAATACTTTGCTGTTTAATTATTAATGTATGTACAAGGAAAAATTCCTTTGAACAAAAATGATTTCTATATTTGATGACATTCCACTAGTCGTTACAAACTTTTAATTATTTTAACAAATTGTTATGTAAATTATAAATTAGTTACCCATTTATAATGTAAATTATTGTAACATTATTATTAATTTATTCAAAACTTAAATGTTAATATATTGTATTGCATTACCTTGCTAAGTAAATTATTTAATTTATTATGTTAAATAAAATAATAAAATATTCATAGTTAAATAATTAGCCGTAAAGTTTACATGTGAAAAATACATTGATATTTACCTTTATGTACCAAATTAATCTTCGTACATGTTCTTAAATAAGAAACCTTGGTATTTTTATTTAATTACCATACTACTAATGATAAAAAAAATTTTTTTTTAATAAATATATCACATTAAATTATAAAGAGTATCAACTTCAAACATTGCAAATACTACATCCCCTATTTCAAAAGGCATATAAGAAACAATTATAAATATTAATTCTTCAGATTACACTAGCCCTATCTTCAAAATTGGCTGATGTGAAATAACCAACCTGGTTGATAAAAAATTTTTTATAAATGCACATTCGAAATTTATTAAACATTTTAAGAAATAATATAAACACATATAGAAACAGCAGGTTGATTTTTGCTACAAATTGACATTATTGTGGTAACCAAACTGAGTACTTCATTTATGTTAGACTGTCAATATTTTATCAGTCACAGGTTCATATGGAAAAATAAAACCCAGTATAATATGGACATGACATAGTTGGGACAACTATAAATGATATCTGTCAGAGATTCACTATCATAAAAAATGATTCAATGCAAATCTGTATATAGTGTTTAATTTTAAAAAGAAACTGTTGGATATTTCTAAAAGTGTTTTAGTCAAAGTAGATTAGATATCATTTGTGATCTTTTCATGTACATTTGGGAAAAATTGATCCAGTAAGACCTGAAAAAAATAGTGACTAACAAATTAAATAAATAAATATAAACATATCATGGTAATATTAATATCTTTTGGCTTCATATTGAAGCTAAAAAGAAACTATATATGATTAAAGATTAAATATATTACACATGAACTCTAACAAAATAAATAACATTGTAGGTGTTAAGCTATAATTATGACAAAAGTATAAACTCTTACAACAATACAATAAATGTTTTACTATATAGGATAACAATAATAACTTTAGCTTTTAATTTAACATTCATGTAAAAATTCAATCAGGTAACTAATATTAATTAAATACAATTTAATAATTTTTAAATGTTACTGGCGGTATTTTTTAGAACACAATCGTTGATATAATTTAAATAATTATATTGTAATTACAGTGTACTTGGAAGCACTCTGGATTAAAAATTAAAATAATCAATAAAAAATAATTAGTTTAATAACATTAACTAATTCATAAGACTTCATGTTTAATTGTTAACAAAAGCAACTATAAAAATTTAATTTTAAAAAACATATTTTTGTATATTATTGTATGATTTATTTAGGATGATTAGAGAATTGTTTAAAAAGTTTAACATTCTGTTTCCAATTAATAAATTAATTTTGTTTTCTATTGAAAATAGTAAATTATTAACCTTAAATTGCCCTATTCATTTATGGATATTGGGATATTTATTTAAAGTTTCTACAAGTATAAAATTTTCATGTAATTTTTTTTTTTTTTTGCATTTTTTTACATTTTACCCTGATCAAAAATTAACAGATCTTAAGATAGTCAAGATCTGAAAATTACCTAAAACTATTGTAACATACACTATTTAGTAGTTATTGCTAATTAATCTTATTAATCATAAAAAAAGTAACTGAACACAAATTAAACGTCAGGAAAAGTTAAATATTCTATAATATTTACCTAAAATATGTAGTTTATAAAATAAAATTTGTTGAAATAAATAAATCGAATTCAGCGTGATGCTAATAAAACTGTTGATACTTCATTTATATAATCTTTAAACAAATTTCATCACCCATTTATTAGATGATTATAATTGCTAATTATTCAGACCATTGTTATAACAATTCACTATAAGTCATGTTTATAACTGAAATTTAATTAAATACTCTTTGTAACTACTTAATATTAATACATATTAAAATGAAAATCAATTCTTATGACTTTATTTTAATAAACAATTTTTTCTGAGTTAATTTTAAAACGGAAAATATATACAGTTACATTAAAAGTATTAAATGTTCATTATTTTTTTTTGAATCTGCAAATTTTGTTAATAAAATTCTGAAACTAATAAAATTGATAACTAAATTTCTTCTTCTCTAAGGTCTATTATCAATAATTTTAAGTTATTGGTATTTTAATAAATTAATAAAGTCCATTAATTATTTCCAGTCTCCTTCAGAACTTACATATTTTATTTTAGAGTTATATAACTCTAATATGTATAATTATATTTATAATATATTGTTTATTATAAATATGCATATTCCAAATATATGTGTTAAATAAGTAAAAACTTTTAATAAAAAGGGTAATCATTCGACAAAACCAAATACATTCTTTTTGTTTTGCTACACGATTGATAAAAAAAGCATAGATACAAGCATTAATAAATGAATAGTCGTTTGTTGAAAGGGACATATGTCCACTTTTGCTAATTTTCCTGGAAAGACAAAACTATTTTAAATTTATGCATATCATATGTATAAAATAACTATTATTCCATACACATAAACACAATTAAAAAAAAATACATTTTTTCAAAAAAACTGACGTAAAATAATTAATATAACTTAAAACATGATAGTTAAAAAATGTGCTATCGGTCCTTTTTAACTATTCAAATATAATTTAATTTTTAGGGTGCTATTGACAAATAGATTAACTTTTTTGTATCACCAAAAAAATACTAGTATAATTTTAAGAAATACTTTTTTAAGCCAAAATAAATATACTTTTAACCAACTGCCGTTATATTTCGATAAATTTCTCTTATCTTCCTTGGTGCAATGTTTTTACTTTATCGACTATATGCTATGCTGCAAACAATAAACTACATCAAAGTTTATCACAACCATGATCGTTTTGTTTCGCAACACGTAAAGTTTTTTCTTCGATTGTTAACAATACATATGTTTGTACAGTTAAGTTGTACTTTTGTTGTTTCGTTATTCAATTCACATCAGACGGTGGTTACTCGATCATACTCGACGTAGTGGACTACGTCGTTGACCTTATGTCAGTAGATTACATCGCATGCTGAAACCATATCTTCGTTGTCGATATTCTTACATGAGGTCAAGCGAGACGATCCGGTCTTGTCGTCGTTGCCCCGACATCGCCGAAACCACAACACGGTCAGTCCTGCCGATATGGCCACAATCACTATTGCTACAGTAACACCTATACTGTACACTAGATGGGTGTACAGTAAATGCATACAGTAGCTGAACGACTCGTCATAGCCGGATGGACAGTGTTCGACGCCATCACACCACAGCGATTCGTTGATACAAGCGTTGAGTTCTGGACATTGGCTTTGACAGTACGGGCCATCGCTTCTTATTCTAAAGTTTAATGTCAATATTGAAATACGATTATACGATAGTTCATGGAGTTTAAATTAGTCCAAAGAAAAATAAATAACTACCAGCTGATATTTAAGTAAAAACTAATTTTACGAAAGCTTCATACTCAATTTTCGATTGATATTTAAAAAAAAACTTGACTGAATTATATAGAGAACTAAGATTAAGACGCTTAGAAACGTTTACGTTAGTCGTTGACAAATGTTTGCCACCTTGTACAAGATATATTTAATTAATAGACAAAAACCAAATATGTTTGAAATATATTTATTGTTTTGTTAATCGATTATTTTTTTAAGAGATATCCAAACTCTTAAAATATCCTCTAGATTTGATAGCAAAATTTAGGTATGTTTACCTGGATGAAAGCTGAATCCATGAAACGGTGTACGAACCTGGATCAATCGGTATAAATTCAATAATAATATCACGGGAAGCGTTCGTCAAAATATTTTGAGAGTGCCATCCATCTGAAAACACCTATGAAAATAGTCAATACAAAAATTACTGTACTTCACTCTTAGTCATAAAAAGTTAATATAGTTATCTTTACCTCTACTGTATAGTATGGGTCCGGACAAACGACAGTGTGCATTTTATTGCCGGCATGAACTATAAACCTATTCTTTGTGGGGCAATAGATGTGTTCTGAATTTTTAGACACTGAATGAGAAGAATCCGGCATTACTAAACCCGGTAATTTTGCATACAGGTAACTATTAGTATATTTTTGTAAGGTGAGAATGACGAAATGAGATTCACATGTTGTCTGTTAAAAATATTTATTACCGTTAGTGTTACAAAATAATTTTATGGTGTTAACGTTCATAGGCGAATGTCTAATACAAATTAAACAGGACTTATTGTTTTACATCCTCAAACATTTATTATATAAGATATTTTATACTACACAGAAACGAATTTTCTTATACAATTACCATTACATATTTTAATTATTATAGAAATATTTGTTAAAGTTATATTCAGGGTATTATTTCGAGCATTATTTAGAATCAGTACACCGACGAGTAAAAGCGAAAAACTAATTAATATTGTAATTAATAATATTAAAGTGAAGTTTTTCGGTCAACAATTAAAAATATGCTATGCCTATAATTTAAACGTGTAAGATAATGTTATTTTCGATAAAGCGGAAATATCCGGAAACATGTTAGTATTTATTAAAATATCTGTATTAGAAAGTCCACTTACATTGTGATGAGAATGAAATGTAAAATGACCTCCAGGACCGGATAAAAGATTGCTCTTAACTTCACATCGTTTGGACACCACTTCTTTTCGAATAAATTGCACCGTTGCTTCGAAATAATGGAGTCGGAAGTCTTCGGTGGCGTTCATGTTAAGTACATCCCAATTGATGGATGCTTTAGAACCCGACGTCACAAATGTGTAAGGCAACAAGGACGCGTTAGTTGAACACAAACAATGTCGAGGTACTAACATAATTTTAGGACCATTGACTTCATCTAAAAGACTCAACGACGAACTTGTGTCACCTACACACTGAAAAGTGCCTCTATCACTATTTATTCGGCTATAACATTCACGGTCACCTGAACTCATTTTCAGAATAGTTACTTGAGCCACATCTCCAGGTTGCCCTTCTAACCTGAATATACAGCTACAAAAAAAAATCATTATTAAAGCTGATGTTTAAAATTATTCTGCTTTTAGATGGCCTATATAACTTATATTTGCGCAGGAATTGGCGTTCTATTGCGTTACACTGAGCTAAATAGATTTTTCTGTCCCCTTTATTACAAACCATAACATTACTGTAAAGAACGTAAAATACAATCCTTAAATTGATATAAGTTAATAATTAAAAGTTAGATTGACAGATCGTTAAACTATACGGTCAGTCGTTTGGATTAGCATAGTTCAATTTAAACTTAACATTAGTAATTACATAAAGTAATTAAAGCCACGTAAGCTACATTTAATTTTATACCTTGCAAATGTTTGTAGTGTTTAAATAAATAGATTTATTTAACTCCGGGATATAAGAATCGTTTTCTTCATACTAATCTATTTACTTTGCTGATAAATTTCTATTTAAAATATTGATTTAAATAAATTAAAAGAAAATCCAAAAATAATACTCTATAAATCACTTGAGTTTATTACTCACGAGAATCATCAAAACTGCAACTTATATCATATTTCGTCTTTTTACAATTTTATCATATTTCAATTATGTTTACTTTTTTATACCTGAATGAATTTCTTATTTACAGGTTTGCATGGTTAGATAACTATAATCCAAGCATATTAACCTATATTAATGATTTCCATAACAAAAACTTTAATCCTCTTTTCTGTAGTAAACGTTGAACGATTCCAAATTAATACTACTTAAAATAAAGAAACTCTACAAATAGTGATTAGCTCAAATAATCGAAATTTTTGTTCGTGTAATTATTGGCATAAATTATTCATAACGCAGTGCTTTTAAATGAGATTTAAATCTGACTTAAAAACACTAATCTAATTTAAGATTCGAAACTGTAGGTTTAAAGCTTCCAAATATAAACGAGTTTTTTCTTAAAACTAACGCCTAAAATATTAAAAAGAAATTTTCAACATTTTTATTATTCATATTGATAAAAAAATTCTATTTTATGATTTCATTTTATTTACTTATGACATACTAATATTGTACTCGTTTACTTATTTTTCATAGTTGGATAAACACGTTATATTATATTTTTCTACTCACCCACCTTCTCCAAAAAAAGGTCATATTTTTAGCCAAACAAAAATTTTAATTATTAACAAAATACTTTGGTGTGCTTAAAAGTGCTAAATATGTTTTTTTATTCATAAAAGCCTTTTTTAATACATTTATTATTGTCAAGAATTTCATATTCTAAAGATGGATATAAAAAAATAGACTAAGATACTATCAAAAAAGTTTAGAAAAAAAATTTAATTTATATAATATTTTATTGTTAAAAAACTAATAATAAACAAATACTCTTAATTAGTTTTTATTCGTGTATTTTAAGTTTTTACTAATAAAAATGACCCTAAATTATTTTTTAGGAGAGATTTTCAATTATTTTATATATATGTCGATACCATAAAACTCATTTATTATTTTTTAGACACTGCACGATGATCAAAAATAGCATTTATAAGATAATTTGAAGTCTCTTACTGATAATTATTTTTTTAAAGTTTAATAAGTTGATTGTACCTCAAATTTTTATTTCCACCTCTTCCGTAGAAAAACACATTTTTTGGTGATCTAATGGCTATAGCACTAGATGGAGAGTGTTTTAGTCGGCGAAAAATTCTTGAACACATACTTCCCTCTGGCCATGCACTTCCATCTTGATGCAAATCGACGAATTCGTATAATGCTTTGAACGAAACTGGCCTAAAATAAAAATAATAAACTTGAATAGAAACATTTATTTGTAAAAGAAAATTGTAATAATTATAGTTTTGTATATTACTTAAGTGCTGTTGCATGTTGGATGTTTAGTTGTATAGTGAGAGATTTTGAGGTGGACAAAAAACTCTCAGATAGTGTACAAGGCCTTTGTTGGTTTGTTAGTAAAAAATGATCACAAGACTTGGGTGTTTGACCCGGACAATAGTTGGCTAACAGAGTATTATTACTATGTCCAAACGATGTATTTCTGGAATCGCTAAAGATATAAAAAATCAATTATTTTTTGTTTGACCTGTGTACGGTGAGTATAAAACATTTACCAAAATGGATGACAAAACAAACTTCCGTCCCATATCAGTAAATTAGTGGAACAATCCGCGGTTTGTGTCCCAGAAACATGAAACTTGAGCACAGATACCCAAATTTTGTACCTAGGATGAGTAACTACCAATTCATTATTATCTGTTACTCCAGGCGATGTGGCTTGCAAATGGTACCAGCAAGTGGTGTTTTCTGGTAAAGAATGGTACGGTGGATGCAGCCATCCACGTCCAGTCTCTCGGATCCAGAACTCACAACGTTTATTTTTTGTATACTTGATAGATTCCGTTTCTACGAAGTGAACCTACATTAAATGTTAGATTAATTTATACTAATAACATACTACAACAACAGGCAAAATCACTGTATATTATTTTACTCGATATCAAATTGTAAATTACGTCATAGTGTTCAGTTTTATTAACGAAGCCTTATATAAAGTAACAAAGTCAATGAAATTATACATGTTTTTATATAAATGTACCACCTATACACTTATAAGTGTACACTTCAGAAATACAATTCATAAAATAAATACCAATTCTGTATAGAACTTTGTCAGAAATATTGAATAAATATTACAACGTTGTAAAATTCATACATCATTCAAGAGAATTATTCTTACATCTGAATTAATTTTATTTCAGTATACTCAATATTATGAAATAGGGACGATTTATGGCTAAGTATGCTTATAAGCTAACGTCACCTACTTCATTATTATACGGCCTATTGTTTATGCCAAATCCCTATGATATAAATTGCAATTTAATCTAGCAAAGAATAATGAAGATTCAGTTGAAATTAATTTCAGTTTTCATTTAGATTCAATTTCAATTACTTTTCTGAGAATATGTATGTATTATAATATCTTTTGAAATTTATGTCTAAATCTATTATAAATGAACATCAATCCAAGGTAGAAATTAAACTGCTTAAACATCTCTGTTAATGATTTTATTCGTTATTAAAAGGCGTTAAAGATATTAAAAGTATAGCCATATTTCAATTATTTAAATTCATTATCCTAAACTAATTTGTTATTAATATTTATTCCATTATAACTGACAATTTCCTTACTTCTATTATTATTTCAGATTCTTAGTATATTAGTGAGCTGAGATGGTATTGGTTTTACCACGATGTGCGTTTTTTATAACTTTCCATGAAAACCATTAGCACTTACTGGATGGTTTATGCGTCAAATAACCCGATTTTAATTTAATTAAATCTGAAAGCATCAACATTTCAAAAAAACCCCTCAATTTTAGAAATTTAAAAAGATATCTCAAAATTATGCTTCCATAAAAATGAAATTTTCAAAGTACTTTTTTTTCATTTTAAAACTCTTATAAATTTTTTAAAAACGCTATCCTATGAAAATTTGAACAGAGTATACTGGATAAAATAAGCATTTTTATGGTATGTTATTCATGAACATTGAAAACCTAAGCACAGGAAGACAACCTGTGAATGATAAATTTTTTTTTCAACTTTTGAACATGTTGCAGAACATCTAAAGTGGTGACGAAACTGTAGGGGACAGGAGGAAAAAAGTATCAATTCGCTCCCGATTGATTGCAAATTTTATTAACTAAAGTAAAATTGCAATTAATTTTTTGATAATGATTACATTTATTTTTTATTCAGATAATTTTTTAAATTTTAGTTTTTAATTTTATAAAAGTAATTCTACTTAAAAATCTGAAATGTTCTACAATGAGAAATCGACTGCCTAATAAGTAATTTTTACAATTTAGTAATTGTAGCATTTAAAATATATAAAAATTATAGTGAAATTAAACAAATTCGCGACGGAGCTTAAACAGTGACGTACACTTTGCCTCCTTACTGACTCTCTCATAATGAGGTTGCGTCAGCCAATATAAAGACCCTGTTAAAATGTATGTAGAACACGAAACATATGCAGATAATAAAAATTACTCTTTAATTACTAATTTTTAGAATTTAACGAAGTGTTAGTAATATTGGCAAATAAAAAAATGTTCTAATAGTCCAACAAAATACATATCGTATATAAAATTATTATTATAATAAACGATATAGTATGCGTATTTCAATAATATGTTTTTATTCATAAATACATTTTTATGAATGCGCTTATACTTCACTACTTTACTAAAAAAACATTTCAAAAATATTTTTTTCCTCATGAGTAAGTTTAGGAAAATCAGTGAAATCTGAAAGCACTCATGCATTAACTTGCTCATCTTTAAATATTTGATTTTTTTTGCTTTAAAAATGTTCTTATGGTTATGTAAAAGTTGTTTTTATGGATTTTCAACGGTATATAATGTTATCTAAGTGAGTTTATAGAACTCATTATTTATGATAATATTGCCGTAGAAATTGTAAATGAAATATGATTTTTTTTAAATATTAATATTATGTATAATATTTCTTATTAGTTAATGCGCTATACCATTTAACCTTGATGTATTAAATGTCAAGATCTTTTGTCATTTAACAACATATTATTTGATTTTTATTAAAACTCAAAAAATATATATAAAATCTCAATCAAGAAAAAATATATTTCTTTCAAAAAAATCCATGAAATTATTATTTTTATTTATTTAAAAGGTAATTTATAATATATAGTCCCTTAATTCTTACAACTATATTTTCACGATGATATACATTTTTTTAATGTAAATTTAATTATCAGAGTATATTCCTTAAGTATTAAAATTATATTGACAATATTGACTTACTTGAACTTGTAATTGAAATCCATGCAACGGCCCGAATGGATACATCAAAGTGCCATAAGGAGATGTAGTAAACTGTACCAAAAGTTCAGGACCACTAGACGTAGTTAACGGTACAGTCTCACCGGATCCACAAAACCTTAATAGAATTGGATCTCTTGTTGTATACCCATCATATACTGTTACAAAGTCTGGAACATTATCGCATTTGCTCCAATCCTACAACATAAATATAAAGTAATGTGTGCAGATGAATTATCAAGGCTAAGTACTATTATTAGGCTTAGAAAAAAACAATAAATTAACTTGAGATTTATCAAATTTTGAAAAATAAACAACTCACAATTCTCGTTTATTTTGTGTCATAAATAACTATTTTGCTATCATCGTAATGTAAAAAGTGGTATATTTTGTTTGTATAAAAAGTCTATTTATACTAACTCTATGTACGATACAACAGCAGATAGTGTCGAATTCATTCATAATATACTAAAATGTTAAACACATAAATCATAATTTTCATAAGTCAAATAAAAAACGTTCTTATTTTTGTACCAAACAAAAATACACATAAAAATATTTCTCTTAGACTACATTAGGTAACATTGAAAGAGAAAACGATTGCATAAAGTTTTTTTTTGTACTATGCTAAGGAACTTTTTGTTGAGACGATAATAAATCTTAATGAATACAATTAAATTTTCTTTATAAATGTATAAGGTATACTAATTAATAGAATTCATTTAAAATACTATCCTTCATTTTTTCGTTAAAAAATAATTTTTTCATAAAAATGTATAGATTAAAATTTTATTTATTTTTGTGTATCATAGTAAATATTAAGTCATTTGCAAGAAAAAATTATTTCTAAGGGTAAATTTTAGAGGTAACTCTTATAAGATGTATGGGAACCTTTTTTAATTTTAAGTGGAGAATGGTCGAAAACCAATCATATAACATTATTTTTAAAGATATTAACATTTAATGATTTAGACGTTTTGAAGAGTGGAATAGTGTTAAACGTTGCTCTATTTACTATAACGCATTTATAAGAGTTCTTCCACGTTGAGCATCCCACTAATTTATAGCGAAATATTATATTTACTCAAAAAATATTAATACAAAACTGGTTATCAACGAGTCACAATTTTTTTTTAAATCATTATCCATTTAATAGTTAAATAAGATAACCTCATAAAACTTTTAAAAGTTAATACTAAAATTTACTGTTACAAGTTGCACTCTCATATTCAACACAAGATGATGATTATCGTTCATTATTGGTCACAGGTGTAGACAATTTTTTCTTTATTTTATTTGTATTCTTTTCTGACGTGTGTGTTGTTTTCAGTTAAGACCGGCAGTCAAGGTGTTTATTGATCCAGTAATATTGAAATGTGAAAATTAACTTATAAGATATTCTTTTAAATGGATAAGAACTTGATTTTTAAATTCATTTAAATATTAAATTATGTTAAAACTAATAAATAAATAAAGACCCATCATAATAATTACAGTTTGTTTTTTTAGTTATTAGTTAAACGGCACACTAGTTATGCAATATTAATACAACTGTGAATTTTTTCATATAAAACAACACGTCGGATTGAGATCAGTAAAATGTATTAACCAAATAAAAAAAAAAATCTTTTTTTTAACTACATTTTCTAGTTTTTTGTAAAATTGACTATTTCAACATAAATTCCTCACAGTTAGATGTTATGACTTTAATTAAAGTACTTTTAAAGTTACATTGTGCAAAAACTCAATTTTCTTGAGTAAATTTTAAATCTATTTGTTTCATTTATCACCAATAAAAATGAAGATCTATATAATACAAAAATTAAAATTCAATTCTTCCGTAAAAAACCGTTCCATTAATAAATAAAGCAACTTTATTCTCTAAAACTAACATTTTAAATTGATTTTAAAATGCTTACCTTGCGTTCACCTTGCTTTGTATCTGTAACTTCTGGAGTTTTTTTATCTGATTTAATTGACACCAGTCGGCTATACGGTTGGGTAATAGAAACTAATGCGTGGTGACCGTGAGGTATGTGGTGTTGACGAATAGCATAATAGCATGTCAGATTACGGGGATATAATCCAGGGTAGTTTGGCGACTGCAGCACACATAGTTTTTTATCACAATTGCTGAATATTCGAGAACAATAAGTTCCTTCCATCAGCTCTCCCATGTCAAACGTAGCGTTGTCTTCTATTGTTCAATAAAAAATTATTGTTACATAACATTGAATTAAATCATTCGTAATTACACGTAAGTAGCGCTGAAATTTAATTGAAAAATGTGTTTTGTTATTTTTATACAAATACGTGGTAGAATTTTCGTAATCGAATAAAAATATTTATCGCCAAAACCGTCCGCAGAATCGTAAATAATTAATTAAGCTTAAAATGAGCAATTAAATTACACCTCTACTTCATTAAAGTAGTGGAAATAATTAATGCGATTTCATTCAAATTTAATTGTTATTGTTCATGTAAAATATTTCTCTTCATTTATAGTTTTTAATTCATTTTAATATGGTTTTGTTTTAAAAGGGAATAAGAATATTTTTATAGTATTCTTAATTTTTATCACCACAAAAAATAATTTTACATTATAAAACTTATAGTAAGGGAAGAAAATATTTACCAAGTTATAAATTGAAATTCTCTAAACTTAAAGTTTTTATAGTTGAAAAAAAAGGAAAATATAATTCTAAATAGGTTTTAAGGTAATATAATTATGGAAATGTACAGTACATAAAATTTATTTCAATAAAATTTCAAAAATGATGAGTTTTGAAAATGTCTTTTCAAGATTTACCTTCTATTAAAAATGAATTTATCCTATTATTGTATGAATTTGATCAGCTAAAATATTTCTTAGTATTATTATGTAAATTAAACCATTAGTCTGGTTAAGATGAATTCTTTGTTAAGTCACGTAATAAGAGAGTTATAGTCTTCTAATTTAGTTTTGACAAATCGTATATTTTTAAAAATAAATTGGTTAAGATACTATTTTGTAATTTCCAGTTAAGTTAAATTAAAAGTACAGTACGTGATAGAAATAAATTTAAAATAAACAGTAAAGACCAATTAATGTATGAACATTTGTTGTCATTTGAGTGACATGTATGAAATATAACATCTTCAAGTTTTAAAATAAAATAAAGGAACTTTTTTTTATCTATTCAGTACAATTCCTATGCATGAATAAATGTTATGATTATTTTGAAATTTCCATAAGTATCTAATAATTTTTACTTGTGTATAATTGATGGTCCCCATAACGGACAACTGCACGGTTTCGGTTGAGCATTTTGTATCCAAGGCGAAAGTCAAAATTGTATCCAGTATTGTCCAAACTAGACAATGTGTACAACCGTACTAATAGTGTGATTGAGTTCGTTTCACTATAATAATGAGCAGGAGCCCATGATGTTCCACACCAACCACCGGACACTGCGGGTCTATCAGATTCAGTTATGTGGAGATCGCCATCAGGACAACCGAAATTTGTATATGAAGCAAATCGGCCTATAGTGAAACTATCTAATGTTACCTATAATTAAAAAAAAATTTAACTTGATATTTTTTTTAACAAGCTTAAATAGTTAGATTAATACAAATTATAACTTTATACTTATACCATTAACAAATTATTATAGTACATAACACAACATTTTCACTTTACATGGTAAGCCCTGTTTTGTATCATTATATTATTTTTATCAGTGACGTATTGACGAGAGGTTCATGAGATTTGGACCCCTCCAATAGACATATAATCATGAGAGCAGAGGGTAGTGAAGAAATGAAGCTCCACACTTCTCTACGTCTTAAGCTGTATGGAACCCCGTTCAAAGTTTCTAATACTCCACTAGCTTTTATTTGGTAAAATTATGGTATTATAAATTGTTTTTCAAGAATATCTATAAACAATTTATTTTTAATTAGTTAGGATATTATTTTTTACAATACGGAAGGACATTGAACACTCACATCCCTATCAATAAATCCTTAAGATGTAGAATTAATCATACTGTAATAATAAATATTAAAAATGAATTAAAAAGTTTCAGGAGTACGCTACGGTAAATTATGCCAGGCAAGTAACGTCCCAGCAGAAGATTTGTATGAAAATAAAAATAAGAAGAGGCTGTTTTTTACTGCTTAACAAAGACAATTATTTTAATATACAACATTTTGTAACCAATCTACTCCTGAATTTAATATAAATTTATATTCATTTTTTAACATTTCAAAATTGTTTTACTCAAAAATTTAATTCAAAAAAATTTATTACTTGTTATAACTTCAAAATGTAAGAATAATTTCGTTCGACCATTTTTTGTAATTAAATAAGGTATTCTTATGATTACTGTTTTCCAATTCAAAAACAAAATGAAAATACACCACAACAAATGTATAGTAAATTCAAATGCGGATTTCAATAGGAGCGAACAGTCTTATAAAATAAATATAAGCGTGTTAATATAATTTGTACCATATAAAATATCAATTAATTTACTTTACTTTATATTATTAACTCCTTTCTTCATAAATGCAAACTGAATCTTCGTCAGATTCGATTTTTAATTTTAACACAATATTAATTGACACCATTTTAAAAATTAAAGTTAACAGATCGATTACTATTTAGTATTGTAGAATGATGAAAAGTTATTCAAAAACGTAACGTTGTAATATCATACTTGCAAAGAAACTCAATTCTAAGTAAAATTAAGTTTATTAGTATACATTAGTAATGTCATAAAAAGAGCATGTAAAAAAAATTGCCAAAAATTAACATAAAACGTAATATCAATTCTGTTAAAAACAACTTAAATGTGTATAATCTCATCATATATACCTATTATAATATGTAAATTGGTTTTATAGCAGCCGTGTGTAGGGTAATTAAGTATATAGTTTGTTAGCAGTTTAATTTATACATTCATTTTTAATTCATAAGATTATATTACGCTTATGAAAATAGTATCGGACGCATAATTTATTGACGTTTAATTAACTCTATTAAATTACGTTGACACTTAAAAATATCAAATAAACTTCATGTAAATTTTGATCATCAAATATTTAAACATTCTAAATAAATCATTCAAAAAGGTACAACATATTATTTATCAAAACTGATTTTAAAAAAGGTAGCTATGTACTTAAACGCAGAACCCATTGATTTTATAAAGTACAGTTTTCTGTGTCTAATTTACTACAAAACGCTGAAAAATATGGTATTTTTTCCTCCAGTGAGTATTAAACAGTTTAAAACACTATTTTGATCTCGAGAAAAAAGTTTTTATTCTACTGAGTTCTTAATATTTTCTAGTAAAATGGTTGTATACAAAAAGTATATGTTTTTTTGCAAGTTATAAATACATTGTATTTATAAAAATAAATCAGAAGATCATCCCTAGGAATAGTTAAATTATAAAAATGCTTTATGATTTACTACGTTATTTCAGATAATTTAATTTAAATGGCTAAATATATAGAAGCTGCATTAAAAAACATTTCATTATTATAAAAAATACGAGAAAATAAAAATCAATTTCAATCTCTGCTGTTGATTCCATTTTCAAAGTAACACCCATAAAGAATAAACAGCAAAGTTTAACAAAATAATAATAATTTATATTCTGCTTCATTAAAGTATAATACAGGTTATAAATTCTATCAAAAAACAATACATTAAAATAAATTAAAATTAATTGTTATACCATTTTATAAAACTCAATGACAGATAAATAAGTTTATTTTGTGCGTAATTTTGATTGGAAATTATTTGTTGAATCTAAAATTAAAGTATACGAGTATCATTTATTTTTACTACACCTCTTGCTTTAAATGCTACCCAAGGGTTATAAAGAAATAGTTAAGGGTCTTGCTTTTGTATTAAATCGACCGCAATAATCTACACAGTCGTAGTACTATACGATTTAAAAATCAGATGGTGAGCAAAACGTTTGCTTTTACCACCAAACCAAACCCTAATAATGGATTTCTAACAAAGACATTGTTAAATAATATGTGCTTTTCAGTTTTTAAGGGTTGAAATTTTCATAAATAAAAATCGGCTATAGAGTATTTTTTTTAAATTATGTTTTAATTTATCGTTTCATTTCGAAGCATTCATATAAACATTTTTGACCTATGTAGGAACGGGAATAAAATTCATAACAAGATTTAGCTATGCAAGTTAAATTTTAAAAAGACAAGTTTAAAGAAAATTATAGAAAAATGAGGCAAGATGACACCCTTACATATTAATTAAATCTCTTAATATAATTAAATAAGTTTATCGAGTAAATAAAATTATCTTTCTCGCTATAAAGTTTTTAATAATTTGAGAGCAAAAAAAATGTTTATTATTAAACAAACAATTAATGGTTCAAATATTAAGTCCAATTATTTTTTTAAATAGAACTAATGTAAACAAACTTGATAGACATACTACCTAATATATTTGTAAAAATCTGATTAATTAATATTTATTATTTTAAGAATTAATAATTAATTATGAAAATTCAAAATCGTCATCTTGTCTCACGCTAGGGCAAGTTGTTTTTTTTAATGAAGCAAGTTGACATACGTTGATTTAATTTAGGTAATGCTTAAAGAAATAATTATACAATATCAATTTTTTATAATGGTTATCGACTAGTCAAAATTTTATTTAAGACAATCTTCATTTAATAACAAAAAAATAAAAGGTTCCCATTTAACTTTCGAAAGCTACCCCTAAAATCTACCCTTAGAAATTATTTTTTCTTACAAGTAACTTGATATTTACAGTGGCTTACAAAAATAAATCAAATTTTAATTTGTAAATATTTGTGGCGGTCGAAAATAAGCCGACACGTCTCAGCCCCACTGGGAAACTTTGAAACACCTTCACGCCGATTCAAACATGTTCATGTCGATATCATCGGTCCATTGCCGCCATCACAGTCCTTCAGGTACTGTCTGACGGTAATCGATCGTTTCACCCGTTGGCCGGAGGTGTATCCACTCGAACGTATAACAGCAGATGATGTCACTAAGGGTTTCCTCAATTGCTGGATTTCACGCTTCGGAGTACCTCAATACGTTACGACTGACCGTGGTACTCAGTTTGTTTCAGCTACTTTAAAAACTTTAGCAAAACGTTTTGGTTTTACGCTTCGCCCCACTACCAGTTGGCATCCTGCTGCAAACGGATTCGTCGAACGAATGCACCGACAACTAAAGGCAGCCATCATGGCCCACGCAAAAGACTCGTGGACTGAGTCACTGCCTATCGTGCTTCTCGGAATACGTTCTGCGTTTAAGGAAGACTTAAAAGCCACGTCTGCGGAACTTGTTTATGGGGAGCCTCTTAATCTTCCTGGTGATTTCTTCACAGACAATCAAGATAATAGCAGTACGAACGACCCTACTAGCTTACTAGATCGTCTTCGCAGTGTTATGAATAAAATCCGTCCAGTACCTGCATCTCGCCACTCAAATCCACGATCATTTGTTTTTGCGGACCTTAAGGACTGTTCACACGTATTTCTCAGGGAGGGAGGTGTCCGAGCAGCACTTCAACCGCCATATCAAGGTCCCTACGAAGTAATTGCCCGAAATGACAAAACGTTCACAATAAAAGTTCGAAATCAACCAGTTACGGTGACGATTGATAGAGTAAAACCTGCCTACCTCATGGTGAACGAAAGCACAACCGATAGCCAGGCACATGCTCCACCAGCGACTGCCCCGAATACGCCCAAACAAAAACAACCGCCTAATACCGATCCATCAACACAGCCAGTACGAACAACTCGCTCAGGCCGCCGAGTCAGATTCCCGGACATTTTTGACCCTAGCTAACTTCACTCCGTAGGGGGGTGATGTGGCGGTCGAATGTTCTAGAGAGTTCCGCCGCCGCCTCTAGAAGATTCCTCTGACTATTTAAGGGCAAGATCGTCGCTCCAGTCAATCAATCGATCAGTCAATCACTTACGCACTCTGTCTTAAACGCGCTTCGTCTTTCTTTGTTATTTGTTAGTTCGTTGTAATATAGTATAGTTGTTATTAAATCATAAAAGTGTTTATTACTTCTATATATTACACCNGAATCATAAAAGTGTTTATTACTTCTATATATTACACCTCGCTACATATTTATGAAAAAATCATTACTTAACAAAATAATCGGGGTATCATTTTTAAACATCAAATTTTAAATGTATTATACAATGTTTATTTGATTTATCAAATAATTAAAAATAGAAAAAGTGAAGGGTTAAAAATATTTAAAAGGGGAAATCGGACTGATTATCCCCTAAAGTATGCTCCTAAATAATTATTCGGTTTATTTTTTTCAGTAACTGAACTTATTAAACTAATTATATGCAAATTATTTTATATATAAAAAGAATAAAACCAAAAACATTCCCCACTTTATTTTTATTACAAAACTCGGCAAACACTACCCTTAATTAAATACGACTTAAAATTTCAAAAAAATTTTATCCGTGATTTCTTTCCTAAGCTATTGTATTAAAAAAATATTTGTTTATTTATTCACGCTCAAATTAAAACAATATGTCGTAAAACAACAATGTTATATCGTTTTTATATAAAAGGCGTAAGAAACATTTAAATTATTTTCGAAGAGTTTGTCATTGTATGGTTAATATANGTGTGCATTTAAATTATTTTCGAAGAGTTTGTCATTGTATGGTTAATATATTTAAAAAAATATCCATGGAAAGTTCGCAAACATTATTTTTATTACATTATTTTATATATATAATATAAATATTTTTATTCAGTTACAGAAACTAAAACTGAACATAATATGTCATAAAATATTACATCCGAATATTGTCTAATATGTTCAAAATCTAAACCTAAAGTTTATGATATGGATAAGTTTCAGTTATAAGTTACTTTGGATCAAAATAATTTTCAAGTGTGAGTGTTGTAATATTACACACTACAGTTTCTAAACAATTCTTGATTTAATGTGTTTACTTAACCTATCATAAATTTGATAGCAGAGAACGATTGTAATATTTTCATTTCATCTCTTTATAATAAAAATGTGCGTTTACAAAATTTATCAGTTCTCAGTTTATAAAAAATCGTAAACTCAAAAAACAATGTCTAACAGTCACTTAGTTTTTTCTTTATACAGTTAAGTTTATAAAAAAAAAATCAAAATTCAAAAAACATTCATATTAAATTTTCAAGGTAGAACTATTCATAAATTATTATAAATTTTAAATCTCTTAGTTTATACATTAGATTACTTAGAGTCTAAGTTTTTTCAATTAAATCTTTTTAATGATTTTTACTCTATTAATACCAGTTAAAAACTATCATATAATGAGTTTTCTCTAAATTACATTGTTTAGAAGTAAAAATTATTTTGTTTTTGAAATTAACAATTGATAACTTAAATACATTTCTTCGCTATTACACTGTATTGTCATAATAATTAAATTATACTGTTGGCATTGAATAATTCAATTTTAATATACTGAAATTATATTTGTAATCGTAATATAATTATATTATGATTGCATACATTTATTCGTCATTTACTAATTTATACTGCCCATTAATTTTTAAAATAAAAATAATACAAGTTATTTTTTAACACAAATTTATTCGAATCTTATACGAATCAGTTTCAATTACCATGAAAACACCGATATAGTATTCGATTTTTTTTTAAATTCTTCTAATTAACTCACTTGTATAAGGTCTCCTAAATGATGACCTGGAGCGACTAACTTGATGAAACATATGAATGGTAACTTGTCTGGTTTTGGTCGATGTAATTCAAATTCGTACGTTTTACCGACGTCTCCATAATAAGTCCTATTGCACGCTAAAAATATTTATGTCATTAATGGTTTTATTCAATACTCAGTAAAATCCAAATACCATATTTAAATGGTTACATTTACATGATTTTTAAATTCCATGAAAACGCTTTAAGCATATAAAACTATTCGCACAAAGTCTAAAAATTTATTCTACATTTTACTTATAGACACCTTAGATCAAATAGTTATTTGATATATTGAACTAATGGTTTATTAAATAGTTATATAAAACTGTATATACTTTTTATTTTATATACTTTTTATTTTATATACTTTGTAAAAAAAAATTAACTACATTATTTTATTGATTTAAATGTATCTGTACCACTGTAATAAGTAACTGACCCTGAAATGTAATTAATAAATTATGTGTTTCAGAACAAATGTAACTGTGATTTATTTTTTTTTAATTAAAAAAAATCATGTAACTCTTGTTTAATTATTTGCATACAATTTTTCTACCTAACACGTCCGAGAGATTGAAACCATTTGTTTTCAGAATAATTTATTCATCAATTACGAGAGCAACTTCAATTAATTATAAATTCCGCTGACCACATAATATCAGCTTATAGAAAATTTATAAAACGTATAAAAGTAATCACGATGTGTAAGATTAACAATGTGTTACACATTTAGAAATAATTTCCTTAATAGTCCCTAAATAATTACCCAACTTCTCGTAAACATGCAACACGGTTCGCGTTAAACGTTACCGACAATGATTTCAGGTGATAACATCAATTTTACGCCATTTTTTACTTATTACGTGCTACCTGTTGTTCTTACAGTATATTTTATTGTATTTAACACGCAAACAAACTATGAAATATGAAAATATGAAATATTGATATCATGCTTGTAAGGAATTCCCAAATAAAAATATTTGGAACTTTTGACAACACAAGTATCCAGAAAATGGCATACTATCATAAACGAATCAAGACACTTTAGTATCTTTCAAATGTGTAATGTAACTTAAATGAAATAAATATCAAAAAGTAGATATGATGTCTGTATATACAGGGTGTTCAGTAAGTCAGAAAACGGGTTTCTATTGTTCTCATTGTTACAAACAATGAGAACAATAGAAACCCGTTTCCTGACTTACTGAACACTCTGTATAATATAACATCATCATCTTAAAAAATGCTTTGCTGCGACTTAATTTTTTTTTTTTTGGAAAAATCATTCAAAGTTATTTAAATTTCATTTATTATAAAGTACTTACTACTAATAAATTTTAATTCGATATAAATTTCGTTTTTTCAGATGTACCAAAACATTTAAAAATGAAAATAAAAAAAAATTTAAGAAGTTTTTTGTAAAAATTGTTAATTTTTTTACTTTGACGACCGATTTTACGTAGTTGAATAATTGTCGTTTTTTTAAAATATTATTGTATTAATCAAAAGCTTTAATATGATATAGATTAAAAATTGTCAGACGTTCCGGAACAATTTCAAAAAATGAGATGAAAAAAGAAAAAATTTTTGCATAAATAATCTCCTAAATAACCCTCCTGTACATAGATTTTTTATTGAGTTTTTATAAAAAGTATACACCAGGAAAGCTTATTGTCTCTTATAAAGTTCATTGAAATTTTATTAGGACCAATTAAAAACAACAGTTATAGTAATATTAAAATGCAGAAATATATTTCGAAAATGCCATTTTTCATAGTAAGGTAATTTTGAAATATTTTTTTAATTTCTAAAATCAAATTTTTGTGGCTATTAAGTTCTTCTAAATTAAAATCGAATTCTTTTGGTGCTTGTTTCAACAAAATCGGACCAATGAGAACTGAAAATTTTCACGGATAAACATAAAAAAACACATTATAGTAAAACTAATACCTTCATAGATTGTCATCAAAGCTAATACAAGATTTTCATTATTTTTGTAAACAAAAACCTGAATTTAATGGAGTTTGAACACGTTATTCACAATGTATTGATTTATAAATAAAGTTTCAATCAAATAATTAACAATTTACAACTTTAATTGTAGTATTTCCAAAGTATTCATACGTTGTTCATATGAGAAAAAAGTTTATCATGATCATATAAACGTTGATTAGACACATAGACCACAAAATTCAGGAGCCCGTGTATTTAATAAATGACAAAACTAATTAACAATAATGATATACATTTAATGGTAGAACTATACTTTTTATAAAAGTGTTAATAACAGCTTCTATTTGTTAACATACAAGGAGAATTTTTAATACTACTTTTAAAATAATCATATTTTTGTGAATAAATATATATTTTTGGCTTTTGTTAGTTACATATGTATTTCCATCTATTTGTTATAAAATAAATTTTTATGTTCAAACCTCATACCATGTAAAGGTGTATATATACCTTATAAGGGTGTCAACTTTACTTTTTTAAATGACGATGTATACATATAACAAGCTTATATAATGTAAAATTATGTAATTAAGAAAATAACTGGTCAATAATAACTTTTGAACCAGTATTTCAGAAGTTATTAATAATTAAAAGTAATGACTGGGTACTGCTTAGGTTTAAAAAGATTAGTAACTTATGAAATACTTGTCCAAAAGAAGGTATAAATAAAAAATATTTTATAACAAATAATTGGAAATACATATGTAACTAACAAAAGTAAAAATAAAATTATTTTTTTTTAGTAAAATTGAGTGGCTTGTGTTAAAAGAATTACTTCGTTCAGCATAATTACAGAATAGTTTTTAAATTTACCTACAGACTCATTCCGAAGTATTCTGTGGATATCCTAAGTGCTCATTAAATCAGTGGCGTATCTACATAATTGGGCCCTGATCAATATCAGACCAATACCGACTTAAACTATTGAGTTAAAGTCGGTTATGAGAGATTCATGTCCAACGAAACCTATAAAACTCCAGTAAAAATATGTGAAATGTAATTTATAATTCATGTTATTGCAATTATGCATGTTCTAAGTATTTTAAGCAAGACATTTTTTTTGAGTAACCTGGAAAAAATTATTTTTATTTTGCTTAGTAAAAATTTTTAGGAAGGTATTAAATACAAACTGCCCCGGGATGTTAAATCCTTAATACGCTCTATAGTAACCACTTTTTAATATCTAAAGTTTCTAAAAAGAAATATTTCTAAAAAATAGAATATACTATGTATAAAAAAAATGAAACTGGAAGTATTACATTTTCCAGTGACTCCACTTGGAATTTTTCTTCAGATAGATTCTAATTCTATGTATAGAGTAAAAAAAAAATAGCTGATTAAGTATTAGCTAATCATATAAACCTAATATATAATGCTTTTCAAAGTACTTCAGTAATACAAAAAAAGATTAAACCTAGTAAACATCAGTTATAAATATCACGTACATGAAAACAAAGATAATTCGATTTTGTATACATGTAAAAAATATTGGATATTAGCCAATTTTTCTTGGATAAGTGACTGCAAAGAAACTACATTCAACAGGGCTTTCTATCAAAAGTTATAGACCGGCCTTTTTTCATATAAGGAAAAGAGCAAATATTGAATAGAATTAATGAATATTATCATCAAAAATAGCTGCAAACTAGTTTTATAACTAAAATAATGGTGCTATAGAATGGATAAGATAAAACATTTTTTACGCTTGACTATAGGAAAAATAAAATTAATCAAAGTCAACAAATATTACAATCTGTTCCAATAATTCATTATTATATAAATGATGATGATAAATCATAGGACTATAATTTGAAACTACTGTCTACGCTAGTGTTTGTGAAAAGGTGGTAATCTTGTTGACTATGTTTTAGAAGTAACGTCTAGGACAATCACTATTTATTAAAACATTACAGAGAAAATGCATTACCTTTATACCAAATAAACTTAGGAGATCACTCACTGATAAGCTATAAATAAAATATTCTACATATAAAATATTTTTTATAATTTTTAAATCGAATAAAAAATTTTTTCTTTTTTTAGTTGCAGTATATTTTTATCGGAAAAACACGAGGAATTGTCATTGAATATATATTAAATAAAAATTGTTTTTTTTTTAAATTACTAAAACATAGAAACATTTTAAAAACAATTACTCAAGACGTTTGGACTACGCAGCTTTTATAGAATAACAAATTGTCACTCTCGATTAATTTCAATCCACATAACCGTCTTAACGACCAGTAGAATTCTAGTATATTTGAGAAAGGAAAAAATCGTATTTATTTAAGAAAAAGATAAGTTCAACCCTTTAGTAATTATAGGCAAATAAAATTTAGTTAATTTGTAAATGAAAAATAATTATTAATGAAAATTTTCTGAATGTCCATAATAATTCGAAATAAACAAAACTCATATAAAGAAATATGTTAAATAATCTAAACCAGAAAATGTACTTTCTGCTAAAGAATATTTAATATATAATGGACGGTGCTCGATGAACACATTCAGAATAGGTAAAAACTGAAGTTTAAAATTAAACATAACTCTAATCAATCGGCCGACTTTACTATCGAAATCAATTAAACAAAAATAATTACCTACGGGTTATACGTACATTTTTAGTTAAAGGAGATACTAGAAAATTTTTTTATTTACAACCCTCCTCTATAAAAAAGATTTAGCCCATCTTCATAGCGTAAATTACAAAAAAAAGAAAACGATTACCTTTTCATACTGTCTATCTGTGGGAATATTTCCACTCTAAAGAAGACAAGTAGGATAGTAATAATACTGTAACAATTCTCTTTATTTGCGCAACTAGTTGATAAATCGCAGTTGCATTGTTGCAGCTACAATGATTGATTCCAAGATTTAGTAATAGATCATGACAAAGCGAACGAAAATTGTCTAATGAAAATCAAAGCACACAGTGTGTCACGAGATACTATAACTAAATTCAATAATGAAAACACACAAACAATAGTACAACTACAAAGCTATTGCCGATAAGCGAAAACACGGAGTGATTTGAAATGACATGAATATTTGTTTTCAAGTTGTATTTTAAAACATAAACGACTTCAACAAAACTCGGAGAGTATTTTTATGCAATACATTGTAAATAAATGTCCATGGAATAAGCTTTATTTATTTTTATTTTTTTGACTCACACTCAATGCTTAATATAATGAGAATTGAAAAAACAATAGTCCCTCTTTTATAGTATGCAAATCACACTTGATTTATACGTGTTCTAACCGCAGCGGTCACTGACAATAATGTAATGTCATGTATGTTCACACCGTTTGCTGCCAAGATCTTTCATGTAGTACAACCACAATAAATGTATTTCACAGTTCTGTACTGTGTCGAAGTAAACCTATTTATTATTACATTGTTGTTCGTGAATCTTTATATATAAAATATACTTGTACACTAAAATATTTAATTTATAGCAATTGACACAACTAAAAGATACACAAGTAAAAATTATATGCATTTATAAATTTTGTTTGAACCACTTTGTATGGTCCCAAGTTTGTGCAACTTGGTCGTAAGATTATATAGTAGAAATAATTTTCGTTTTAGGTTGATTTTAGGAATTTCCCTAATCCCCAAACTATAATCTCTATATAACACATTACTAAGTTTTCAAATTAGCTAATAAAAATGTTTACTGGTTGATGGTGTGTTCGCGATAACTTGACACAATTTATAAATACGTGTAATTCCGGGCCCTATTCATGAGTACTACAGCTAAAAAATTTCACTATAATTTTTGAAGAAAAATAAATAAACAGCAAAATGTCATTAATTGAAATTACATAGACAGTACATTATTAAAATCAGTACAATAGCCAGAACTTCATATCGGCAGAAAGGGCGAAATAGAAATAATCATCAACAAACTCATGTTATGGACTTGTTTTTGCTAATTACTTCATCATTTTGGAAATATTGCGGTCAATGGGAAAGTCATAACCCCTGCGACCTACTGGCCACGCTACTGTTTCAAACTATCATTCTTATAACTTAAAAGTTACACATTTATGGTCACGTCATAACACTTATTATTTCCTAATTAACACTTTTCATCAAAAAATACTTTTCGAAAAATGATTTTTTCATCTGCAGTAAATTACCCACTTCAAAGACCTTATACTACAATTAATGTGTCAGTGAATACAAATAATAGAAAATTAAAAATGTCATGACGCTACTTTAGATCCCTTCTAGGAATTGGTTGAGGCGCTACGCGAGAATAAAATATCCTTAATGAATAAACGTGGACGAAGAGTAGTAACAATTTACACGAAAAATAAATTAAATGTCGCGTTGTTGAATTATATTTGCACCGTAGATCGTCTTTATAAAATTACCTTGTCTTTAATTCTGTAGTAAGTAGTGCATATTTTACGAATAACTTTAATTAATTATTATTAGCAAGCGTTATAAAATTAGCTGAATAATTACAATTAATAATCGAAAAGCAACGGAAAGTGCATAATTATAGTCATAATTAATTCGACTAGGCGTGCCATCCGAGTTGAAAAACAAAAATAATGATTTTATGGACATTAAGAAGTTCCTTTTTGTACGATTTGCCACTTTTGTATAATTTAGACGTCGTATAACTATTTATTAAAAAGTTTAAGGAACTGCCGTTTAAGGGTAATAACTCTGGTTGTTCAGTAGTGTTCGGTACAGAAAAATTAGTACATACCAATGGAAAAGAAACGTTTTGTAAACGCACAAGGTTTATGTAATTAACGATCCTAATATTTATTTAGTTTTTCTTGAGATTTGAACGATGTCGTAGAATGTGTTTAATTGGGTAAACAAATGGTACAAAAACGACAATGGCCTGTCGGGGACGAAGAACAAACGGAACAAAAACGTTCAAGATAATACAAAAAAAAAACAAATAGTATTTACACCCACAAAATTACAGTTTTTTCCTCGCTTTTCCTGTGGGAGTTACACTTGGATTTTTGACCCATTCCGTCGTGACCTGCTCGAATACCTTTTACACAATACTGTTCGCACTAGTTCACTCCCCCCCACCCTATGTATGTATAACAAAACAAACATAAATAACTCGTTTAAACAAAAACAATAACCGTCATTACATGTATGCATAAGCTAACACATACAGACATTATCTGCATAATTGAAATAATATTTCAATACTCTATTGTATAATTCTCATTATTAAAAGGAAATGTAAGCCATATGGAATTTATAACGTATAAAAGTTAAACACCATAAACGATCGAAATAAGTAGAATGTTAAAACATTGTAAATTATTAAAACAATATTGTAATTTAAGAATTATTTTCATGTTTTAATTTTAGACCATACTCACGTGTACACGAAGGTGGTTCGTCTGATCCGTCCGGACAATCCCGATGGTTGTCACAATATCTGATTATCGGCACACACGTAGGCCTGTGGTCGCCGCTGCCACATGCGAATTCTGATAAAGAACAGGACGACTGTCGCTGTTGTGCAGGCTGCACTAAGGTATCAGTGGCTGTGGAGAACGCAATAGAAACCAGAATTATCAAAACGATAGGTTTCATGGTAGTATTATTGTCGTTCGATCAAATGCGTTCTTGCGTTAATTAAGTTAACCAAATAAATGATAAAAATTCACCGATTTTTTTCTCAATAGCCTTAGGTCTGTTGAAGTGGACCGATTTCAATTAACGCACGTGCGTTAGGCATGACGACGGCAACCGCAGAGCTAGGACGTCATTTTATCACGCCGTGCGGCAGCAGGGTGGCCGTGGTACAAGCAATCGCCGTGGGATCCCGCGCGACATTGGCGGCAGAGCGAGCGCTTCACCGACAAACTCGCTGACCCGCTTAGTCACAATGCGTGGTACAATCAATACTACCTAAAGTGAAACGCCTATACGCCCGCCGTTCCATTCAACGTGTTCTATAAGGAGGGTATGTGTGAGACGTCGCCGAGGCATCTGTCGCACGTTCGTGAAACGCGTGCGACGAGCATCTCACTCATTAAACCTAACGTTTAGTTATGCCATAATTTAAATATTTTATTGGTTTATACTAAACACCGTAACGATGTCATGAATGAACATCTCTGAGGTATCATTTGATTGTTTAAGAGACGCAAAGGTAACGGTACCAGCCATTAGCACACTAATCAGTTTTTAATAACTGATAAATCATCTATTAATTAATAGTTGATTAAATAATTGAATAATATTTTGATTTTTAAATCTATGAGACTTTGAAAAAAAAAAAACAAAAGCCTACTTTTAAGAACCTAAACAATATTACACGACATATTAAATATAAAAATTATCAATCGCTGATGCTGTTACCCTACCTACATATTGCAACTATTTATTCAATTTAAGTTACTTTTATTTTGTCAAAAATTAGTCTGTAATATTTTCTTCGCACAAAAAATTATTGTGTAGATACCCACTTACAATTTTTTTAACACTAGCCAATCATTTTGAGAAATTCAACATTTATTTATTTACTCTAATGGAACCAGCATGAACACGAAGGGATAAGAAGATGGCTCATAACACTACGGTTTACAATAAAGTATCTGATAAATGAATTTAAATAAAAAGTCATTTGATTGACAAATTCCAAAGAAATCCCTCCAATGATAAAAAACGAATTTTAATAACTTTTGCCACTAAATAGTAATGGATTTACATTTAAAGTAGTAATACTTTTACTTGTATCATAAATATTACATTATGTTTTCATCAGTTTAATCTTCATAAACAATTTCTACTACAATTTTTTAAAGATCGTATTAATTCTAATCGAAAATCATCATGAAATACTTACAAAAAATAAATATTTACACGAAAATGTTCAAATATACCCCAACTCGTTTATACGTCACTAATGCTCAATATTATGTATTATGAAGTCTATGATCATCTGTTTCAGTTTTTAGCTTATTAATTTAACTATATGTTTTTTTTATTTCTATCGCCCCTTTTTCTCAGCTCTCATAGAACCAAGATCTCTCTACAGTACGTCAAAAGATCACAAATAGTATCTAGTTCAAAACATTGAAAATTGAAAATTTTCATTCGTTCCCTGACAAATGGGAAAAAACCTCCAAATTTTTTTTTATTTTAAAAATCGATAAATTTCAACTTTTTTTTTTTAAACTGCCATAACTTTTTGAAAAATGAACGAAATTAATTTTTTAATATTATTACCTTATGTTTTTCGTTTTCATTTGGTATATATTTTTCAAAAAATTATCCTTAACCTGACCACAGGCGGAATTTAAATAACAACTTTTGCATAAAAATTTAACATTTTCAATTTAACTTTATTACTATTAAAGTTAATTTTTCAAGCAAAATCATAATAAAAATACAATTTTAGTCCGTCAAACTATTATACGAATATATTATTTAATTATAACAATTTACAAATTAAATAAATAATTTGTAAAAGAAAAGAAAAAGGAAAACATAACCCAAAAATATTATATTGTATATATTATCTTATTTTATTTTATATTAACGAAAATATTAAATCTAAAATAACAAAAAATTGATCAAAACTTTTATTATGTTGCCTCAATTTAATAAATTTTGTATAATGTACATAAATATGAAATTATAACACATCTCATTACTGGTTTTTCTTATACGCACACAAAATAACTGAAATTTTTTTCTTTCAATCATTGTGTTATCTAAAATATTAAGTTTTCATGAAAAGGATTCTAACTATTCCCGTTAACAAGGCTTTGTATTGTGTAGAAACCAACAAAAAAGATTTTCACCATTTAATAACATGAGTTTTTTAAAAACGTGCGTAAGTTTTTAACATTTATTTTTTTGAATGAATACTTTTTTTAGTTACAAATTTAATTAAAACTTTTATAGAAATAATCTTTCCACAAAATCAAATTTTATAAATAATTTCACAGTATTTTTTGTCTATCCATGTAAAAAAATACAAATTGCACTGTTTAAATAAACAAAATTAGTAACTAAAACTATTTAAAATAATTACATGACAAAAGGGTAAATTATTATATAAAAATGACAAATTATCGCAAGTTATACTGATGATAAAATAATATCTCCTTTTTTTAACAAGATGATACCACATTTCAAAATTAAAAAAAACAGCACAGTTGAAAAAATATCTAGATAATGTCTGATAGTAATTAACATCATTATCTTAAAAATGCTTTGATGCAAAATTGTTAATTTTTTTGTAGAAAAAACCATTTGAAAGTCATATAACTCAAAAAAACAATATCGTCGTCGAGACGATATTATTTTTTATCATAAAGTACTATAAAATGCTTTAATTTAATATAGGTTAAATACAGTGTTGGGAAAGTTCCTTTTTAAATGGAACTCGTTCCGTTCCCCGTTCATTTTCTAAAATATGAACTCGTTCCAGATCCTAGTTCTTTATATTAAGAAGGAACTTGTTCCAGATCCAGTTCCTCCAAAATAAGAACTCGTTCCACTCTTTGTTCCTTTTATGTAATCAAGTTATTTAAAAAATTGTGGCAATGAGATCATGATAACGGTCATCAATGATTTTCATCAGCAGTCGAATACAAAACAAATTTGTAGTATTCCTTATCTAAAAGTATTCGAAAATTATATTTATAAGCAGGTAGTAAATGCTAACGACTTGTGTCAACGCGACCAATGTCTATTGTCTACATATAAGTTAGAAATAATAAATCAGAAAACCCAAAACCTTTAACATAAATTAGTTAACAAGAAACGACGATAATATTCGGTGCATTATTTAATATATGTACACATATATTAAATATTTACTGTATACCTACATGTGATAATAACTCTATCTATAGTCAATTGATTCATTTAAACAGCCTACGATCTCGGCTGGGTATATAGGGGACTTCCATTGTCAAAAGTCAACTAAAAATACCATAATATTTTAATGTCTAGATACGAAGAAAACTACACTAAAACATGTTTATAAAAATTTTTAGGAACTGTAATTTCCGTTCACGTTCCTTAAAAAATAAAAAGGAATCCGTTCCTTTTGGAACTAGTTCCTTCTCAACACTGGTTAAATATTGACAAATGTTTTAGAATACTTAAAAACTTGAATTTAAAAATGTGTTTATACATGGGTAGTCTTCTTCAAGCTATTCCTATACTTAGGTTTTTAATTGAACTTTCATGAACAGTAATCAAGAGAAAGCTTATTGTCCTAAGTATATTTAATTAAAATTTCATTAGAACAGTTTATTAAAACAGTTTTAAAATTCAGAAAAATAAATTTGAAACTGCTTATTTTAAGTAGCGTAATTTTGAGATGTTTTTTAGATTTCTAAAATTGAATTTTTTCCAATTTTCCTTATTTATTGAACACCTGCATATATATGTATTTATACATTTATTCATATTATACTTTATTAATATAAAATATATATTTTTAATGTCCTGTTGTTTTTTTATTCGACTACAAAAAGGCAAAACTATCAAAGTACATATCTAGGATCCTGCATTTAAAAGAACCTATCAATCGTGACACCATTTTAACAATTCCAGATGTAGTTTTATACTTAAAAATCTCAAAAAAACTTAAAATTTATTACAATAATTATTCGATATCAATCTCAGGTTTTCAATTTATTTGATAATATTAAATTACTAAGAGATGCATGCATACTTTTGTACAGAGCATTTAATACTTTAATCAGTGTCACTTAACTACTCACATTGAAAGCCTGTGGCGGTCCTCGTTTAATTTTGTAATCTAGTTAGATTGCATGTTCAGCGATTAAATAAAGCCTTTAAAATATAAAATGTCACCAGTTTTTCGATAGTTGTACTCTTCATAGATAAAGAAAACTACATTTTTCAAAATTATTAACAAACAAACCCTTTATACTAAAAATTACTCATTTGTTTAGTTATTGGCACATATTTTTAAAACCATTACGGTTAAATCGAAGCTAAAATTTTAGTTAAATTTTTTACTTAATTTTTCCCTAAAATATTGGTTTAGCACATCTAATAAGAAATTTAGACTTTTTAGAACTTCCCTAAATATGCCACTTATGTAACGTAAACATTAACTATAGGGATTCAAATAAAATTATAAATAATAATATAAGCGTGTTAATTAATTTGTGGTAATGTAGCTATACAAACTATATTCTACTATTAACTTTACAAAACTATCAATAAATTATTTAAAAATTACACTAAATAATATTTATCTTTAAAGAGTATAAATAAAAAAATTTCAATTACCTTACTATTTATTAGTAGATCTTTTGATAGTAGAAATATGCGAAAAATACAATGACTATAATATTAAAATCGATTACTAATATAGAATGCAATCCACTCAACTATAATTTGAGTTCTAACTTAAATAAATCGAATATATATTTACATTTTTGTAAATATTATTCGGTTATTTTGAAAATGACTAATGACATCTCTATAAAATAATATATTAATATTCCAGAACTTTTATACACACTATTCAATAGATCACTTTTATTAAAAACACAATCTAGAGTATTGTTATTGGAATAAAAAAATGATTAATTTCTTATTTTACTCGGTCTTTTAGGTTTTAAATTATCTCTGTATGATCAATGAGAATTTGTGCTAAAATTAATACTAATATATAGGTAAAAAAATATTTTTAGTTACTTTTTTTTTGTGTTCCTTGAAAGGAATCAAAATAATTATGATTACTTTGAAATCATGGGATATAAATATTTCGTAATATATCTGTAGATATTGATTTTAAACTACAGTTTTATTCATTTCTTTTTTCAAAGCATTTTTTACCATAACAATCCAAATCAGCATCATATCTTATAATACTCAGCCTACTCTTTAGTACCTCCTTAGTGTAGATAATAATATGCAGTGTATGAGTGTAAAAGGTATAATTTATTCAAAATACAAACGGGTACCGCCTATTTAAGAAACGTATAATTAATTGAAAACGGTCTGAAGCAGATTACAGCCATGAAGTTGGATCCATATAACGTCTTAGGTTTTTAGAAATAACGTTATATGTGATTATATGTCTTTTAATCCATTTTCTCATACTTTATCGTGTGGTGGTTTATTATAACATGGCAAGAACTCAAAAATGTAAAATGATGCGATAGCTTTGAACGAAAAAGTAACTGCTTTATTATATTAAAGAAATAATGCTACACTAGTAACTAAACCTTGTCTGGTTCCCATAGGAATCAAGAATCAATACCTTAGAGAAAATAATATAAATCAAATCAAAGTTTGTATGTGACACTCACGAAAATATCAGAATTTTACACTAGAAGTTCTAAGTATATAGTGTACATATAATAAAGAAATAAAGCTAATATTCATCACACATATGACAAATTAATCTTATTTCAAACAAAAAAAATTAAAGGTCTTTTATAAAAGATTCTTCTGAAAATCGGTTGATATTTGATACTTTTAAAATAACACTCATAAAAAATTTCCCAGCGCATAAATGACGCATATAATAAATGAACACTGAATATGTTTTAAATAAGATACAAGAAGTTAAATTAAATATAAATTAAAAATCATTTCATTCGTACATACTATATTTTTAATAACATAACATATCGTAAAAAAAAAAATAACAAATAGTTAGTGTCCATTTTTCCTTTCATTGAAAATGTTTAAAAACTTGAAAACTTATTTTTCTATATCACAGAATAATTTTATACTTATGGTTAAGTAGATATGAAAATGAGTTATTTTAGATACGAACATTTTAGCTATACCTTTACAAGTCAATTTCAGTTGCAAAAAACTAAACAATTTATAAATAAATACATACACGATTTAATTCATTAAACAAACAAGAAACCTTATAAAAATTTTTCTCACTGAAACAGTATTTAAACATTATTATTGGTCTGGTAATCAATGAAACCTCATTATGTTATAATAAAACTAGAGTTCATTTTCAACAGTATTTCGTTAATTTTACTTTACAAAATCATTCAAAAACACTTAGAAATAAATTTAAACAATATAATCTTTAAATATTTAAAAAGTTTAATTAAAAAACAAGATTTTAAAATACTGTTGTAGGAATACATAATTTAATACTGACTACATCTTACAAAACAAATGCTTAATAATAACACGCGTTTTATTATAAAAAACACTCTGTGATTAACGATTTCCTTTGTATCAAAGATAGATACAAAAAATGATCATTCCATGAGCACATAAAATATTTTAGTATACAGAGACAGGCGTAAATGACGGCACGTTGACGATTTCTAACGTTTAAAATTGAAATATCAACATCTGTTTAATAACTCTAAATTATAAGTTCATTCATTGTTACAGTATGGCAATTCAGGAAATAAATAACAGTGTAGCGAAAGAAATCTGAACAATAAAAAAATAAACAAAAAAGAATAATAATAAGATAAGTGTGTGTGAAAATAATAAAAATACTGACCTAGTCGGATCATAAATCTCATTAAATCCTTCGATATCAACTGTGTTTGGATCACTATCTAACGAATAACTAAACGTTAACTACAACAAAAAAAAGTATTGTATCATAATTATTTACTAAAATAACTTAGAAGTTCAGCAGCCAGCAATTTTGAGAAATAGTCCCCCTAGACATGTCCTGGATATATTTATTGAGATAATCAATGGTATTAGAAATATAACACTACAACTCAACATAAAAACTTTTAACGAAAACATCTAGTTGTGATACTTAAAACATTCTTAAAAAACATAATCAAAATCACCTGTTCAGCAAATATTTCTTTTTTTATCAACCTCATTGGTTCCAAATGCGAGTGAAACTGCTCTATTCTGGTCAGATGTATTTTTAATAAATGTTCTGACAAAAAAAATAAATAACACAATATTTGATTAAGATACTTTCAGAATGTCAGCAAATATCACATACCTATCACGTATCCAACGCTCACGTCGTCGGGAAGGCCTATACGATCTCCAATAGCCATTAGTCTTCCGTTCCTGATTATAAAAAATTAGTGTTTTATAATAAATATCAATGAAGACTTAAAATTATTAGCACGTAGAACAAAAATTTCAAAAATCAAAATTATTTATTTACCTACAAATAAAGTATTATTATTCTAAACATGCTAATTTAACGAACACATTTTTTGGATGGATGACAAATAAAATATATGCATATATAATAATGATTAGCACAAGGCTCAGTTAAAAAAATTTGGTCAACAAGTACAATGAGTAATACGTCATCTGTTACCATCATAAAAACATTACTGAAATTTATATTTACTTTATACACATAAAATAAAAGATAGTACTAAAAAATTAGTAAGTAATTAAATTTAAATTTAAATAAATAACTTAAGCATTACAAAATAATTAATATTAGTTAAGTTATCAAAAACATTAAGTTTTATCCGTAATTATATAAAATGTCACTAACTAATAGATACATTTTTACATTTTTTTTTGTAGAATATCAATATTAACTTAAATTTTAAATTGATATAAACATAACAAAAAAAGTTATTAAATCCTGATGATTATACAAGGTATACAAAGATACACAAAAATCAAGTGAGAATTGTTTTATACATAATATATAACTATTCTAATTAATTATTTTTATAAATTTACCATCATACATAATTTTACTTATATTTTGTTACAGACCCCAACAAAAATTTTTACAGTGAAAAAATCATTTTTTTTTTATACAAATTATATAATTAGTATAATTGAAAGTAACAATATACAGAGTATTCAGTAAGTAAGGAAACAGGTCAATTGTTACAATGAGAACAATAGAAACCCGTTTCTTTACTTACTACAACACCTATACAGAGTGTTCAGTAAGTTAGGAAACAGTTAAATTGTTACAAACAATGAGTACAATAGAAATTCGTTTCCTTATTTACTGAACACCCTGTATAACAAATCCTACTAACACAAAAAAATTTAATAATAGAAATAATTTTTTAGTGATACTTTTTATTCTAATAATAAAATTTTTTTTTCCTAAGTATAGAACTATTTTTATTAAGGGCCATTGCTTCCTTTGTGTATACTTTAATTAAACACTGATTAAATAAAAATTATTTTTAGCTTCGATGCGAAGCTGAGAAGGTATTAATTTTACAATGATGTGTTTTTTTTTTTGTGTGTGCATGTCTGTTACCACTTTCTCTCAGATCTCACTTAACCGACTTCTTTCAACGATACGTCAAAAGATCACAAACCGTGTCAGTCGAAGACATTACCCTCGAAAATTAAAAAAATTTTCCTCGTTCCACGTAAATAGGGGAAATCTACGAAAAATTACAAATTTAAAAGTCACTAATTTTCGATATTTATTACTTAAAACTGCCATAACTTTTTTAAAAATTACCAAATAAATATAATTTTTTTTTTTATATAGATGCATGATGTCCTTACCTATCATTTAGTATATTTTTTTTATAAATCTGACACTTTACCTGCCAACAGGAATGATTTAAAATGATAACTTTTTCACAAAAAATTCCCTTTTTCAACTTAATTTTTGAAAGTGTTCCGGAAACTCTGACATTTTTATATATATCTTAAATTAAAGATAATGTAATATACTTTATTCTGCTTCTTCTTCATCTTCCTCGCCTTAATCCCAACTACTAGGGGTCGGCCATCCTTACCCTAAACTTCCACTTGACACAATGTCCCACATCATCTACGCTCACATCAGCTGTCCTCATATCGCATTCAATAGCATCCCTCCTCTTCTTCATTCAACATTCATTTCTATAACTGTTACTATAGCTTCCGATTCTTCTTTCCTCATAACATGACCAAACCATCTAAGTCTATTTTCTCTTATCTTATCCATGATTGACGTTACGCCTATACTCCTTCTTATATGCTCGTTCCTTATCATATCTTCTCTAGTCACTCCACTCATCCATCTAAGCATTCGCATCTCTGAATCACTCATTCTGTGCTCTACTCACTTATCAACCGCCCAACACTCAGAACCATACATCATAGCTGACCTCACTACAGTCTTGTAGAATATACCTTTCAGCCTTATTGGAATTCTTTTATCGTATAAGACGTCAGACGCTTCTCTCAACTTCAACCACCCGCACTTAATTCTATGTTTTACATCCATCGTCAATACCACCGCTCTTTTGCACAACTTATTTTAAATAATTTAAAACTTACCACATCTTCTATTACGTTCTCGCCTATTGTCACTGAACCCCTCATTTCATCGATCTCGTGTTCTTCATTTTCAAACTCGTACTCTATATACTCAGTCTTACTGCTACTTATTCTTAATCCCTTTCCTTCAAAAGCTGATATCTACACCTTTAGTCCTTGATTAATTTCTTTTCTATTTTCTCTTATTAACTCTATATCGTCAGCAACCAACATGCACCACGGCACCTCTCCTTGTATTTCTCTAGTAATTTCATTCATCACTATAGAGAATAAGTAAGGGCTTAAAGCAGAACCTTGGTGCACTCCTACTCTTATCCGAAAACCTTCTGATACTCATCCTACGCTTTTTACCCTGGTACAAGTGCCATCATACATATCCTCTATTATATTAATGTACCTTTTCGGGACTCCTTTTCTCATTAATGCCCACTTTAGAACCTGTCTCGATACTCTATTATACGCTTTCTCCAAATCTATAAATACTATACAAAGCTTTTTCTTCTTTTCCCTAAACTTTTCTATTAGTTGTTTCACACAAAATATTGGCTCCATTGTTGACTTACCAGGCATAAAACCAAACTGGTTTTTAGATACCGATGTCTCATTTCTTATTCTCTTATCTATTACCTTTTCCCGAATTTTGTACTATGACTTATAGTATGAAATAGTAACTCACGACTTCATATTATGTAATATACTTTATTATGGGAAAAAAAATTTCGGATTTTATTTTGTGTTCACAGTGAAAATGGCTGCCGAATGCTGTTTTTGTGTAAAAATTCTCGATTTTATATTTTTCATTTTTAACTTTATTAAGCTATAACTTTTTGAAAAATGTATGGATCAATACAATTTTTTCAAGAGAATTAGTATTTATATACATCTTTCATTCGTCATAGTTTTTTTTAAATCACTGTCACAACTATGCCACATCCCCACTTTGCTGGGTTTTTTGTGATACTTTTTATCTAATAATAACAATTTTTTTCTTAAGTATGGAAATTAGCTTTAAAATTAATTTTATTATTTAAAATTTGCACTAACAATATGAGTTGGATGAAAAAGAAAACCAATTTAAATTTTCAATAAACTAATTTTGTAAATAAAATCACAATTCAGCTATAATATCTTTGTAGTTTTTATGTTTTAATTATTTAAATAAGTAAATCAATAATAAATTATATGAACCTAACGAAAAAATACCACACAATGCGCAATACCTAAAAAGGCCTATTTTTTTAATATTTTAAAGTTTCAAATTATTTCTATTTATTCATTTTTAAAAATTTCAAAAACAGATAAATATATTTTTTGATCTGATTTCAATAAATTTTATAAAAACTTACGAAAAACAAAAAAAAAAAAACAGTTTTTTTAAATTCAAATAATTTTAGTCTTTTTGGTTTTCATATGTTCTAATAAACTAGACACCGTAGTTTAGTCATGAAACAATATGCTTAAGCACGTTAATAAAGAAAATGATATCATCTCAATTTCATAAAAAAAAGTGACGTAAGTCCTTTAAACATAAGTCGATTCAAATGTAATAATATATTTATAATAATAATACTAATAATTGATAATTATAGTCAATTTTTAACTTATTTAACAAGAACTATTAACTTTTAACAAATTAAATACCTTATAAAACTGCATGAAAAAGTCAAAAAAAAAAAATTTTTAACGTAAACTTGACTGCATAGTTTTTAAGATTATGTTTGCTTTGGTAGAAATAAGCAGATATTTTTACTTGAAGGATATATTTCTTTAAATCAACGAAGTTTCCATTTTGAGTTAACAAGAAGACTATGATTTGTTAAAGAACATTTTTTCTTATCCAATTACACCCGTTTGTCTGGAACTGTACCAAATTGGTACTATCCCAACAAAGAATTTTTAGCCAATTAAAAAATGTCACTTGAATTCTTGTCCAATAAAAGCCATTTGATGACTTTTTGACTTTACTAACAATAATGGCGGCACATATTTTCTGTTTGATTTTTTTCTTATAAGTTATGTAGACTGTTCAGAAGTAAAAAATACACATTATTGTAACAATTGGAATTTAAGCTTATTAGTGCGAAAAATATAGTATAGAAACGAATTCATTCCTATGTTAAGTCTTGATGTACTGAACCGGTTAACTCATTAATTCAACGGTTTGATTAATGACGAGGCGTGATGGTAGTTGATCGGTGAGGTATGTATAATATAGGCACGTCAACTGGCAGTTGTATCGGAACTCCCAATTTATTGTTCAATTAAAAAAACGGGTTGCACACACACACAGACACAACAAAATATTCTGACTAGTTCGCATGTCATTTAAACTAAACCCAAATATATCAAGTATATATACATATATATATATATATATATATATATATTTTTTTTTATTTATTCTATTGGTTCGCAATTAAAATATAAATATTACCTAATCCTATGAAAATCTTTTTATGATACTCAAAACTAAAAGTTAAATATTCCCGTATTCATATATTGAAAATCGTCAAAGAAGTAAAATAATGAAACTCAACTATTTAAAGTGGAACCAGTTGAGTATATTCATATTAAAACCCAACATTAACCATATCTGATGAATAGAATAGGGAAAATAAACCTCTTCGATGCTACACGTTAATATCAATCAATATCACAATCTCTAACCACACGTGATACATACCTATCGCAGTGAGATAGCATCAAACTTATTAGTTTAAATAAAATAAAAAAAAACATATTAACTAAATATTTAAAAGTAAAAACACCACACATATAATTAAAATAAGAGACGCGTCTAATTAAACGAAAATCTAACAAGTGATTTTATCAAAACTTTAATCGATTACAATAAAAATTGACTATGAACGTCATAAATATCTATTATTTTTAAAAAACCATAAAATGATTTTTGAAATTTTATAAGGTAAAAACTATTTTCAACTATTATTTATACATGATTTATCAAGAAATGAATTAATAAATGTATTTTAATTGGTACATATTTAAGAATTAATTAAATAGTAATTCTACTAATAATTTATTTTTCAAATGTTTATATTTAATACCGATTTCTCTCCTTAGCACAAGAATAATTGTTTGAAAATATATATTGTGATTTTAAATTTTTAATACAGTCTATTAGAAATCAAATAACGACATTGCAGCCTAACATTAATTCCGTTTCGTCAACTCAGTACGTTACGCCAAATCAAGTTATCAATTACCTTCATAGATCAATATTATATTAGTCTTACATACTTTTTTATTAATATGTACATTAAATATATTTAATTATTACATTTTTTTATGTTTTTAATAAAATGCATAATTTTTATACTTCCACAAATCATAAGTGTGTTGAATTCATCAATTAAATCATAAAACAAAATAAAAATTATTCAGAAAAGATGCGTGATTTAAAATTTAAAATGACTCTCCTGAACAATTGTAAACATTTTTTTTTTTTTTTTAAGTGGCAATATAGTATTCAATTAAGAATCTTTAAAGAAACTATACTTTCTTTAATAATTTAAATTTAAGTTTATAAAAATAAATAAAAAATACTTATTAAAATTATATACAATCTTAAATTAGAACTTTTTTATTAGGGGCTACTGCTTCCATTAAGAATACTTTAATTAAACACCGAATTACTATCAAATAAACTATATATAATAAAAAAACACTTACCCAGATATTGGAGCCATCTTTAATACAAGTGCCCGACTTAAGCAAAATCCTGCACCTCCAGTAGCAAACCAAAATGATGTCTTCTAAAATAAAAACATAAAACAAATTTTTTTATTTTACAGCTTTAAGTAGTCCATAATTTAATTATTTTTACTTTAAAATGAGAGATTTATGAAAAAAAAAGCTTAACCCCAATTCACTACATTTAACACATTTTCATTTAAAACACAAACAAATTGATAACTTTTTATATTCTCTAAGCCTCTTTAGCTATAAAGAGATAATTAAGCATTTATTTTACATAAATGATTACTTTTCATGACATAATGTAGATTAAATTTAATTATGACATGTTGTTTTGAGTTCACAAATGCATAAAGATAATAATATAATGATGCCCCCCCCCTTCAAAAAAATAATGAGTTATGATTTTGAGACACTGTATTTTAATATGAAAAATTATTACGTCGTTAAAATAAAAGAATAAGAATAACATACTTGAGTTTTTGTTCGAACGACCAATGGTTTTGTTGTACTAGTACGTCCCAAATACCAATCACCAAGTGGATCGAAGGATTTCAATAGCTCATTTAATGTTGGAACATTGAGATAGTTGTCATCATCAACATGACAAAACCATCTATAAAAAAAAAAACAAACAAACAATGAAATTTTTTACTAAAATAAAAAGGTTCGTTTTTTCAATTAAAACCAGGGTGTTCTCATAGGTGTTTGAAAAACAAACTTATTTAACTGAAAGCTAATGAACTGAAAGTGGGTATTTTTAAGAAGTAATAAGACAAATTTAATTTTAAAAAATATTGTTAGTTATTACAAAAATGTTCATTTCATTTTGCTGCTTGAAAATTCCGAGAATGCCACTGGTTTTACAAAAGTAAATACTAACTTTTTTTTAGTTTCGAGGAACATATCTAACTCTACAGACATTTTACAACATAAAGCGCGCCTAAAAACACAACATGACTAATTATTAAACATTAAATAAAAAAACTTGGACTCAACAAAAAACTTATTAAAAAATAATTCATAAATCAAAATATATATATGACATTTGTTTTTTAATTATAATTAAAAAACAAATAATTATTAATAAGTCACAATTACTATGTAATATTTTAAAATGGTATACCTGCTGTGTGTGGCTGAACAGTTAGTATTTATAACATGACCGCCTAAAATAGAAAAATAAAAATAGTTTGATAATTTAAAACAAATTAGTCACAGATGAAACTAGGAAAAAAGAAATACAAAAAAAACTTTAAATTAAATAAAAAAAAATTAATTAATCATTATAGGACTGAAAAATAATAAAAAGCTAAGAAACCTCCAAAAAGTTAGTTTTATTACATTTAAAATAATAAAATCAAAAATCTTAATTAATATCACAATACACCAACAATGTTATATCACTAGCATATATTTTTTCTAAAATTAAAATATATTTTTTTTTAATGTTAACTTAAATGTAAAAATAAACTGCTTAGAAAATGTAGGAACGTTATTAGGAGTTGGTCGACTGACCTAATTTTCTAAGGGCTTGCAAAAAATTAAGCATCGTATATTAGCTTTAGCTATATCAGTACAGTATTATATTATAATACTGAAATAGTTAATAATATTTATTATTTTATTTAATGAATTTAACCATGAGAAAATTATAACTCAATCATTTCCGAGAAATGCACCCAGTAAACATTGGGTGCAGTGAGTGCATTACACTTAGATCATATATTTTTACAAGTGTACTACTGAAAATATTTTAATACGATACTGTATGATAATTACTAAGTTGTTAATTGCATAAGAAACTCAGTTTTTTTTATTGTGATGCAATAGAAATGAAAATTACTTAAATGCATATTGATATATTTAACGGACATTTTAACGAGCATATCAAAGTATTCTTGGAGCTATCTTTTAGTTTGTATTCAGGCCTTTTAAAAAACGTTGATCCGAAACTATTTTTATAAAAAGGTTATGAATGTCAAACAAAAATTATCAACAATGTAATATCATATGCATAGCGTATGTATATCATATACATAACGTATATATATCATATACATAACGTATGTATATCATATACATAACGTATGTATAACATATACATACGTTTATACATATATAACGAAATAAACAAAAATAGATATTAATTAAATGCATTGAGTAATTCAAATTTAAAAAGTATATAAAAATAACGATTATTAAAAACCAGTCTTAGTTTGAACTAAAAATGTCAACTACATTTAAAATTAATAAACAATTAATGAATGTATTATGTTTAGCGAATAAAAATAAAAATAATACGTTATAATTATTATTATAACTACTAGTTATTATTATAGTTATTTGTTATAAATATTATTTCCACTATGTTTAAATAAATTATTTACTTACCTGTAATATGACTGAGATGATTATCATCGGTATCAGTAAAAAACCATGTCTACAAAATAAAACAAATTAGTTTTATGATATATTTAATAAATTATTAAATATAACTATTATTATTATTACTATACAAGTACAATGACTAATAAATAGTTTAATTAAAGTTCATTATAAAATTAAAAAATATTTATAGATTCAAGAAATTTAATAACGATTGTATATTATCAATAACATAATATATTTTAATTTAAAGGCAAATAACTTTTTTATGATTGGTTGAGTGAATACTATGATATTTTATTAACACTACGATATACAAAATCGAATTTAAGATTGCGCTGTTTTGGTACTAACACATATATAATATTTTTAAAAATTTCAGTTCATCAAATTTTAATTTATAAATTAGCAAAAAAAAAACCCTTACTCCTAAGATATCCCTTAAAATGTACTGCCCCAGAACATTGCTCTCTTGTTCCTATAAATACACCGTGAATCAGATAACCACTAATGATACTTACATATCCTTAGTATTCGTATGCCAACAATGACGTCGCCTGAATAAAATTTACAGGAAAACTCAACTTTTATTTTACCATTAATCAGTTTTACCAAAGAGGATGATAAGGTTTAACCTTCTTCCCCAATACGTTGTGGATAAAATTTTGAGGAAATAATAAACATATCCTAATGTATAACTCCCTCCTCACGCCTAAACTTTATATTTTAGTGTTAGAGGGGATATAGGGGCGTGTGTTCCTGCAATGGAAATACTATACAAAAATTAAAATGTTTATTGACTTTTTTTTTGCTCTCAATCGGAGTAAAAATATTATCGTAAAAGTATTGTAGTATCTGTTCAATTGAAAATTTGTTTGTGTCTCCTTTCACTATTATGAATTTTGTAAATACGTGTCTTCTAATATTAAATGTTGATAACGCTTTTTTTTAGCTTCAATGCGAAGCTGAGAAGATATTAGTTTTACTAAGATGTGTTTATTTTATTTTTTTTTTTGTCTCTGTTACCACTTTTTCTCAGCTCTCCCCAAACGGATTTCTTTCAACGATACGTCAAAAGATCACAAATCGTATCTAGTCGAAGACATTACCCTCAAAAATTGAAAAATTTCCCTCGTTCTCCGTAAATAGAGGAAACCTCCAAAAAAATTACAAATTTAAAAATCGCTAATTTTCGAAATTTTTCAAATTTTTTTTACTAAAAACTGCCGTAACTTTCTCAAAAATGAACATATCAATATAATTTTTTTTTTATAGATGCTTGATGTCTTTACCTATCATTTGGTATATTTTTTTTTGTAAATCTGACACTTAACCTGACCACAGGGGGAGATTTAAAATGACAACTTTTTCAAAAAAATTACCTTTTTCAACTTAACTTTTGAAAGTGTTCCGGACAGTGGCGGCTCGCCGGGTGAGGCAAGTGAGGCACAATCTCACCTGCAATTTACCTTATAATAAACATTTATTTCGAGCCTCAATCAATATCAAATATCTTTCAAAATATTATAATTTATTTTTATAATTAACGAAATTTGTAATCTTGAACCATAAAAGATAATAGGACGAAAATAGATAACATAATGTTGCTCCTGACTGAGCTGCGCAAACACAGCGAAATATAACACGGTAGTCAGTGCCGAAACCAAAGGTCTGCGTTCTCCGTTCGTTAATGATTAAAAAATGACAACACGTTACACTACCGATTACGAAGCAAACCGATGAGGTCCGAGAGGCAAACTTTTTTTTGATTTGATTTGATATATTCAGTTGCTATACTGGATTATTAAGATTGATTGGTGGGGGAGAGTCGTGAATACTTGGTAAAATGAAGCTGATGTAAATTTTCCTCAGCGGTGAACACCATCGTGTGCCAGGTGGTTTCAAATGCGAAACGACATTTTACATATAAATTAAATGGAATCGACATTATGTCGTTATTGTTCCTAATCTATGCTTACCCCACAAAAACAACAAACGAATTACGTTTATCACATCAGTTATCAGTCAATGTATAAAAGTATTTAACGATTATAATTTTTCATCTTATAATTTATAAAAATTTTAAAGAATTAACATGTTACCGATTAATACAGCTATTATCTACGTGTACCTATAAACTTAAAAATAGGTATATTCTTTATTCAAATTTACTAAATTAAAAGTTTGCCTCACCACTTCCGAGACCCACGAGCCGCCACTNAACTTAAAAATAGGTATATTCTTTATTCAAATTTACTAAATTAAAAGTTTGCCTCACAACTTCCGAGACCCACGAGCCGCCACTAGTTCCGGAAGGTCTGACACTTTTATATATATCTTAAATTAAAGGTAATGTAATATACTTTATTATGGAAAAAAAAAATTTGACCTCTGGACTTGTCTTCGTGGTGAAAATAGACATCAAGGTTAATAAAAACCCAGCACAGGGGGGTCGCGGCACAGTGGTGACGTGGCATAGTTGGATCAAGTATAATAATATCTGACAGTGATTAAAATCACTATCAAAAAAAACGCTTCGATGAAAATCTTTAGATAGTATTTAATTTTAAAAAATTGGTGGATTATTCCAAAAGCTACATGATCTGCTATTTTCTTATTAATATCCTGAATGAAAAAGGGATTATTAAAAAATATTATTTCTCATAAAAAAATTGTGTTGAACCATACACTTTTCAATAAATTATAGCATTATAAAGTTAAAAATGTAAAAAATAAAATCGAGAATTTTCATACAATAATAGCATTTGGTAGCCATTTTTAACGCGAAGACAAGTCCAGAGAAAAATTTTTTTTTTTCATAATGAATTATATTACATTATCTTTAATTTAATATATATATAAAAGTGTCAGACTTTCCGGAACATTTTCAAAAATTAAGTTGAAAAAGTAAATTTTTCGTGAAAAAATTGTAATTTTAAATCCCCCCCTGTGGGCACATAAAGTGTCAGATTTACAAAAATTATATGGCATGTGATAGGTAAAGACATCAAGCATCTATAAAAAAAAAATATATTGATATGTTCATTTTTGAGAAAGTTATGGCAGTTTTTAGTAAAAAAAATTGAAAAAATTTCGAAAATTAGCGATTTTTAATTTTGTAATTTTTTTGGAGGTTTCCTCTATTTACGGAGAACGAGGGAAATTTTTCAATTTTTGAGGGTAATGTCTTCGACTAGATACGATTTGTGATCTTTTGACGTATCGTTGAAAGAAATCGGTTCGGTGAGAGCTGAGAAAAAGTGGTAACAGACACAAAAAAAAAATAATCACATCTTAGTAAAACCAATACCTTCTCAGCTTCGCATCGAAGCTAAAAATTACGTTTTTTGTATAATATTTTTTTTTTTTATTTTAAACTTAATAATGCTATAACTTTTCGGAAAATGTATGGATCAGTAAATTTTTTTTTTTTTATAGATGCTTGATGTCTTAATTATCATTTGGCATATATATTTTATAAATCTAACCCTTTATCTGCCCACAGGGGGGGGATTTAAAATTACAACTTTTTCACCTGTGCTGGGTTTTTACTATTAAATGGAGAATGGTCTAAATAAAATTTGTATTGGTTGATTACCAGTTTTGTATTATAACTTTAATGAATATTAGCAATTGAAAATTTAGAAAAAGTGAGGCGCGAGTAGTATTTAGCGACTAAAAAAGTAATAATGGTTATCAAATTGTCAACATTTTCTTTAAACCATTCTCCATTAAATGGCAAAAATACAATAATTATAGGTTCTCAGTTAAAATTCGAAAAGTACCTCTAAAATCTACCCTATGAAGTAATTTTTTCTTACAACAATATATTTACAATATTGATATGGTATTACAATAATTTATAAGAATAAATTAAATTTAATCCATATAATTTTATGTAGGAATCAACATTTAACAAAAAATTAGGAGTAGTATGTTCCCATTTAAAAAAATAAAGTTGATTCCTTTTTAAGTTACAAGGGATGATTCTAAAATCATTATTATCTAGTTAATCAAGAAATATATCTAACTAAAAGAAATCAAAAATTTTAGCTTCGATGCGAAGTTGAGAAGGTATTAATTTTACTATGATATGTTTTTTTTTTTGTGTGTGCATGTCTGTTACCACTTTTTCTCAGCTCTCATTGGACCGATTTCATTCAAAAGTACGTCAAAAGATCACAAATCGTATCTAGTTGGAGACATTACCCTTAAAAATTGAAAAAAATTCCCTCGTTCCCCGAAAATGGGGGAAATATCCAAAAAAATTACAAATTTAAAAATCGCTAATTTTCGAAATTTTTTCACTTTTTTTTCTTAAAACTTCCATAACTTTTTGAAAAATCAACAAATCAACATAATTTTTTTTTATACTAAAACCTTAGATATTTACCTTTCATTTGATATCATTTTTTTGAAAATCTATCACTTAACCTGCTCATTGGGGGGGATTTAAAATGGCAACTTTTTTACAAAAATTAATTTTTTCAACTTAATTTTTGAAAATGTTCCGGAAAGACTGCGTCCTTTAAACATATATCAAATTAAAGCTTATTTTATGTACTACAAAATGAAAAAAAAAAATTTGTCCCGACACTTTTTTTTCTACATTTAAACGGCTGCCGTAGTTAAAAAAACACTATTTTTGTGTTAAAATTTTCGATTTTCGATTTTAAATTTTCAACTTAAAAATGCTATAACTTTTTGAAAAATGTATATATCAGCACAAATTTTTTTTTTCTAAATACATTATAAGTACATCTTTCATTTGACATACTTTTTATTAAAATTGGACAATTTCCCCTTATATAGGGGGCGTTCAAAACTTAAAATATTGTAAAAAACATAGATCTTTTTCAACTGAACTTTTGAAAATGTTCCGGAAATACTGCGTCCTTTAAACATATATCAAATCAAAGGTTATGTTATATACTATCAAATGAAAAAAAAAAATTTGTCCCGACATCTTATCTTCTATGTGCAAATGGCTGTCGAAAATTTAAAAAAAAATGTAATGTTTGCGATAAAAATTACATTTTATCGGGATGTTTTTTGTACTCTTAAAACTTCCATAACTTTTTGAAAAATCAACAAATCAACATAATTTTTTTGTATTGAAACCTTAGATATTTCCCTTTCATTTGATATAATTTTTTTTGAAAATCTAACACTTATTCTGCTCACTGGGGGGATTTAAAATAGTAACTTTTTTACAAAAAATAACTTTTTCAACTTAATTTTTGAAAATGTTCCGGAAATACTGCGTCCTTTAAACATAAATCAAATTAAATTTATTTTGTGTACTATAAAATAAAAAAAAAAATTTGTCCCGACGACCTATCTTCTATGCGCAAATGGCTACCGTATTCAAAAATATGCTATTTTTGTATGAAAATTATGGGTTTTGTATTTTATTTTAATAGAAGTTGATGTTGCTTTTGCAATTATCCATCAATTTTTTAAAATTAAACACTATCTACAGATTTGCATCGAAGCGTTTTTTATGATAGTGATTTTAATCACTGTCAGATATCATCTATACTGGACCCAACTATGCCACGACCCCACTGTGCCGCCACCCCACTGTTTTTCTAATATTGGTTTTTTTTTATTTTATAGCACATAAAATAAGCTTTAATTTGATATATGTTCAAAGGACGCAGTATTTCCGAAACATTTTCAAAAATTAAGTTGAAAAAGTTAGTTTTTGTAAAAAAGTTTCTATTTTAAATCCCCCCCCCATGAGCAGGTTAAGTGTTAGAATTTCAACAAAATGATATCAAACGAAAGGTAAATATTTAAGGTTTTAGTAGAAAAAAAAATTATATTGATATGTTCATTTTTGAAAAAGTTATGGCACTTTAAAGTAAAAAAAATTGAAAAAATTTCGAAAATTAGCGATTTTTAAATTTGTAATTTTTTTGCATATTTCCCCCATTTGCGGGGAACGAGAGAATTTTTTTCAATTTTTAAGGGTAATGTCTCCAACTAGATATGATTTGTGATCTTTTGACGTACTTTTGAATGAAATCGGTCCAATGAGAGCTAAGAAAAAGTGGAAACAGACAAAAAAAAAAAAAAAAAAACACATCTTAGTAAAATTAATACCTTCTCCGCTTCGCATTGAAGCTAAAAAAAATTTGTCCCGACGACCTATCTTCTATGCGCAAATGGCTACCGTATTCAAAAATATGCTATTTTAACAAATTTTTTTTTTTTTAATTAAACACTATTTACAGATTTGCATCGAAGCGTTTTTTATGATAGTGATTTTAATCACTGTCAGATATCATCTATACTGGACCTAACTATGCCACGACCCCACTGTGCCGCCACCCCACTGTTTTTCTAATATTGCTTTTATTTTGGGAGTAATCAAGTGGTTTATAATAACTGATCATCCTGTATATCATGTGTTATTTATGCAAATTAGTTAAAAATTAATTAGTCAGTACTTTTATATTGACTTGAAAAAAATATCTACTATTTTTGATGAATTTTAGGTTAAAAAGTTTTGTTTTAAATAAATTTATTAATGTAAAGCCAATAATTATTTTTAATTCTTATAATTTTTTGTAGGATAAGTGCACTTGCTTTAGTCATTATTATATTATTTCATTATTTGTTCTAAAGATCATAGATTTAAATTGTTTAATTTTTATGAACACAATATTGCATTTAAAACCTTATAATATATAAAGATTCAATTATTCTAAAGCAAAAAATAAATATGTATAATTTTTGACTATACTTAATAAAGTGGTTGAAACTAATGTATTGGTACACAATATAACTTAGACATGACCAAATCAATATATATATATATATATATATATATATATATATATTGTATAAACTCATACATGTTCTTTCATATAGAGTTTAGTTTAGTATTAGGCTACATATTTTTTAATAAACCAAAAAAAATTTCATTAAAATGTTAGACAGACTCTCTGAGTACGGATCCTTATAATATACCAGTAATCTTAACCCACTTTTTTTAAGCACTGTACTCGGTTTAAATTTTTTGAACTGTCCAAAAAGAAATAATTCTAACACAAATTTATGTCTAAAAAAGATAAACAATTATGTGAAAATGTGAATTCACAAAAAATAACTCTGGGATCATATAATTAGTTCAGTTTACTTGAGAAAAATAATATAAGATTTTTAAAAAGCCATGCCATATTTAAAATAAATCTTACTATTCTACAATTATTCACATTCCTTATTTAATTTTTATTATATTTTAGTATTATTTATGGTAAAAATATTTTTATCAAAAGAATCCGAGACATAATATATTTTATAAATAGAGGGTCAAAAATTAAAGTAACGTAAAAACCTAAGTTACAATTTTTAGATTATTAATCTATTTCTATCAAAGTATTAAATATTCTTTAATGTAAAAAGTGTTGAATTAAGGATATTGGAAGATATAATTTTTTTTATTTTTTTAAATGCTCTCCTAAAAAATTAGGTTTTAGTTGTTATGGTTCTTTAATCCTAGACCTTCGAAATGAGCATTTCAATCTCTAGTATTAAAATTATATTTTTTTCATACCTGGTCTTGTGCTAGCTGAAACCATGTTTTTATTATTACTGGCAAGCGAGTTAAATGATTTCTTCCAGTAGTTTTAATTGAGATAAATACATTTTTCAAAACACTATCATTCAGTTGTATAATAGAAGAATCGTCGGTTATTTTCTTTTTTTCAGACAATTCAACAGCATTAATTGTTTCTTTAAGAACCTAAATCCAAATTTAAAATAAAAAAATATAAACACCTAATAGATAAAGTTAAATTTAATCTTATCATTTACCTGATGTTGTCCATTAGAAACAGTTCCATTACCACCGACCAAACCGCCGACCTGTTGATAAAATACGAATAACATGAGCACCAGCAAGGCCAATAGTATCTGTAACTGAAACAGCCATCTTTTGATATTCCTTGGCATAGTACTTTAAAAAGGTGGATCACATCTTTTAACAAAGTCTTATTTTAGTTGTTATCACACTTTTATGCGTAAACATCTATTGCGAGAAACACACGATACGACAACGATTAGTGGGGACAAGTGCACACGCTCACACAACTCAATAGACAAGGCGCGAGTGCCATGTGAATCATAATCTGTAATCTGATGAATACATTGGAGGTACACGAAATTGACCGAGCACGATAAAATAATAAAGAGGGGCAAAAGAACCATTAACCTTTCCAGCTATCGAAGGTACTCTCTTACTTACAACAAAACTATAATTTTGTTAATACTAAGCAGGATACCTGTCACAAAAAAGCACAGAAACCTGAGTATAAATTAAAATATATTTTGAAACTTTGATTTTGATTCATTCAAATTATTCAAGACTTATTTATTATTATTTCACTATGTGACACGCAATCACCCGTAATAACTTATGTATACAAGTTAAACTATACGAAGTAACAATATAAATCAAATTAGTTTCATTATTATATTTGTAAAAAATAATACATTTATAGCTTCTTTATTTTCACCCACAGCTTAAATCAATAACACTGATGTAACTAAGGGGAGCTATAGCCCCCCAACAAATAGCCAATTATAACTATTTATAGTACATGACTTTTGCGCTAGTAAGATTATGTGATAAACAAAAATCTTTAGCCTACTTCCTTAAAAAAATGCCACTTGATACTTCAAAATTTCTTAATAATGATTGATGAAACCATCTCAGTGCTAGACATTATAGTCTAGCAATGTTTGACTCACTAATGAAGTATGAATTTAATTGCATCTTCAATAACTACGTATATTTCAAACTGTTATAACTACTTCAAAAAATATTGAATGAATTTTTATTTTCAAAAAAATAATTTTAATTTGATCAAACTTTTTGAAATGCATATTAAAAGATTTATAATACACACGCGAGTAATACTACTAATTTTGAGATCTACACTTCTTTACTATTTTAATTTGTTTAGTCTAATTTAAAACATTTAGACTAAAAAAAGAAAACTCATAAAAATTATTTAGAACTATGTTCTGCCTATAAAAAAACAGATTCCGTTCGTAGGCTAATTAAATCATTATGTATAAAAATATAAAATTACAATTTTCTGTAAAAAATTGAGAATTCGACTCTCTTAACCTAAGTGGAAGTTAACAAAATATATTATAAACTACAAAACTATTAATCCAACTATTCTATCAAAGGAATAAATTTAGTAAAAAATATAAGTAGGCTAAATTGATTTTTCCCCACATAAATTTTTTTGTATAAGAATACATATAATTTTCTTAAAATTTCGGGGGACATAAATCAACAACTTTTATGCCTATGCATGCTGTTTCTAATTATTTATTTTTCAATATGCATGCTTTAAAAAAAAATTGGTTTCTCAGTAATAGTTTAAAAAAATGAAATTATATTATTTGAATATGTTTTGAAAATCTCAATATATTCATAGGTTAAAAAAATTTTCTGTAAAAGAAAAGAACTCTAGCTTAATTACATACATCTCAAGATAATATTCATGTCCCCCTTGCAACTAAATTTATGTTAATAATCAAAAGTCCAACTAGTTAGAAGTTTTCTTCGTTTTTTTTTTTTTATATATATATATAATACTGTAAATAATTAATTAGTTTGCTTTAAAATTAACTTTTTAACTTACTAGTTAAATTAACTAAAAAAAAATGAAATTTTCAAGTTTGTATTTCTGCAACGTCTCAATGGTTTAATTTTATATACATAGGTTTAAGAAATTCAAATTGTAAAACAAAAAAAAATCAATATTCAACATAATATTAAATTAGAATTTATTTATAAATTAAATGAAAATAACATTTTAACAAACCATAAAACAATTTTTTTGTGATGTTAAAACATTACTATAATATTATTATCTATATCAAGTATTGAAATCAATTGTACCCATATTATTAAACGCCATTTTCTTCAATTTTATACAATTTTATGAAAATTAATAATATTAAAAAGCATGTATTTATATAATATGATGTCCTAGCAATATATAATTTACATGTTACAATATTAATAAAATAAGGACAATTAAAGTCTCTACAAAAAAATCAGATCTATTGTATTTTTTAATGATAGAACAACAAGAAATTTATTATTTAGATAAGATTAATATTGTAGTAAACAAATTTTATAAACAGATTAAAATATTTAATAAAAATAATAATATTAATAATAATAATTTGTTATAATATATAGTAATTATTAATTCACAACCTATGAATAACTATCAGTTGAGAATTATTTATAATTAAATTTTTCGATTTTTAAATCACATAAAATTATAACTAAAAATCTCATATTAATTTACGTTTGGAAGTTATAATATAATTTTAAATAATTTAAAACATAATTTTATACATAAACTTATGTAACTTTAACTTAAAAAAATTATTAACAATATACTAACTTAGAAAAATCACTTCGAAGTTTTAAGAATTTTATTTAGATATCAAAATTATACTGAAAAACATAAACTTCACCAAATTAGGACAAAAATTTAATTTTTAATTTTTTAAAAACTACTTTTTTTGACAGTCTTGAAAAAGTATACAAATGGAGGGATAATATTATTATTTTTATTTTTTAAACAATAAATGAAATTTTTATGAAATAGAAATATGTACACATAAGCATAAAACTGAAAATGTATACCAGTTAATTGGTCAAAATCAACCAAATATTTAAAGCATGTTACTGAAATCATATTCAGCAACAAAATAAAAATATTATTATATATCGTTGTTGCTTACAACTCATCTTTTTTGCCTAAAATATCATCATCATCATCATCATCATCATCATCATCTTCTTCACTCTAAAAATAAAATAAAATAATAATTAGAAGTTAAATTCGATAAATTGGAAAAAATTGAATATACAATTACCGATGAAGCTGATTTTTCTTGTTTTCCACCAGACTCAATAAACTTGATAATGGCATCTTGTGTTCTTTCTCCTTTGTATTCAATAGCCTATAATAAAATAATAAAGTTATCATTTTAATTAAAATTAGCCAATATAAAATATTTTATACTTTAATAAGTAATTTAAATATATTGTATTTATAATAAAAACATTTTATAAAAGGTACAAAAATTAACTAAGAGATATTGTACATTTCTTCCAGAAAGTATTAAAAATATTAAGAAGAGTCTTATACAATCAGTTATTTTATATATTAAACAATTTAATTTATTCAAAACTCAATCCAACCCAATCATCTATAGTAGTAGAATACTAAAGCTATATTAACCTTAAATAATTACATTACCTACTAGTATATACAGTTTTTTTAGAATTTCAGGACAATAAGGGTTATTAAGGGTTTTGAGTAGTGGGAAAAATGAGATTTTTACCTCTAAAAAAAAAAAAAAAAAATTCTCATATCTAAAGTTTTCAGGAAATACAGCACTTGCATAATTTTAATAATATTAATTTTGGTAGATAAATAGTTATTAACAACTCACACACAATCTAAATTTAAAGATGTAACATTGGTTGTACACCCATTTTTTCTCCTCATTTTCATCAGTAAAAGCCATTAAGTAATCAACAAATTAAACTATTGTTGAGCTTTAAATGTTTAATGTCTTATAATAATGATTTATTTGACAATAATAAATATTATTTATAATATATATAAAAAATAACTAATGTGCACTTAAACATACAAGTATACTAAAAAGTTGTTGCTACAACTTATATATGAAAATTTTACTAGACAATAATTAATATTAAAAATATTAAACTAAGGAAAACAGTGGATTGAAGAGCCTTTTAACAATAAAAAAAAAAAAGAAAATAACATTTTTAACAATTAATGAAGTAAATTTTTTTAGAAAACAGTAGATATTTTTTAATGAACCATAAATATGTAAATCTTGTAAAAGTATTTCTACTTCAAAATTTGTGGAATTTAGAAGACATTTATAAAATATTGGATGAAATAAACAAAACTTAAAAATAACATTTTAAGTAAAGTAATGTTCAACTAAAATTATAATGATAAGATTAAAGAAAAAATACATACTTCAACATTTTCCCCTTTAGGATATAATGTAAGAGTAGGGAAACTTGAAATTTTGGTATGTTCGAGTTCATTTAGAGTAGCATCCATCTTAGCAATCACAATATCATCATTTTCACCAAAGTATTCACCAATCTAATAAAAAGGTATAAATTTTAGGAAATAAAGTAATTTTACTTAAAATTACTTTAAAGTAATTGTTAATAATTATTTTACTTTTTCATAAATTGGAACAAGTTGTTTACAGTGTCCACACCATGGAGCATAAAATTCTACAAGAACATTTTTAGATTTGTCTAAGGCTACTTCATCAAAGTTTGAAGCAGTCAATGTCCAAACTGGTGTTTTGTTCCAATCTTCAGGTAAGTCCTCAGATAGAAGATGTTGCTAAAATATATATAAAACCTTTTTTTAATTTTAAAAAATATATAATTTATTGTAACAATACTACTAAAATAGATTGATAATATTGATTATCCATTCAATAATTAAAAAATGTAAAATACCTTAACTTTTCCAGCTACAAAATCTGAGACAAACTTCCTAACATTATCACTAGATAATTCTGGGGATTCTGGTTTGTACTTTGTCATGTCATCTTCAAGTTTTATAGCTCTCATGCTAGGAACTTCACTTTTCTTCATACCAAAGAATTCTAAAATTCTTCCATGTTCTTCTTCATCAGCATTGATAGAAACGAATACAATCTAAGCACAAATATATTTCAAGTTTAAAGTTTAGTAATTTATTAAGTAATCAATAAATTAAAAAACTATTTAAAATTATAATTAATCTAACCTTTCCTCTAAATTCAGAAGCTACAGGCTTAATATCTTCTATATATTTATCAAAATGGCCTTCTTTTTTGGACATAAAGATTAATAAGTGACTCTTAATTTGACCACCAAATATTTTTTGAGCAGTTTCTTGATTAAATTCAATTACTGGTGGTAAGGAATGAACAAAAACGAATTTCTTCACATCTTCAATATTCTTAAGATCTTGGTCAAACACAACTTCTTTTTCATCAAACTAAAGATAATTTCAGAGTTTAAAACAATTTACATTAAAATTTTTTTTTTTTTTAACAACTTACATTTTTATAAAGAACTAATTTTTCTTTATGTTTAAGATTAGGGAATTTAGAGTAATCAGACACAAAACCAAATTGATGTTCATCAATAGAATCAGCAATATCGTTAAATAATTTTGCTGCTTCAGATTCAGTATTTTCAAAGTATCCAATAACAACAACATCTTGGCTGCTAATAAATTCTTTTTGTTCTTCTTCTGATGATAAAGTTTTGGCTGCTGCTCCTGATTTCTTAGTAACCCATTGAATTATAAGATCTTTAGTTCTTCCTCCTAAAAAATTAATGATGACAAGATTTATTATAAATTATAAATTTATAAAATAAACTAGGATATATGTATACTATATATATATATATATATTTTATTTTTATATACCAGTATAATCAATTGGATTGCCATTTTTAAAGAATTTCAATGTTGGGTAACCACGAACTCCAAACTGTTCAGCTAATTTTTCTTCTAATGTAGCATCTACCTTTGCTAATTTAATGGATCCACTGGCTTTCAACTCTTTGGCAGCACTTGCATACTCAGGAGCCAATGTTTTGCAATGTCCACACCATGGTGCATCTAAATAAGAATATTTATTTGATATTTAAAACAGTAATAAACATATTATACATAAAACATTAAAGGTTTATACTAAAATATTAGAGGTATCAGGACAAAGTATGAAAATTTTTCGAGTAAACATAAATGATTTATATTATGATCATTTTTCATTAATCAAAACGTGATTACATAATGATATTTTTGACAATGAACTGGACAATTTTAATATCCATTGTTTTGATAGAAATCTTAAAACAAAATTTGACAAGAGAAGTGGGTGGTGTAATTATTTTTGCTATTAAAAAATGATTTAAAACAAAAAGTGGTACCTATTAATTCAGTAGAGCAAGATTTATTCCACATAAAAATTAAAAAGAGTTTATTAATTGAACAAATTATTTTCTCAGAAAGATATTCAGTGCTTTAATAGCATTTTATAATGCAATAAAATTTTTTTTAAATAAATACATGCCAAAAACGTAATTCCAAAAATATTCAACATTCTGCATGGATTAATTTAGTACTATGTTTAGTTATTTGAGAAAAAAATTGCTTACAAAAAGTATAAGGAGTCAAATAGTATTAATGATTACACCATATTTTCTTATTTAGAGATCATTGTAAAATAAAAACTAAAATTTGTTATAAAGAATACTTAGAATAAACCCAAAATTATTTTTAATTTAATATGCGTTATATTTGAAAATTTATTAATAATCAAAAAAGAATGAACTTTTTGCGTTTATTGTTATCTTTCCAAAAAAGCTAATGATTAATTTTTTTTGGTATATTCATTACCAAAAAATTGGCATAAAAATTGTATTGAGTTATCTTTTGGTAATAATAGTATCCTAATGATTGACAATAAGTTTTCTATGGCTGATACTGAATCTGTCTTTGCTTTGGATTTGTCACTACTCTTTGAATTATTTTATTTAATTGGTCACTAGATTCAGATTTTTTTTCATAAAACTTCAAATATCATTTTTTTGACACCAATATAGAAGAATGGTGAACGATCCTTAGTAATTAACTATCGCCCTGTTTCTAAATTGAGTACCTAGCCTTAACTTTTAGAAAAATGAATATACATAGATTATCAAAAGTGATTAAAAATATACTTGTTAGAGAACAACACGGATTCTATAAAAAAATAAGTTGATTGAAACCAACTTTCATTTTAGTATTGTACTATAAATATTTGATTGATAATGTTAGTAAAGAATCTAAGGTAGATACAATCTATACTAATTAAAAAAAAGTGTTTGATTTTGTTAAACACTCAATCCTATTAAGTTTAGTTTTTATCAACTTTAAATATTTATTATTTGCTGATGATCTTAAACTCTTTATGATTATTAAGAATTAAGGTGATCAAGTATTTATTCAAAATTTGAACCGATTTTTTTATTGGTCTAATCATAATGGATAAAAAATTAGTAGTGATAAATGTAAGTATATGGCTTTGATAAAATACATAATCCTTTAATTGAAGAATACATGAATAATCATACATTAGAAAAAGTATTTAACATAAAAGATTTAGATATAATACTATTATAATATTTATTCTTTGGTGCTCATATTAATAAAATATGTGCTAAAGCTTTTAGAAATTTGGGATTTATTAATGTAATTGTAAATAATATAATCAGGTACATTATTTAAAGACACTTTATTATACATAAGTACATTCTAGTCTAAAATTTGGATCTATTATTTGAAACCTTACAAAAGTAGGTCAAGTTGATAAAATTGAAAAAATTCAATGTTTTTAAGTATTATAGCACAAAAAATTGTCATGACTGCTGAATGTATCAAGATTATATGGTAATATTGTAGCTTTAAAATCTAAACATAATTATATTGACATATTCTCTGTATATAAAATTTTAAATTGCTATGTTGGTAACCCAGATCTGTTAAAAAATATATCATTTCATGTTCTACGAATTAATACATGGAATTATAAAACTTTTAATACTAAACCTCAAGTCAAACATTTTTTTCTAAGTGTAGAGTATAGTAGTATAGAATATTAATATTATGTAACAAGTTAAAAAATTTTGATTTTCAAAATGATAACCAATTAAGATATTGTAGTTTAAGTTTAGTTAAGTTTAGATATTTCAGTTAAGAAAAATTATAATTTGTATAAATTTAAATTGTTTATTTAATTTTTCAGTTAAATTACTAAATAAATAAATATTGGTTATAATTATTAAACACTAATTATAATAATGAACAAAATAAAAATAATTATATAATAAATTTTTCTATTTTATTGTGTCCATTTAAACAGGTATATTTCAGCAAACTTTAGATTCAATTATCAATTTGTTGAACTTTTTTTTTTTAAGTTTTTGCCTCCTTTGATGACAGATTAAAGTATATATTTTATTATTTATCACTAATAATAAATAAAAATAATACATTTTATTTTTTCAAAATTTTGAAATAACTATTAGCATTTACTTTACCAAAAACTTTTATTGGTCAATAACAAGTTTAGAACAAGTACTGATCAAGTTACTAACATTTTAATACATTGAGTAGGTATGTAACTATAGAGCTTTCAATTTATAAAAAAACAATATTCACAAAAATATTTATTTCAAAAAGACCCTAGGTTCGATTGATAGCATAATACAGGCATACTGAGCACATTTCATCAGTGCAGGCTTTTAGAAATATTTATCTAATTATCTATGGATATGGATTATTTATGAGATTCTTTTTATTTAAACTACTCAAATATACAAAGAATTTTATAATTATTTTTACCAGAATTGATGAATAAAATTTTTCAAGGGATAAGATGACACCAATTTTATTTTAGACCAAAGTTAACATTTTTATGAAACGATGGAATATTAAAAAATTATACATTAAGTATTTTTGTGTAATTAATACTTTAATAACATTATTAATACAACTAATAATGATTGCAAAAAGTTAGTTTTTTTTTAGTTTTGTATTATTTCTATAATTCCCATTTTCTTTTCTACTTTTAATGTTTAGATTATAGAGTAGTTTAAAAATATAAATATTTTTAAACTATTCATAAGAATTACTAAATATTGTTAATTTGATTATTAATATTTCCCATAAAACCTAACCATCACTGGAAATAGTATTATACTTAAACATTTTATTTATATCATTATTCAACAAAATCATTAAATAATTTGTGTATAAATTAAATTGTATAGCACGCTTTGATCAAAAAATTTTACTAATGTAATATTGTATTAAACTAATTTATTAATTTATTAGACACAAAAAAAATTATGAAACTAATAAATGTACTACATATATTTATACATAGCTACATATCAACACAATATTTTACTATTAAGAAAATTATTTAATTCCTATTTAAAAATATTTTACCAATATTAGAAATTCCAGTATTGTTAATATATTTTATTATTGTAAATCATAAGTTACAATAATTATTAGAATTACTTAGAAACCATTATGAAGAAGGGGTTGGATTTCTAACCTTTAAAGTTTAAACAATAATCAGAAATTAAATGATTATTTTATACTTACAGAACTCAACAAGCACAAACTGATTCGATGAGATTACATTATCAAAATTATTTTTATTCAGTACTAAAACTTCTTCATCAGTTTCCACTTTGGCTTCTTCTTTAACACCGGCATCTGCATTTATAAGTTCAAATAAAAACAGGGAACAAAAAATTGCATGCAAGATCATCATCGTGCCTAATATTGCACTATCTAACGACGGGTAAGTAAAAATGACACGAATTTTAACGTTACTGTGGTTAAATAAGAAAATTGGTGGTACGAAATGAGTACTTCAACTTGAGTGTTACCGTTAACACACACACGCCGAAAGGAAATGTGCGGGTAGCTGATAAAATTTGATGATGTAAACAAAATCTTAGGAAGCCTAGCTCGTGGTAGCCTATCATTGGTCCGTTCAGTACAACAGCGATTGTTCATAATTATTCTCTCTCTTTCTATCCTTGTCTTTCGTCTAATGTCATCGTTGTTACATACGTGGAAAATATTATTCTAATTTTGTCAAATTATTACATATCATATAGCTATAATTTTTCATTTACCCTAATTATTTTCAAAATTTTAATATGATCGTGGCTTAATACAATTTGTTGTAATAACGTGTAAAAAACTGTTTCGAGTTTCATGTGAAAGCACGGCATCTAACACCTGTAGACACCACGTATCCATTTATTTACATTTTATACTTTAGCACCTATTACCACGTACATAGAATTTTAATTTTTGGATTTCCTATGAATTTACAATAAATGCTTGTCATTTTTTCCAATAATGTATTTTACTAATTTGAAAATCTTTACTTATTTGTGATAATAATTTATAAAATTATATTTTTAATTAAATTTAATATTATCAACATTGCAGTAAACTTATAATCCTATGGCCTTAATAATTTGCATTGTATTGATAATTTTAATTAAGTTTAATAAATAATTAAACAAAATTATATTAATTAAGCAAAAATATATTAATATTATAAATGACTTAAGTAAATAAGTGATCCGTTATTTATGTTCATTTTCTACAGTTATAAAAGAAGATCTTGAAGAAATAATAAGACATGGCTTAAAATTAAAAAAAAAATTTTAGCAGAAAAAAAAACGTTTGACATGTCTTACAATACAGTCACCTAGACCTTCGGAATCCATTTGCCCGAATTACTTAAACCTCCATGACATTAGGTCAACTAGATTTTAAAACTCAACAATATTAAAATCCCACTTCATCTAAATCGTTTTATTTTTTGCTGAATATCATAAAAACATAACGTGTTACAATTATTTTAATTAATCATTAATATATAGGTTTACTAATATTATATATATATATAAATATTTTAATTCTCGCCGCTACCTCGTCAATTAAATCTCTATCCAAAGATATATTAGGTGTCTAGCAGGTACGTTACCCTTGTTTTTGCATCGAAATAAAACATTAGTATTTAACTCCATATTTAAAAATCGGATATTTTCGTTGTTACCCGAGATTTCAATTGGAATTCCATAGCATAATGATTGTAAAAAATAGATTTAAATTTAAATTATTTACTCTGACCAAACAATTACATAAAATTTTTCTTAGTTATTTTTCATAAAAGACAGTAAGTATTTAAGATCTGAACTACCCAATTAATGTCAAAGGTTATAAAATTCCCACACTGCTCAAAAAACGGCAACATATTTCACAAATTAATAACTCATATATTCAATCAGTTCTTGAATATATCCACAACTTACACCGTTAATTAAGATATATACAAAATAAAATTATTTTTTCGAACCCAACCCGCATACAGTTAAAATTGGACAAATAAATTATTTTTTATGAAAAAAAATGTGTTGCCGAATAACCAAAAGAATAATACAAACTAAAACGATTAGAAGTAAAAAAATAATAATATTTCTAGTATCTTATCGTTTTTTTATTAATTGTAAAGTATGTAATTAAATTTAAAAAGTTAATTTATAAGTCTTATATTTAGCTTATCAAAGAAAATTTTATATAAATAATTTACATACTTATTAAATTTTATTCTCATGTTAATTTTAAATTTTATGTTTCTGTAAATATCTTATTTCTTTGATTTCAGAGAAATAGAGCTATTTTTTTTAGAAATAATTAGCTTACATTTACTACAAATTTTCAGATAGGTAGCATAATGTTATATCATTATACTAGCTAAGTGTATTCATCTTATAAGATTTTTAAACAATAAAAAATAATAATGAGAATATTTCTGTCATGTGTCTAATTTTAAAATATAGAAGTGTTCCCTTAAATAGTTAACAAAATTAACTTTTCCCCAAAGATGAAGAATAAATTCTTCAATAAATGCATATCTATGCGTACCTATTTTTTAAAGGAATATATTACAGTCTATAAGAAAAAATAACCATTTTTTTTAACTGTTCAGGTGTTATTAGAATACAATTATTTAGCCATTTATTCATTTTTAAGTTCAAAGTAATATTATATTATTAACCAAATAATACAAGTGGTAAATTTCTTTTTTCTAAAGACACGATTTTTTTGATTGCGTACTGTATAAAATCTATTTGATTTATGCAACTATTAATTAGAAAAATAAATAAATTTTAATATGATGTGTTTTTTTTTTTCTATGAATGCTCAATCTCAGCTCTCGCTGGACTGATTTTGATGAAAAATATGTCAAAAGATCACAAATCGTATATAGCCAAAGAGATTACCCTCAAAATTTCAAAAAAATTCCCTCGTTTCCCGTAAACGGGGGAAATTCCCCAAAAAATTAAAAATTAAAAAATCGCTAATTTTTGACATTTTTAAATTTTTTTTACTTAAAATTGCCATAACTTTTTTAAAAATTATCAAATCAATATAATTTTTTTTGTATAGATGCATGATGTATTTACCTATCATTTGGTATTTTTTTTTTCATATCTGACCCTTTACCTGTCCATAGGGGAGGATTTAAAATGACAGCTTTTTCACAAAAAATTGACTTTTTCAACTTAAATTTTGAAAGTGTTCCGGAAAGTCTGACACTTTTATACATATCTTAAATTAAAGCTAATGTAATTTACTTTATTATGAAAAAAAAAAAATTTCGGACTTTATTTTATCTTCACAGTGAAAATGGCTACCAAATGCTATTATTGTGTGAAAATTCTCGATTTTATTTTTAGCTTCGATGCGAAGCTGAGAAGGTATTAATTTTACTATGATGTGTTTTTTTTTTATTTTTTTATTTTTTTTTTTTTGTCTGTGAACGCTCAATCTCAGCTCTCGCTGGACCGATTTTGATGAACAATATGTCAAAAGATTACAAATCGTATCTAGTCGAAGACATTACCCTCAAAAATTGAAAAAAAATTCCCTCGTTCTCCGTAAACGGGGGAAATACCCCAAAAAATTACAAATTTAAAAATCGCTATTTTTCGATATTTTTTCATTTTTTTTTACTTAAAATTGCCATAACTCTTTTAAAAATGATCGAATCAATATAATTTTTTTTTTATAGATACCTTAGATATTTACCTATCATTTTATATATTTTTGTGAACATTTGACCCTTTAACAGCCCACAGGAAGGGGTTTCAAAATGGTAACTTTTTTACAAAAAATTAACTTTTTCAACTTAACTTTTGAAAATGTTCCGGAAAGACTGACACTTTTATATATATATTAAATTAAAGATAATGTAATATACTTTAAATTTAAAAAAAAAAATTTGACCTCTGGACTTGTCTTCATGGTGAAAATGACTACCGTATGCAAAAATATGCTATTTTTGTGAAAAAATTCTTGATATTATATTTTACATTTTTTAACATTATGTTGCTATAACTTTTTAAAAAATGCATGAATCAACTTTATTCTTTAATGATAAATACTTTATATATACTTCTTTCATTCGACATACTTTTTTTTAAAATCGGACCATTTCCCTTTATACAGGGGGGGTGCAAACCTTTTAAAATGCGTATAGAAAGTTGAACTTTTTCAACTTAACTTTTGAAAATGTTCCGGAAAGACTGACAATTTTATATATACCTTAAATTAAAGCTAATGTAATATACTTTAATTTGAAAAAAAAAAATTTGACCTCTGGACTTGTCTTCATGGTGAAAATGACTACCGTATGCAAAAATATGCTATTTTTGTGAAAAAATTCTTGATATTATATTTTACATTTTTTAACATTATGATGCTATAACTTTTTAAAAAATGCATGAATCAATTCTATTCTTTAACAATAAATACTTTATATATACCTCTTTCATTTGACATACTTTTTTTTTAAATCAGACCATTTCCCTATATTTAAGGAGGGTTTAAATCTAAAAAATGCATGTAGAAAGTAGAACTTTTTCAACTTAACTTTTGAAAATGTTCTGGAAAGACTGAAACTTTTATATATATCTTAAATTAAGGTTTATGTAATATACTTTAATTAAAAAAAAAAAAATTTGACCTCTGGACTTATCTTCGTGGTGAAAACGGACATCAAATTTAAAGAAAAACGTACGATTTTCGTGAAAAAATTCTCGATTTTATATTTTATATTATTAAATTTATATTGCTACAACTTTTTCAAAAATGAACAAATCAACATAATTTTTTTTTATACTAAAACCTTAGATATTTCCCTTTTATTTGATTTCATTTTTTTGAAAATTTAACACTTAACTAAGATTTTTTTTAACTTAAAAATGCTATAACTTTTCGAAAAATGTAACTATAAGAACAAATTTTTTTTTCTTAGTACATTATAAGTACTTCTTTCATTTAACATACTTTTAATTTAAATTGGACAATTACTTTTTTACAGGGTGCGTTCAAAACTTGAAACATACGTAAAAAAAGTAGAACTTTTTCAACTTAACTTTGTGAACATTTTCCGGAATTACTGCGTCCTTTAAACATATATAAAATTAAAGCTTATGTCATGTACTATAAAATGAAAAAAAATTTGTCCCGACGACTTATTTTCTATGCGCAAATGGCTACCGTATTCAAAAATATGCTATTTTTGTGTTAAAATTCTGTGTTATGTATTTTAAAATATCTTACTAGGGGAATACACTAACTTTCATGAATATTATATAATTTAATTGACATAGAATAAAGTTCATAAGACAGAAGATGTTAAACTTATTAAAAATTTTTTGCTTTTTTTAAGTCGAAAAAGTAACTTTAAAATTTGACATAACTTATATTGACAACTAATCATGGAACGAAACGACGAACAGGTTACCGAATTGGTAACACTTGTGCCTTTCACTGTTGGGTACGAGGTTCGAATCCACCTAAAGCAATTTATACTATTTTCCGAAAAGTTATAGCATTATTAAGGTAAAAATATAAAAAAAAATTATTTTACAAAAATCGTAATTTTTTATTAACTTTGATATCTATTTTCACCGCGATGACCGGAGGTCAAATTTTTTTTTCCATAATAAAGTATATTACATTACCTTTAATTTAAGATATATATAAAAGTGTCAGACCATCCGGAACCACTTTCAAAAGTTAAGTTGAAAAAGTTCTACTTTCTACATGCATTTTTAGCTTCGATGCGAAGCTGAGAAGGTATTGGTTTTACTAAGATGTGTTTTTTTTTTTTTTT